CCAGAAGGAAATGGAGCGCACAGAGAATGCTCGACTTTTCATTGGACAAGGATGTCCGGTGTGGATCTTTACTTTTAATTTGCATTTTTTTAAAAACACACCTCTACATACCTTGCTGAGCTTCTGCAAAGGTAAAGGTTAAAAGGCCCCTGGATGGTTGAGTCCAGGCGACTATGGGGTTGCGGCGATTATCTCGCTTTCAGGCCGAGGGAGCCGGCGTTTGTCCACAGACAGCTTTCCGGGTCATGTGGCCAGCAGGACTAAACCACTTCTGGAGCAACAGGACACCGTGACGGAAGCCAGAACGCGCAGAAACACCATTTACCTTCCCGCCGCAGCCGCACCTATTTATCTACTTGCACTGGTGTGCTTTCAAACTGCTAGGTTGGCGGGAGCTGGGACGGAGCAACGGGAGCTCGCTCCGTCTCAGGGATTCGAACCGCCGACCTTCCGATCGGCAAGCCCAAGAGGCTCAGTGGGTTAGACCACAGCGCCACCCGCGTCCCTTGCAAGTATAGGAACCTCTCCCACCAGTTTACTAATTATGCATCTTATTCAAAGTACCGTATTTTTTGCTCTATAAGACTCACTTTTTCCCTTCTAAAAAGTAAGGGGAAATGTGTGTGCGTCTTATGGAGTGAATGCAGGCTGCGCAGCTATCCCAGAAGCCAGAACAGCAAGAGGGATTGCTGCTTTCACTGCACAGTGATCCCTCTTGCTGTTCTGGCTTCTGAGATTCAGAATATTTTTTTCCTTGTTTTCCTCCTCCAAAAACTAGGTGCGTCTTGTGGTCTGGTGCGTCTTATAGAGCGAAAAATACGGTAATTGGAAACCCAAGCTGTCTTACAGAACGTGTCAAGAAATTGCTGGACTCCGACATGGGCTTGCTGACTGGGGCTGATTAACAAATTGGCTATCCAGCAAAACCTTCAGCCCCTGAATGTTGCTGGTCTCCAACTCTGTTGTATATTTACATATTTTTACAGACTTCCATGGTTTGCTTGGTTTTGGGTTCTTCAACAGGAGGGGGGTTTTTTTTGTCATGTACTGTTGACAACCCCCCCCAACAAATCAATAGCAAACTGAAGTTCTGCCCCCCCCTTAACCAAAAGGCCTCCCCACCACCACCACCAAAAAGATCCTGGCTTGGCCCATGCGATTGTCCCTCTTTGTGATATTCTGATCATTTGAGGAGCACACGACTCTGTCCGTTCTTATACCTCAATGTTGGCCTGGCGTCTCTCCAGGAATTCAGACCAGGAGTCTTTTCAGCCGTCCCTAGAGATGCTCTGCCACTGATTTACAGTCCCATCCCAAATCCACCACAGATACAGGAATATATATACCATATTTTTCGCTCTCTAAGACGCACCAGACCACAAGACGCACCTAGTTTTTGGGGGAGGAAAACAAGAAAAAAAATATTCTGAATCCCAGAAGCCAGAACAGCAAGAGGGATCGCTGCGCAGCGAAAGCAGCAATCCCTCTTGCTGTTCTCGCTTCTGGGATAGCTGCGCAGCCTGCATTCGCTCCATAAGACGCACACACATTTCCCCTTACTTTTTAGGAGGGAAAAAGCGAGTCTTACAGAGCAAAAAATACGGTATATATAAGGTAAAGGTACCCCTGCCCGTACGGGCCAGTCTTGACAGACTCTAGGTTGTGCGCCCATCTCACTCAAGAGGCCGGGGGCCAGCGCTGTCCACAGACACTTCCGGGTCACGTGGCCAGCGTGACATCGCTGCTCTGGCGAGCCAGAGCCGCACACGGAAACACCGTTTACCTTCCCGCTACTAAGCGGTCCCTATTTATCTACTTGCACCCGGGGGTGCTTTCGAACTGCTAGGTTGGCAGGCGCTGGGACCGAGCAACGGGAGCGCACCCCGCCGCGGGGATTCGAACTGCCGACCTTTCGATCGGCAAGCCCTAGGCGCTGAGGCTTTTACCCACAGCGCCACCCGCGTCCCATATATATATATATATATATATATATATATATATATATACACTCTAGAAGTTTGCACATTAAAAAGAACTCCCACAACACTGCATTATTTTTTTTTTAAACAGCTCATAATTCAGACCAGCACAGAACTCAACAAAAGCCACAAGCCACTTGCACATGCTCATTTGTGTACATATTATTATTATTATTTCTTAAGATTTATATGGGACGCAGGTGGCACTGTGGGTTAAACCATAGAGCCTAGGACTTGAATCCCTGTGATGGGGTGAGCTCCCGTTGCTCGGTCCCTGCTCCTGCCAACCTAGCAGTTCAAAAGCACATCAAAGTGCAAGTAGATAAATAGGTACCACTCTGGCGGGAAGGTAAACGGCGTTTCCGTGCGCTGTTCTGGTTCGCCAGAAGCGGCTTAGTCATGCTGGCCACATGACCCGGAAGCTGTATGCCGGCTCCCTCGGCCAGTAAAGCGAGATGAGCGCCGCAACCCCAGAGTCAGCCACGACTGGACCTAATTGGTCAGGGGTCCCTTTACCTTTACTAAGATTTATATACCAGCCTTCATCATAAGATCTCGGGGCGGTTCATAGAGCAAACTACAGTGGTATCTTGGTTGTCGAAGGGCTTGACTCCCGAACAAATCGGCTCCCATACGTCGCAAACCCGGAAGTGAGTGTTCCGGTTTGCGAACATTTTTCGGAAGGCAAACGTCCAACGAGGCGTCCGCAGCTTCCGATTCAGTGATGGAAGCTTCTGCAACCAATCAGAAGCTGCGCCTTGGTTTCCGAACCGTTCCCGGAGTTGAACGGACTCCAGAATGGATTAAGTTTGACAACCAAGGCACCACTGTACAATTTAAAAGCATGAAAATAAGTGAAACAAAGCAATAACCGCCCACTTTCCACAGACACATTTACAAGTAGAGCAAGGTTTCCCAAGCTTGGGTCTCCAGCTGTTTTTGGACTACAATTCACACTATCCCTGACCACTGGTGCTGCTAGCTAGGGATGATGGGAGTTGTAGTTTGAAAAAACAGGACCCAAGTTGCAGGGAAACCCTGCTGTAGAATATTAATCAGCCAAAGGCCTGGTTGAAGAGGAACGTTTTCACCTGGTGCCTAAAATATACAATGAAGGTGCCAGTTGAACCTCCCCGGGGAGAGCATTCCACAAATGGGGAGCCACCGCAGAAGAGGCCCTGTTCTCGTGTTGCCACCCTCCAGACCACATGTGGAGGAGGCACAGAAAGAAGGACCTCGGATGACAAATGCAGAGTCCGGGTTGGTTTATATAGGGAGGGGTGGTACTTCAGGTACTGCAGGCAAATACAGGCATTGCTCAGCGATATTGTGTGTTCTGCTCCAGATAACCACAATAAACCGAACAAAGCAAATTGCACCATTTTTTGGGTTTCCCACGGCATATGAAAGTTATGCTTACTCTATATTGCAGTCTATTAAGCCAGGGGCACCTGGCTGCAGGGGCGGGGGGACGGGGAATCCAGCTCTGGGCTGCTCTATTCCTGTGGTCAGAAGAGGGGTGGTGGCAGCAACAGGTGTGTGTGTGTGTGTCTTCCTTCACCTGGAATCTACCAGGCTGCCAGCAGCTGCCCCCACGCCCTTGCAAAGGAGAAATATCTGCGAAGCGCAACCTGTTTCTAGTCACCTACAGGTGATGGTTCCTCGCCATGCCACCCAAGCAAAGCTGTTACAAAGAGGGACTCTACGCAATCTACCCAACTTAACCCCAAACCGGTGCCGCACAAGAACATAATAAGGACACATCGAGTGAGCACCTAGATATGGCATAGGGGAGCCCCACAAGCAAGACCTGGGCACAACAGCACTCTGCCCACCTTTGATTCCAAGCAACTGGTATTCCACCTCACGAAGCCATGAATAACAAAACCTTTTTCTGCCACGAAGCAACGAGCCAACCAGAAACGCTGCCCTTGGGCTCAGGGTTTTCGGCATTTTGTCCAAATGCGCTTTCCGGCCAATGCTGGTTCAGTGGTGCTGACCCAACAGTGGATGTCCTGGAATCGGGCAGTTGCTGCCCCACTCCATTTCCAACCACTGAGAGGGCACTTTACCAGTGTAGCTGCTATGGTGATGCAATGCTTGCTCACAACAACCAGGGCCAACACACCTTCCTCAGTCCACCTGTCCTGTTCAAGAGAAGACCTGCGAATCAGAGTTGCACTGCTCCAAGCGGCCTCAAAACTCGGTACCTAACCGTTTTCAACCAGCAATAATAAGAAGAAAAATCATAATGGGGGGGAGAGGGAGGGAGGCTGACATTAAAAGGGAAGATGGATCAAGAATTAGCCCGGAGGTTGCCACACACAGGAAGGACAAGGATATACCGTATTTTTTGCACCATAACGCTCACTTTTTTCCTCCTAAAAAGTAAGGGGAAATGTCTGTGCGTGTTATGGAGGGAATGCCTACAGGTGGAATGCCTATGGATTTTCCTCCTCTAAAAACTACGTGCGTGTTACGGTCGAGTGCGTGTTATAGAGCGAAAAATACGGTAGTTTGAGTGCCTCACTTGTAGCTCTAAAAATCATTTAACCTGCCAACACGATGTTATTAACACCGCAGTTGTTGTAGAAGGGGTTATTATTTTGACTGGAATGCAATTGACATTATAGAATCATAGAATCATAGAGTTGGAAGAGACCACAAGGGCCATCGAGTCCAACCCCCTGCCAAGCAGGAAACATCTTATTAATGTATTATTACATTAATAAGATTCTGGAACGCAGAAATAAAGAAAATCATCAAACCATCAATTCTAGCACGCACAGGGGGGGGGCACCTAAATTATAGAATTCGGTATTTGAATGGTTGGTATTAGTAATTGTTTTATAATTTGGTATTGTTATGATGAGGCTGTTATTGGGTTTAAAATTAATTTAAAAGGTTATATTAAAAGAAATTAGATCAGAGGCAATCAGAACCCAAGGGTATCTCATCTGTGCAACCCCTCCCCATTCTTTTTTCCCAAACAGATAAGACAGACATGTTCTCTTCTCTCACCTGGCTGGCTTTGTAGAACTGCTTCTTTAACCCGGCAACAGACATGGTGCCCTCCTTGTAGTTACTGAAAAACTAGCTGACAGCGGAGGGGGAAACAAACGAGAGGCAGAGGGAAAAGGGGAGCAGGCAGGTGTCCCTGGGGGCTATATGATTTGAGGCACAGAGGTTGGTGGAAGCGTGGGGGGCCAGACCCCGGCCCCTGAAATAAAGAGGCCACTGGTTAAGTTAGCAGGCGGAGGCGGAGAGAAGACTAAGCCCGTCCCAAGAGGCAAGAGAGGTTGCCAGAAAAAAGGGGGGACACACAGAATCTGTGCCTGACACCAAGAAAGAGAGAGACCCCCAAAATGACCCAGAAAAGGACAAAAGTGTCAGATGAAAGGAGACCCCCCCTAATAAAAATTGAAAAGGCAAGAGACGCTGCTTCTGAGATACAAATGAATGTAAGGAGACAGAAAGGAAGAGAGACAGGCAGAGACAGTTGACACAGCTGCTCCTGGGCAGTTTGGGAGGTTCAAGAGGCTAGTCCTCAGTGAGGCAAAGGGAGGGAGGAAAAGTAGTCCCTGAGGAAGAGGGAGAGAAAGGGAGGAGAGGCCAGGCTTGGCTGAAGGGGAATGTTTTTTTTCCTCTTTTTGGTTCTTGTTGTTTTAAAAAAAGAAGGCTTCAAGAGAGGGAGGTGAGAGGAATGAGACAGAAAGGAGGACAAGGACTGACAGGTTCAGACCGCGGACGGACACACAAAGTAATCCCCGCGCCCACCCCCGAAAGGCGGAGAGGAGGTAGGTCGGAGGAACAGCCGGGGAAGAGGAACGGGGAGGACACGGGGTGGGGGGGAAACATCCAGGCTCGGGCTGAGCTCGCTCTCTGGCTCCCCTCGGCGCTTCACTTCCGCCGCCACCCCTAACGCGCAGGCGCGCAGGCGGGCGGAGGGATACGCGCTCCTCCGCCGGAAAGAAAAGTGTGGGAACGAGGAGGAGAGAATGAGATCCGGTCTCCACGCTTCCAACCATAGACGCGGGCGGGATAGAGCGCCGGGAACGAATGCGCGTCACGCCGCGGCCACGCCCATCCCGCGCTTCGAAGGGCGGAGCCAGAGCGCCCCCTGTCTTCCTTTGCTGGAAGATTCGGATCGGGATGTATACAGGAGCTGCCTCCCGCGCCTGGCCGTTCTGAACTACAACTCCCATCATCCCTTGCCGAGAACATGCACCAGTTAGATACGAGTTATATTTATTTGCGGGTGGACAGCGCCATAATATAATATAATATAATATAATATAATATAATATAATATAATATAATATAATATAATATAATATAATATAATATAATATAATATAATATAATATAATATAATATAATATAATATAATATAATATAATATAATATAATATAATATAATATAATATTATATTATATTATAATATAATATAATTAATATAATATAATATAATATAATATAATATAATATAATATTTATTTTATTTGTTACCAGTATTTATATATATTATTATTACTTCTTATTATTATAAGTTATTTATTATTAATAATAATAAAAATAAAATTTTATTTATATCCCGCCCTCCCCAGCCAAAGCCGGGCTCAGAGCGGCTAACATTAGTAAAAATAGCAATTTTTACCCCTTCATGGATCACTGCCCCTTCATGGATCACTGCCTTGCCATGGCGAAGGGGCTTGAAGAACCCAGAGAAGCTATGAACTACGCCGAGCAGGGCACACAAGATGAACAAGTCATAGTGGAGAGTTTTGACCAAACGTGATCCACCTGGAGGTGGAACCGGCAAGCCAATCCAGTATCCCTGCCAAGAAAACTCCATGGACAAAGACAACAGGCATATAAAAGTTATGACGCTGGAAGATGAGCCCCTCAGGTCGGAAGGTGTCCAACATGCTACTGGGGAAGAGCGGAGGGCAAGTACAAGTAGATCCAGAGCTGATGAAGCGGCTGGGCCAAAGCCGAAAGGACGCTCAGTTGCGGATATGCCTGGAAGCGAAAGGAAAGTCCAATGCTGTACAGAAAAATATTGCATAGGAACCTGGAATGTAAGAACCATGAACCTGGGTAAGTTGGATGTGGTCAAAAATGAGATGGCAAGAATAAATATTGACATCTTGGGCATCAGTGAACTAAAATGGACGGGAATGGGCGAATTCAGTTCGGATGACTATCATATCTACTACTGTGGGCAAGAAACCCGTAAAAGAAATGGAGTGGTCCTCATAGTCAACAAAAGAGTGGCGAAAGCTGTACTGGGATGCAATCTCAAAAATGATAGAATGATCTCGATACGAATCCAAGGCAGACCTTTTAACATCACAGAAATCCAAGTTTATGCACCAACTACTGGCGCTGAAGAAACTGAAATTGACCAATTCTATGAAGACTTACAAGACCTTATAGAAGTGACACCAAAGAAGGATGTTCTTCTCATTATAGGGGATTGGAATGCTAAAGTAGGGAGTCAAGAGACAAAAGGAACAACTGGCAAGTTTGGCCTTGGAGTTCAAAATGAAGCAGGGCAAAGGCTAATAGAGTTCTGCCAAGAGAACAAGCTGGTCATCACAAACACGCTTTTCCAACAACACAAGAGACGACTCTACACATGGACATCACCAGATGGGCAGCATCGAAATCAGATTGATTATATTCTCTGCAGCCAAAGATGGAGAAGCTCTATACAGTCAGCAAAAACAAGACCTGGAGCTGACTGTGGCTCAGATCATCAGCTTCTTATAGCAAAATTCAAGCTTAAACTGAAGAAAGTAGGAAAAACCACTGGGCCAGTAAGATACAATCTAAGTCAAATCCCTTATGAATACACAGTGGAAGTGAGGAACAGGTTTAAGGATTTAGATTTGGTGGACAGAGTGCCTGAAGAACTATGGATGGAGGCTCGTAACATTGTACAGGAGGCAGCAACGAAAACCATCCCAATGAAAAGGAAATGCAAGAAAGCAAAGTGGCTGTCCAACGAGGCCTTACAAATAGCGGAGGAGAGAAGGCAAGCAAAATGCGAGGGAGATAGTGAAAGATACAGGAAATTGAATGCAGATTTCCAAAGAATAGCAAGGAGAGACAAGAAGGCCTTCTTAAACGAGCAATGCAAACAAATAGAGGAAAACAACAGAATGGGAAGAACCAGAGATCTGTTCAAGAAAATTGGAGATATGAAAGGAACATTTCATACAAAGATTACCATAATAAAGGACAAAAGTGGTAAGGACCTAACAGAAGCAGAAGACATCAAGAAGAGGTGGCAAGAATACACAGAGGAATGATACCAGAAGGATATGGATGTCTCATACACCCCAGGTAGTGTGGTTGCTGACCTTGAGCCAGACATCCTGGAAAGTGAAGTCAAATGGGCCTTAGAAAGCACTGCAAATAACAAGGCCAGTGGAAGTGATGGTATTCCAGCTGAACTATTTAAAATTTTAAAAGATGATGCTGTTAAGGTGCTACACTCAATATGCCAGCAAATTTGGAAAACTCAGCAGTGGCCAGAAGATTGGAGAAGATCAGTCTACATCCCAATCCTGAAGAAGGGCAGTGCCAAAGAATGCTCCAACTACCGCACAATTGCACTCATTTCACACGCTAGCAAGGTTATGCTTAAAATTCTACAAGGCAGGCTTCAGCAGTATGTGGACCGAGAACTCCCAGAAGTGCAAGCTGGATTTAGAAGAGGCAGAGGAACCAGAGACCAAATTGCAAACATGCGCTGGATTATGGAGAAAGCTAGAGAGTTCCAGAAAGACATCTACTTCTGCTTCATTGACTATGCAAAAGCCTTTGACTGTGTCGACCACAGCAAACTATGGCAAGTTCTTAAAGAAATGGGAGTGCCTGATCACCTCATCTGTCTCCTGAGAAATCTCTATGTGGGACAAGAAGCTACAGTTAGAACTGGATATGGAACAACTGATTGGTTCAAAATTGGGAAAGGAGTACGACAAGGCTGCATTTTGTCTCCCTGCTTATTTAATTTGTATGCAGAATACATCATGCGAAAGGCTGGGCTGGATGAATCCCAAGCTGGAATTAAGATTGCCGGAAGAAATATCAACAACCTCAGATATGCAGATGACACAACCTTGATGGCAGAAAGTGAGGAGGAATTAAAGAACCTTTTAATGAGGGTGAAAGAGGAGAGCGCAAAATATGGTCTGAAGCTCAACATCAAAAAAACGAAGATCATGGCCACTGGTCCCATCACCTCATGGCAAATAGAAGGGGAAGAAATGGAGGCAGTGAGATATTTTACTTTCTTGGGCTCCATGATCACTGCAGATGGTGACAGCAGCCACGAAATTAAAAGACGCCTGCTTCTTGGGAGAAGGGCAATGACAGGCCTAGACAGCATCTTGAGAAGTAGAGACGTCACCTTGCCAACAAAGGTCCGTATAGTTAAAGCTATGGTTTTCCCAGTAGTGATGTATGGAAGTGAGAGCTGGACCATAAAGAAGGCTGATCACCGAAGAATTGATGCTTTTGAATTATGGTGCTGGAGGAGACTCTTGAGAGTCCCATGGACTGCAAGAAGATCAAACGCATCCATTCTGAAGGAAATCAGCCCTGAGTGCTCACTGGAAGGACAGATCGTGAAGCTGAGGCTCCAGTACTTTGGCCACCTCATGAGAAGAGAAGACTCCCTGGAGAAGACACTGATGCTGGGAAAGATGGAGGGCACAAGGAGAAGGGGGCGACAGAGGACGAGATGGTTGGATAGTGTTTTCAAGGTTACCAGCATGAGTTTGACCAAACTGCGGGAGGTAGTGGAGGACAGAGGTGCCTGGCGTGCTCTGGTCCAGGGGGTCACGAAGAGTCGGACACGACTAAACGACTAAACAACAACAACAGTAGTAGTAGTAACAGTAACAGTTGTTGTTATTTGAAAAACCATAGAAAAACAGAATGAAATGCATTACATGGCTTAAAATAATTATAAAAATCAAGGCAGTCTGAGAGATGTGAGCCTCCCTTGTTGTCGAATTATTGTTTTACTTATTCTTAATTTCTCTTTAAGCCGTGTTGAGCACATGCCAGGGAAAACGGCGGGATAAAACAATAATTAATAATTAATATCTATTCCTCATGGAGCCTGCTGTTTGCAAGGGAAGAGGGGGTGGTTACAAGTTAATGAGCACTCATCCTGATGTGATTGCTGGGAGTTTTCGAAAACCATCGTGTGTGTTTTTGACCAGCTATTCACAAAAATTAAACCCAGAGGCCTTCAGCCGCTAATGCTCTACAGGCTTCAATTCTATTGTCTTTTGGAAAGACCAACCCTGGGTCGTATGACAGTAACCTACGCCAAAATCAGGGAGCTGTGAAGCTTCAAGTCAAGGACCACTCATCTTTTTGAGGCCTGTGGGCATTATCTGCCGAACCAGATAAACTGTTTTGGGCACCACACACTGCAGCTACAGCTGAATGCTTGCCGCAGGCCTCATTGCAACAGTCCTGCAGGCGCCAGCAAAGGACTGTGCGCACACATACAACCCCTGCACTAAGCGCACAGTTTTCTAAATAAAACTGCTTTCGTACAGCACAGATGAGCTCCCCCCTTGCTTCCAAGTGTGTGGGCTCGGGTCTCAACAGCTGTTAAAGACATCCAACACAACAGGCAGCCTCATCTTATTAAATTTATTATTCCAGTGGTACTAATACATTGATTTGCACAATGACACCCATTTAGCAGAGAGGCTGCGGGCCTTCTAGCTTTCGCCCAACTAGAAAAGCCTCCCCCCCCCCTTTTCTCTCCCAATCCTAAAAGAAAATTCCTCAGTTGCATCAAATGGAAATGTATTTTTGGAAGTTATAATGGCACTGGGTGAGCGGCCCCGCTAGTTCGTGTGCAGACGGCCTGGAACCTCTAAGGCTGAATGCAGACACGGCTCTTTTTAAAATCTGCCCCGAGACGGAAGATCAAGCAAGGAAGTGGCCCAATGCCTTTTGCAAGACACCTGCGGCACTGATGTTATTGTGCAAGTTAAATTTGGAGTCCCACAACATACATTTTTAAATTTATTCTTTTACATCTGGTGTGGCATTTTTAATTCTGCTTGGTTGATTGGTTTTTACAATTTGTCCAGGAAGTTATCTAGTGCGGGAATGCCCTCCTTCAGCCCTTTGCGCTTGCGGGTCTCGGCGACCACCTGGCAGGGGCGGCTGGTGTTGTCGAACGGGTCTCCGGGCAGGATCTGCCAGTGGTCAAACACACACTGGGGAAAAGCCTGGCCACCTGTGTTGGATCTCAAGTCGGCGGTGAAGCCTGTGAAGAGAGAGGGAGAGAGAAGAGTTTATACTATAAGCAAACAAAACTGTAAGACAGAAATACAGGTGTTGAAGTTTACCCACAAACCCCACAACCAGCTCATTGTCTTAGCTAAAAGCAGCATCCTGGAGGCATCTACCTTAATAAATAATATTAGTAATAATTTATTAATTTATACCCAACCCATCTGGCTGAGTTTCCCCAGCCACTGTAGGCGGCTCTCAACAAAATATTAAAAGCACAAGAAAACATCAAACACTGAAAACTTCCCTAAACAGGGTTGCCTTCAGATGTCTTCTAAAAGTCAGATAGTTGTTGTATTTCCTTGACATCTGATAGGAAGGCGTTCCACAGGGCAGGCGCCACCACCAAGAAGGCCCTCAGAGCTGGGCCTCTACAATGGGGGTAGAGATGTTCCTTCAGGTATAATGGGCCATTTAGGGCTTTAAAGGTCATTCCCAAACTTTGAATTGTGCTCAGAAACGTACTTAAGAGGAACAGAAGTCTGCTACCAGGGCAAGACCTGCTCAACTTTGTAGCAGCCATCTCAGATTAGCCTGGGAGACAACCTCCGATCGATCCTTCACACCTCCAGCTGCTGACAAAGGTGACCTGGAAGATGCAAGTGCCAAGGGAGGCTGATAAAAGCTGACACTTACCAAAGGACTCGTTGACAGGGAGATAGGCCTTGACCACAAACATGGGGGTGCCGGCCACCTGGGACTCCTCAAAGACGTGCCCCCGCTTCCTGTTCAGCACGCCATAGATGCCACCCACAACCTGTTCTGGGCACTGGAAGGGAAAGAAAGTGGGCATACGTTACAGCACTGCACAGAGTCAAGCCAGCAGGCTGCCGCCGCCTCTTAAGAACACAGCCTGGCTCTAGTCACCCACCTGGATCTCCACAAGGTAGATGGGCTCCATGAGGCGGGGCTGAGCGGTCAACACGCAGGCATAGAGGCACCTTCTGGCCGTGGGAATGATTTGGCCACCTCCGCGGTGGATGGCGTCCGCGTGCAGGGTCACGTCGTGCACGTCAAAGCGGACGGCGCGCATGTTTTCCTCGCAAAGGGCACCCTGGAGAAAAGAGAGAGGTTGGGGGTGGGAGAGAAAATCATTTTCTAGTTTGCATTCAAGCCAACTTTTCTGTCCTTCCTCTCTGAAGCAGGCAACGTAGTTTTTTTTTAAAAAAGCAATTAAGCACTCTGCCATAGCAGCCAAGAAGCAAAGGAAGGGCCAATGCCTCCTTCAGCTCATGGTCAGCCTTCTTCCTGCAAACTGTCAGAGGCAGGAGGAGTCGCCCAGGGGGACCAGAGGATGGGAAGAGCGTGATCTACTAAGGGGCAGAGAATCGGAGTCTAGATATGATGGAGAGCAGCAACAACTGAGAAAGGATAGGCGTAATATTTTACAAGGACAGGAAGGAACATCATGGACAGAATAACTGTCACACACAGGAGGTTTAAGGCAACATGTCAATACGAATAGATGTCGTTAGTACTGCAGTTGTTGTAAGAGGGATTCTTATTTTAACTGGAGTGTAATTGAGATGGGTAAGATTTTGGAACGCAGAAATAAAGCAAATAATCAAACCATCAATTCTAGCACACGGGAGGCCACCTAAATTATTTAATTTGGCATCTGAATAACTGGAATTAGCAATTGTATATAATTTGGCATTGTTATAATGAGGCTATTACTGGGTTATTGTAATTGAAAACTAATGATGATTATTATATATAAAAAGAGAGAATTGGAGACTAGAAACAGGGGAGATGCAAATATCCGTTGATTCCCTTTCCATACCTGCCCCGCAGTACAGTCGTCCCATGGAATCTGAAGGGATCCCAGAGATCATCTTGTCCTCTTGCAATGCAGGAATCTTTCCCCCTATGTGGGACCAGAACTTATGACCCTGAGGTTGAAAGCCTCATCCTCTACCATCTCCCCACTGCCCATGGCAGCTCCTCCTGAGGAAGAGGTAGTGTGTGTGTACCCATGCCCTCAGAGGGGGAACGGACAGAGCACCTAGCAGGAGGAAGGGGAATTCGGAGACGACACCCCCACCCCCCTCGATCAAGGAGGAGAAACGCAGGCCAAGCAACACCCAGCAAGGAAAAGTGAACACCTGAAAAGGACGCCCCTTCGCAACTCAGGGGGAGGGGCAAGAGGAAATCACATACGAGGCTGATTCAACTTCCTAAAGCTGGAACACGGCCTTGAGGGGCTGATGTGACAAAGCACTCAAAAGTTACAGGGAACCAGGCAGAGGGCCTGTGGAACGCCCTCCCACCAGATGTCAAAGAGGAAAACAACTACAGTGGTACCTTGCAAGACAAAAAACTCGCTAGACGAAAGCGTTTTTTGTTTTTTGAGCTGCTTCGCAAGACGATTTTCCCTACGGGCTTGCTTCGCAAGACGGAAACGTCTTGCAAGTTTGTTTCCTTTTTCTTAACACCGTTAATACAGTTGCGACTCGACTTCGAGGAGCAACTCATAGAACGCGCTTTATTGGCCAAGGGAGCCGGTGTTTGTCCACAGACAGCTTCCGGGTCATGTGGCCAGCATGACTAAGCCGCTTCTGGCAAACCAGAGCAGCGCGCGGAAACACCATTTACCTTCCCGCCAGAGCGGTACCTATTTATCTACTTGCACTGGCGTGCTTTCGAACTGCTAGGTTGGCAGGAGCAGGGACCGAGCAACGGGAGCTCACCCCATTGCGGGGATTCGAACCGCCGACCTTCTGATCGGCAAGTCCTAGGCTCTGTGGTTTAACCCACAGCGCCACCTGCGTCAGTGAAGTGTATATACCTCTTAATTATCGCAAAGAGTGGCTGGGGAAACCCAGCCAGATGGGCGGGGTGCAAATAATAAATTATTATCTGGAAACTGCAACAAGTCTCTGCTCCGTTCCAAGAAGGCAGGACGCAGACAGTCCACCGCCCTGCGATGAGGGGCGCCCACTCCTGCTTACCTCCTTCGTGGCCCACTGGAAGCCTGCCACAACGCTGTCCTTGATCTCGTTGAGGTACTGCACCCCCTTGGTGATGTCCGTCAGGATGTTGGGGCCAGTGCCGTCCGGGCCGAAGCACCAGATCTTGCGGGCCTCGGCGACGTTCCCACTCGTACTTCTCGGCCAGGTAACGGGCCTGTGTCTTCAGCTCCTGGCGGGCGGAGACGTCGCCTTTGTCGATGTCCTCGGCCAGGCCGTCGGAGAAGGGGCGGGCTTTCATGTACAGGCGGTTGCATACACAACGTGGCCTGTGGGAGAAGAAGACTCGCTTTAGCCCAGGTCTGTCCTCCTTGCCCAAACCTTGAGCACTGCATTCCTTATCAGCTATAGCTCCGCCTTATCCATTTCTGTACTGCTTCCATGTGATTTTGATACCGGCTCTCATAGGAACGCCTTGGTTTTAAGTATGAGAGTTCGTCTGGAAGTCTGGAGCAGGGTTTTCTCCCTGCTCTGTGCAAATTCTCCCTTCTTCCTCTTACCTGCATTATTTGCGGGGAGGGGGCTTCGGCAGCAGCCCCAGCGGTGAACCAGCCTTACCCTGCAAGAAAGAAGGAATACCTGAATGTGTGAATGGTCTGTCACTGACCAAACGACCAGGGACGGGGCTTCAAGAAGCCGTTGCAGGAAGTCGCGTCCCAGGTGAGCAGAGGGCTCTTGGGTTCGAATCCTGTTTCTGGCGAGGGGCGTACCGATGGGGGGCAGGGGGCGGGCTGCCCCAGGTGCTATCCTGAAGGGGGGTGACATTCCGATGCGCCCCCTGCCCGCGCCCCCCAAACCCGCAAATCGCGAGCAGCAAAGCATAGAGCGGCAAAGCAATGAAATCCCCCTGTCTGCTTACCTGTGAGGCGAGAGGCCGTTGTCTCGGCTCCAGGCCCTCCTGGGACGCGGCGGCTGCCAAGCGGAACCTTCTCCTTGCTGCAAAAGAAAGGGAGACATCAGCCGGAGCCTGGCTCCCAGCCACGCGAGCCCCAGTCTGGGGCAGGAGGGTGGGGACCTGGGAAGGGGGCATTTCATCCTACCTGATCTAATTAACTGCCCCACCCTGAATTCCTCCATGCGGGAGTCTGTGCTCCTCCCCGACCGGTCCGGCACAGAGGCAGCAGCCAAAGTCTCCCCCGGCTCCGGAATCACCCTTGAGGTGTTCCTAATGGGGGGAAACCGTGGCTGCTGCTTCTGTGCCACGTACGGCCAGGAAGGAGCCATCCCCGCACGGGGGACGGCGGGAGGGTGAGGCAGGCAAGGATCGGGAACCGCCGGGAACCGCCACGATGGTTTGTCGATGTTCGTCCCAGGAGCAGGCGCTGGAGCCTCATTCTTGCAGGCCTCCTGCCTAAGAAAGAAACAAGCTCTGTTAATCTGATTCCTTGGAGGAGTTCCAGATAAATATATAGTAAAAGGTAAAGGTACCCCTGCCCGTACGGGCCAGTCTTGCCAGACTCTAGGGTTGTGCGCTCATCTCACTCTATAGGCCGGGAGCCAGCGCTGTCCGGAGACACTTCCGGGTCACATGGCCAGCGTGACAAGCTGCATCTGGCGAGCCAGAGCCGCACACGGAAACGCCGTTTACCTTCCCGCTGGGTAAGCGGTCCCTATTTATCTACTTGCACCCAGAGGTGCTTTTGAACTGCTAGGTTGGCAGGCACTGGGACCGAGCAACGGGAGCTCACCCCGCCGCGGGGATTCGAACCGCCCACCATGCGATCGGCAAGCCCTAGGCGCTGAGGCTTTTACCCACAGCGCCACCCGCGTCCCCAGATAAATATATAGATGATAATATTTCTTATTATCATCTATATATTTAGACATATTTATGAGCCAATTTTGTGCCCCACCCCTCACCTGCGCCCCTGGTGGGGGCCCACCTCACCACCCCCTGGCTAGGGCCCTGCCTGGACCGCAGAGAAACCCTCTCCATAAAACTATAGGGATCTCTAAATCAGGTTTCCTCCTCCACCCCCAGGATCCCTGGGAAACACTTCCCCTGCCACACAAGGTCACAACATACCTCTGGATTTTCCCGGGTTTTCCTTCACCGCTGGGCTGCTGCTGCCTCCCGAAACCACGGCCCTGCAAAGGGAGAAGGACATTGTACTCTCTAGGGGGGCAGAACAAGCACCCCTGCCAGGCTGCCCCACGTCACCACAGGCTGCCAGCCTGCTCCTGCCTGGGCGCCTGACCCCCGGCTTGGAAGGAGGGGAGCGAGGGGCTGCGGCGAGACCGGCCTGCAACCCCCCAACCCAGCCCTGTTTCACTCAGGTCAGCGCCATGACCTCCCTGCACATGTGGGGAATGGATTCCCCATTGAATTAACCTACCACAATCTCCAGAGGTTGTGCTCCTACAGCCTCCTTCATGTTCGGGCGCCTCAGGAGTTTCTTGTGTCCTAGGAGACAGAAAGGAAAATAAAAACATAGGAAGAGGTTACAGGTGGGAAGCCTTACAACACCTTATAGAAATGACACCAAAGAAGGATGTTCTTCTCATTATAGGGGATTGGAATGCTAAAGTAGGGAGTCAAGAGATAAAAGGAACAACTGGCAAGTTTGGCCTTGGAGTTCAAAACGAAGCAGGGCAAAGGCTAATAGAGTTCTGCCGAGAGAACAAGCTGGTCACCAACAAACACTCTTTTCCAACAACACAAGATGAAACTCTACACATGGACATCACCAGATGGGCAGCATCGAAATCAGATTGATTATATTCTCTGCAGCCAAAGATGGAGAAGCTCTATACAGTCAGCAAAAGCAAGACCTGGAGCTGACTGTGGCTCAGACCATCGGCTTCTTATAGCAAAATTCAAGCTTTAACTGAAGAAAGTAGGAAAAATCACTGAGCCGGTAAGATACAATCTAAATCAAATCCCTTATGAATACACAGTGGAAGGGAGGAACAGGGTTAAGGATTTAGATTTGGTGGACAGAGTGCCTGAAGAACTATGGATGGAGGCTTGTAACATTATACAGGAGGCAGCAACGAAAACCATCCAATGAAAAGGAAATGCAAGAAAGCAAAGTGGCTGTCCAACGAGGCCTTACAAATAGCGGGGGAGAGAAGACAAGCAAAATGCGAGGGAGATAGTGAAAGATACAGGAAATGGAATGCAGATTTCCAAAAAATAGCAAGGAGAGACAAGAAGGCCTTCTTAAACGAGCAATGCAAAGAAATAGAGGAAAACAATAGAATGGGGAAAACCAGAGATCTGTTCAAGAAAAATTGGAGATATGAAAGGAACATTTCGTACAAAGATTACCATAATAAAAGACAAAAGTGGAAAGGACCTAACAGAAGCAGAAGACATCAAGAAGAGGTGGCAAGAATACACAGAGGAATTATACCAGAAAGATATGGATGTCTCGTACACCCCAGGTAGTGTGGTTGCTGACTTTGAGCCAGACATCCTGGAGAGTGAAGTCAAATGGGCCTTAGAAAGCACTGCTATAATGAGTCCAGCTACGATGAGTGGCTAACATCAATTATATAACACATCAAGATAAAATCAAACAAAAAATTAAAATGCATCCTAGAATCAAATGAGAATCAGAGTAAAATCTAATCAGATGGCAACCCGCAGATTAGGGTTGGGGACCTTAAATGCTCACCAGGCCCAACTGTTTATACTGATCTTGTATTAGCCTGTGACAAAAAGTTGGAAGGTCACTTTCATACAAGTTCTTATGGGGGAAAGGGGAGTCAGACTGAACCCCAACCAAAGGCCTGGCGGAATAGCTCCATCTTGCAGACCCTGCGGAAAGATGTCAAGTCCCGCAGGGCCCTGGTCTGTTGTGGGAGAGCATTCCACCAGGCCGTGGCCACGGCCAAAAAGGCCTAGGCCCTGGTCAAGGCCAGTCTAATCTCCTTGAGGCCCGGGACCTCCAAGATGTTATTATTTGCAGACCGTAAGGTCCTCCGAGGGGCATACCAGGAGAGGTGGTCCCGTAGGTACGAGGGTCCTAGGCCGTATAGGGCTTTAAAGGTTAAAACCAGCACCTTAAACCTGATCCTGTACTCCACCGGGAGCCAGTGCAGCTGGTATAGCACCGGATGAATGTGATCCCGTGGCGGGGACCCCATAAGGAGCCTCACCGCAGCATTCTGCGCCCGCTGGAGTTTATGGGTCAGCTTCAAAGGCAGCCCCACGTAGAGTGAATTACAATAATCAAGCCTTGGGGTGACTGTCTATGGATCACAGTGGCAAGATCAGGGCAAGAGAGGGACCAACTGTATAGCACGGCGGAGATGGAAAAATGCCCCTTTGATGGGCACACTATGCTAATTAGCCAGAGGTAAATCCCATTGTTTATATTACAATTGTCCCACAAAGAATGTTTAAAAAGTACTATGATCAAGACTCCCAAGAACACAACATTGTAATTAGACTCCAACAGGGCCATCCCAGCTGGAAATTCTTTAGTACAATTTCTCTTTGATTCTCTTAACTCCTGCTTGCCATTCTCAGATAACTGATGGAAAAGATAGGGACGGCCAAATATAATGGAGGAGCTGCCTTAAATGGGTTGGTGTGCTTCCACAGTCTTCAAAAGCCAAAGAGGAGTACAGCCTTACCAGGAGCTAAATGTCAGGATCAATGGATGTCTTGGGACAGGAGTTAAAAAGACTTGCCCTTCCTTTTCATCTGACACTGTTCTCCTTTTAATCTGACAGCCTGAATTCAAATTCAAAGTGGAATTTGAATCCATTGCCTTGCTGACAATTTCATTTTCCAGAAGGTGGAAAAAGCAACAAGGAGATCATCTTCTTGGACCTGGTTCTCACCAACAGGGAAGAACTGATCACCAAAGTGGAAGTACCGTATTTTTCGCACCATAGGGCGCACCGGACCATAGGGCGCACCTAGTTTTCAGACGGGGAAATCAATAAAAAAAAATCTTTTCCCCCCCCAGCCCCAAAGAGCAGCGTACAGGCTGCGCACAACCTCTCCCTGCTGGAAGGGTTGCGGGCAGCTATGGCACAAGCCAAGGCAGCAAGCGAGATGGATCCCGCTCGCTGCTTTGGCTTCCTCTTTAGCCCCACGCAGGGGACGCAGGTGGCGCTGTGGGTTAAACCACAGAGCCTAGAGCTTGCCGATCAGAAGGTCGGCAGTTCGAATCCCCGCAACGGGGTGAGCTCCCGTTGCTCGGTCCCTGCTCCTGCCAACCTAGCAGTTCGAAAGCACGTCAAAGTGCAAGTAGATAAATAGGTACCGGCTCCAGCGGGAAGGTAAACGGCGTTTCCGTGTCTGCTCTGGTTCCACCAGAAGCGGCTTAGTCATGCTGGCCACATGACCCGGAAGCTGTACGCCGGCTCCCTCGGCCAATAAAGCGAGTATGAGCGCCGCAACCCTGGTCACGACTGGACCTAATGGTCAGGGGTACCTTTACCTTTACCTTTTAGCCCCACACAACCTCTCCTGCCGAGAGAGCTGCGTGGAGCTAAAGAAGCCACAGCCCCGTGACAGCCTCTCCCTGCAGGAGGGGTTGCGCGCGGCTATGGCACAAGCCAAGGCAAGCCAGCGGGATGGATCACGCTGGCTGTTTTTGGCTTCCTCTTTAGCCAAAAGGGGGGTTACGCACGAACTATGGCACAGCCTGCATTCGCTCCATAGGATGCGCACACATTTCCCCTCAATTTTTGGAGGGGAAAAACTGCGTCCAATAGAGCGAAAAATATGGTACTCTAGAAACTTCAGAGGAATAATCATGCTCCTCCCTAGGTTTCATGATACAGAGGCAAAGGGAAAGCGAACATTCTGGACTGTTAAGAAGGCCAATTTCAAAAAGCTTAAGGAGCTACTAGGTGAGATCCCATGGTCAGAAATACTCAAAGAGAAGGAAGTCCAAGATGGATGGGAGTTTCTTAAAGGAGAAATACTGAAGGCCCAAATGCAGACAATTCCAACATGAAAGAAAAGTGTGAGGCATCTCAGGAAACCAGTGTGGTGCATAAGGAGCTTACAGATGAGCTGAGAATTAAGGGCATTATTATTATTATTATTACACTACTATTTTTGTGACAGCAGTCACAAAATTAAAAGACGCCTGCTTCTTGGGAGGAAAGCAATGACAACCCTAGACAGCATCTTAAAAGCAGAGACATCACCTTGCCAACAAAGGTCCGTATAGTAAAAGCTATGGTTTCCCAGTAGTGATGTATGGAAGTGAGAGCTGGACCATAAAGAAGGCTGATCGCCGAAGAATTGATGCTTTTGAATTATGGTGCTGGAGGAGACTCTTGAGAGTCCCATGGACTGCAAGAAGATCAAAACACATCCATTCTGAAGGAAATCAGCCCTGAGTGCTCACTGGAAGGGACAGATCGTGAAGCTGAGGCTCCAGTACTTTGGCCACCTCATGAGAAGAGAAGACTCCCTGGAAAAGACCCTGATGTTGGGAAAGATGGAGGGCACAAGGAGAAGGGGTTGACAGGAGGACGAAATGGTGGGACAGTGTTCTCAAAGCTACCAGCATGAGTTTGACCAAACTGCGGGAGGCAGTGGAGACAGGAGTGCCTGGCGTGCTCTGGTCCATGGGGTCACCAAGAGTCAAACATGACTAAACAACTAAACAACAACATTATTATTACTATATTATTGGCCCAATGGATCCAGATTTGTATCTATAAATTCATCAGCATAAAGCAACAGCTGGGCTCAGCTTTGTCTCCAGAAGCTATTCACCAGTTGCCAGCCAGAGCTAAATTGCAAAACTAAACATGTCAAATAGCAGCACTCCAGAATAAGTATACCATGTGCTTAGCAAGAATTTCAAGCATTAAAAGTAGTTTGCAACTCTACAATTCTATGATCCTGTTTCTCACAGTGGCTGTCCGGATGCCTGTGAGAAACCAGTGAGCAGAACGGCCTATAGCACTTGTGGAGAATTTGAAAATAAAACCCTTAGATAATTTTTTCTCAAGTAATTATATTGTGGTCCAAACAACAGAGGTGACAAGGAGATCTGTTAGGAGGACTGAGGGTAGGGTTGCTCTGAGTGAAATTGAATAAAAAGTGAGGACAGAAGGTTGGTCAGTCAGAGACACAGAGTGTGTCAGAAGATTGTTACAAGGAGGTGAATCTGATTTCAGAGTGACAGGAGATATCAAGATTGTCCAGAGAAAGAGAAAAGCAGCAGGAGGAGAGCTAAATTATGAATTTATGTAAATGGAAGCTGAGAAAGAAGAAGCCGTAAGAACACGAAACATCTGAAGCAGTCCTTCAAGGAAGATCAAAATCCAGGCATCTGTTAGCTGTAAAAGCTGACCTGAAGACATTGTGGTATCCTCAGAAGTGGCAACTAATTTAGCCTTTTCTGTTCTGAATCTTCAGCAGTTTGATCTGACCATTTGTGTCCCTTCTTTTTCTCTTTTGGCTAGAGAGATGGAATAAGTTAACATTTGAACTTTCAGTCAGAATATAAAAGTTCCCTCAAGTATTCTGAGCTACACCTGCATTTGGAGTGTCCCATTTGTTGCTGGTTCCAAATCCCTGGTTTAATATTTCTGAATATTAAGCAGAATATAATGTGTTAAAATAAAATAAATAAATAAGTTGTATTATTTAGTTTATTTAGGCATTTATTTTAGGCTATTTTAGTTGAGAAGTTCCAGAGCTTGTGTTACATTCAAACACAAAATCACTTTTTAAAACACAATTAAAGCAGTATTCATAGAATCATAGCATTGTAGAGCTGGAATGGCCATAAGGGTCATTTAGTCCAATCCTCTGCAGTGCAGGAAACCTTTTGCCCAATGTAGGGCAAAGAGAACAGTCTTCCATTTTAGCTGCAATGAGCACCAAGACTGTCATGGTTTCAAAGAGGCTTTTGAGAGTCAGGGTGCACCAATTAAGAAAAACTGACATTTGACAAACCTTTTATCTGGAAGCATCTATACATTAACTCAAAACTTAATAAATAAAAGTCTGTTCAATAGTTCTGGTAAAAATCTTTCTATACAAATGCTCACTCAATATTTAAATATTTTGCAGCATAATTTACAAAGTCTTTTTTATTTTAGAAATGTTTATAAATATCACAATCTATTTATAAATCATAATGCTGGCTTTATTATTTCAGTATATTGCCTGGACAAGCAGATGTGCCCATAAACTGGAGGCACACACACAGAAGGACAACAAAACTTCATAATTTCCCCCACAGCTCACATCGCTAAACAATAAGTATGGCATAATACACAAGGTCTATTTTGCAAGCTGCCCATCTATTGCAGCCTATCTCCAGGACTAGCAAACTGGCAAATCAGCAGATCTCAGATTATATTCCTGACTAGAGAAGAAAAGAAAAGAAAATCAGTCATGTTTTTAAAACCAGGACACATCTGCCCATCTAATTTTACTGATCGATTCAGTGAAAGTTTAAAAATAATAAGACAATTTGCCTTGTTATGTTCATTCAGTATTTGAACACCCTTAAGCAATATCCTTAAGGGATGCAGGTGGCGCTGTGGTCTAAACCACAGAGTCTAGGGCTTGCCGATTAGAAGGTGGCAGTTCGGAGGTAATGCCGTTTACCTTCCCACCGGAGCGGTACCTGTTTATCTACTTGCACTTTGATGTGATTTCAAACTGATAGGTTGACAGGAGCAAGGACCGAGCAACGGGAGCTCACCCCATTGCGGGGATTCGAATCGCCGACCTTCTGATCGGCAAGTCCTAGGCTCTGTGGTTTAACCCACAGCGCCACCTGCGTCAGTGAAGTGTATATACCTCTTAATTATCGCAAAGAGTGGCTGGGGAAACCCAGCCAGATGGGCGTGGTGCAAATAATAAATTATTATTTGGAAACTGCAACAAGGGGCTCAGTGGTTTAGACCACAGCGCCACCCGCATCGGCTTATATTCGGGACCTTATGCCATCAGCAAAGTGGTGCGGCTCCCCCCCCCCCCAAGGAAGCAGCCCAGGAGCGTGGCTACTCTCTGCTCCAAGCCTTCCAAAAGCCGTGGAAATGAAGGGGGGAAGCGGGGGAGCCACACTGCTTTGCTGGCAGCTCCCCCCCCTTATCTCCAGTGGCAGGCTGCGCGCCTTTGCCCTGCGCTCCCAGACTGCTCCGGGGGGGGGGAGTTGTGCAGCCCCCAGGAAGCAGCCTGGGAGCATGACCGCCCACTGCTCCCCAGCCTCCCCTGAGCTGCCGGAAAGAAGCGGGGAAAGAAGCTGTCTTCTTTTTTGCAATTTTATTGTTTACACTACTTGCTAATGCTTAGTGGTCTATATGGATCAGGCCAGTGGCCCATGTAGTCCAGCATTCGGTGTGCAGTGACCAACCAGATGCTGATGGAAAGCCTGCAAGCAGTACCTGAGTGCAACTCCCGGAACCTGGTCTATGGAGGTCACATTGCCTCCAAAAGTGGAGCAGCCACTCACAGCTTTATCCTCCATGGATTTGTCTAATCGTTTATAGCCATTCACCACCTCTTGTGTGAGTGAATTCTACAGTCCAGCTATATGCTAAACACTTTCTTTGTCCTGATACTTCCAACATTCAGGCTTCTTGGTGTCCCCACGTTCCAGTATTATGAGAGACAGAGAGAGCACTTTCATCTTACCGCACAATTCATTCACCTCTATCATGTCTTCTCTTACTCACTTTTCTCTAAACTGAAGTGTTCCGCATGTTGCTGCCATGCCTCACTGGAGAGCTGCTTTTTGAGGCAAGGGGACCAGAACTCAATTTCCTTTTCTGAGGTGAAACATTCCAACTGCAGTAGTACCTTAGATTCTTACAATTGGCTGTTTTACTTTCCACTCCTTTCTTAAAGAACTCAGGAATTCACCTTTCTCCAGCTGCCACACTCTGGGTTGAGAGAAGAGTTAAGGTTAAGAGTCCTCTCGCCTTTCCCACCTGGTCCTGATGGCGCCCACTGCATATTAGACAGTTGTCTTCTCTATTGTCTTTTCAAGCCTCCTAAAGATGGTAACTGTCTTGGATTTGAATTGATGTTAATGTATGTGCTGTTGTTGTTTTAAACTTTCTATATTTACATTTTTAAAATTGTCCTTATATATGGAATTCTTTAACTGTTTTCTTTATGTAACTATTTTATATAGGTTAGTTTATTGAAAATTGCTTTGGGATTTCTCATGGGAACAGATTCATAAAATAAATAAATAAATGACTTGCACCAGGTTTTTAAAATAAAAAATACATTAATTTATGAGGGATCTACTTGAACTGTCCTTAAAATAAAGTACAATAAATGTCTGAAACAGTACAATACAAGTGCATCGATTCAGAGCAATCCCATGTGAGTCTCTAGAACAGAGCTGGGGAAGCCCAGGCCTAAGGGCGAAATGCAGCCTTCCAGACCTCCCTCCCTGTCTCTGGGACCAGCAGTGTTGCGTCGCTCACTGGCGCCTGGGGCAGCATACACACACACGCCGGGCAGATGCGGGACACGGAGGGTGAACAGAACCCACCGTGCCAGCCCAGCCCTTGCCACCGGAGCCTGGGGGGGGGCAGTGCACTGCCAGCCTGTCCGCACAGGGAGGAGCCCGGCTGGCAGACGCGGCCCTTGGAGGCAACTCTCCCCCAACGCTGGCCAGGCAGCCCTCCAGTGAGGGGCCTGGGGACACAGAGGTGAGGCCAGACTGGGCTCTGGGGCCCAGAGACCCCCCAGAACCAGGTGGGGCAGGATAGGACAGGCATCCCTGTGTGTGGGCGCCTGGCTTGCGCTCCCTAAAAGTTGTGTGCCCGGGGCTATGGCCCCCGAGCCCCCACTACGGTCCTGCCTGGGTCTCTCTTCAGGCCATGCCCTCTCCTCAAACTCCACCGCCCGTTCCACATCCTCCAGGAGTCTTCTTGCCTGGCTAGGATGTGTCCCCCTTGCATGGCAGGGAGTTGTACTAAGTAACCCTCAGGATCACTTCCAACTCTACGTTAACACCTTGTGTGCCTGGATTGGGGGGGGGTATAAAAAAGGCTGCAAGAATTACATATAGGAACTTACTTACCATAGAAAGGTAAGATTGACGCTTGCTGTCCCTCTGCCTCAGCCCAGCCCACCACTGCCATGTGGCCCCCAAATCGTTGCCCATTCCGGGGGGAATATGGCTCTCGGGTTGAAAAGGATTCTGCATCTTCTCAAGCATGAGAGGCTATGGAGCCCCTGAGATGCTTGGTGGGGGGCTGCCCACAGAAGAGCAGTAGCGGCCAGTATGGTGGGGCACACTCTTCTGACCCTGGCGTTGCCATAGCTTGCCTCAGGTGTGGGGAACCGTTAGCCCTCCAGAGCTTGCGGAACTGCATCTCTCATCATCCCCAGGAAGCATAGCCAGTGGCCAGGGATGCTAGGAAGAGTACCTCTGCAACATTTGAAGGGAAAGCTCCCCACACCTGGCCTACCTGGATGGTACTGAGGAGGAGGAGCCAGGGCCATGTGGATGCGCTGACAGAGCCAACTTGGTTTCCCCACTGGTTCTGCCAAACAGCCCAAACTTCACCACCACTCTGCCCCTCCACAGCAGACAACAACACTTTTGTAGCAGTCAGGTTGCATAACACTTTCAAATACAGTGGTACCTTGGGATACATACGCTTCAGGTTACTGACTCCGCTAACCCAGAAATAGTACCTCGGGTTAAGAACTTTGCTACAGGATGAAAACAGAAATCGTGTGGCGGCGGCAGGAGGCCCCATTAGCTAAAGTGGTACCTCAGGTTAAGAACAGTTTCAGGTTAAGAATGGACCTCCAGAACAAATTAAGTTCTTAACCTGAGGTACTACTGTAGAAAGTTAAAAACTTTAGATCTCATGGAATGTTTTCAACAAAATGGTCCCCACCCCACCCCAGACAATTGCTTCTCATCCTTTTTGGATGCTAGATTTTTATGTAATAATAATAATAATAATAATAATAATAATAATAATAATAATTAATAATATATACCCCGCCCATCTGGCTGGGGTTCACCAGCCACTCTTGTACTCGGAGCAGGGCCTTTTCACTGGTAGCTCCAGGCTTTCCCTGGAAATAGGTTTCAAAAAGCAGAAACACTCATTCCACCTAGCTTTTGGGTATACATTCTTTTCTGGAGAGTACTGGTGGTATTTTTTCTGCTGCTTTTATTTTTCTCTGTTTGGATTTTAGGATGTTTTGTCAGTTTCACTTTGTGTGTATGTATGTCATAAATAATCTTTTATTCTGCAAAGCATTTTCACCCTTTTCAGACATTTGAAAGGGACTTCTAAAAAAGCATTAGCTAGATGCCAATGTGCACACAGTAACTTTTCCCTCCCAGTTGAAGGAAACCCTACTTATGTGCATCTGCACATGCACTAGTCTCCCTTTCCAAATGATGCAAATTTGCACAGCTGACATGAATCTACACTTTCCCCTTTTTTTCTTTCCTTTTTTCTGCATCACTTTACTTCTTTATAGGTAATTCAAATTATTTCAGCAAAATATTAATACCCCCCAAAAAATGTATGTCAGTGTCTGGAGGCCGAGCCCACTGGAGCAGTCTTGGGTGCTCCTGCGTGTGTTTCGTACTGAACAACGAAAGAGGGCTTTTGAAAACTTTCTTTAAACTTTTTAAACAAGCAGCTGCCTTGCAGCAGACGAGTGCTCTGACGTTCCCAAAGCATTTTCGTTGGGTAGTCTGCGCTCTTCTTGTATGGCTTAAGCAGAGCTGTAGGGGTTTTCCCCGGGGAAGCTGCCCGGGGGTCCCTGAGGCGCCCAGAGCGGGGGCCAAGTCCTGCCTTGGAGCGGCGGCGAGAAGCCTGCTGCTTTCTCCCCGGCTTCGCGACGGTCCCTTCCTCTGCCACCTTTGAGCCGGAGAGGCAGAGCGCGAACCGGGAGCATCTTCCTTACCTTCCTCGCTCAGGGTCCACGGCAGGGTCGCCGGCTCGGACGCGTAGCCACAGGCGCTGCCGTCGAAGGCGCACGAGCCGGCGGGCGGGAGGCGCAGGGCTCCGGAGACGCGTAAGGCTGCGGGGACAAAGCGAGCGCGCTCAGTCGGCGGGAGGAGCCCGGAGAAGCCCCAGCTCGGCCCGGGGGAGAGCGGCGGCGGCGGCGGCGGCGGCCGGGCCGGCTCTCGGGCACCTGCTTACCTTGCACCGCGAGGAGACCCAGCAGCAGCAGCATCGCGTCCCTCGGAGGAAGGAGAGGCGCGGCGGCGAGGAAAGGCTGGCCCGCCCCGCCCGAGGCGCCGAGGGGGAAGCGGCGTTAAAAGGCCGGCGGGCTGGAGGGGGCGGAGGAGGGAGGAGGGCTGAGCTTGGCTCGGCGGCGGCGGCGGCGGCGGCGGGAGGAGGAAGGCGGCCCGCCAGCCCAGCAGCTGCTGCCCGGCCGGCGGCGAGGCGCCCGCCCAGGTCTCCCTGGGGGCTGCGCAGCGCCAGGGGAAGGGCGAGCCCCGGGGCCGGAGTCCGGCTGCCTCTCCACACGCCCCCCCCCCCTCGCCAGTGCCCCAGAAGTGTAGGGTCGACGCGGGGCTGGGAATGGCAGCGGGGGCTCGGAGGAAACGCCACTTCCCGGGCGGGCGGGGGCTCGGAGGACTTGCAGCGCCTGGGGGGGGGGCGAGCCCCCTTCCACGCCACTTCATGGGGCCCCTTGTTCGAGAGCATCATCTCGGTTTCATGCCTTGCTTTTCAACCTTTGCAGTCTGCTATGTACTGAAGTTCTCACCCTGGGCCAGCAGGGGGATACTGTAGATAGTTTTCACTCAGGTCCACATATGCAAATAAGGGATTGAAAGTGGCGTTCAGTGATTGGATAGTTACAGAAAATGGTTACTGTTGCGCTCTAGTGGAGCTCTATATAAGCAGGCTGGCTGAACCCTTCAGTTCAGTTCTGTTCTGGCCTGTGAATAAAGAGGAGCTGTTTCAAGAATCGCTGTGTCTCTGCTATGTCAACCCACAACATAACACTGGCGATGAGGATGGGATCGATGGACATCAGAGCACAGCCAGATGCGGCCATCCTCTGAACTGAGCTGAATCATTGAGCGAAATCACTGAACAGAACCAATTCGGAGCTGGCTGTTCTGGCTAGAGCACTGTCTTCCATCCATTGCCCTTCACGCCGGCATCGGAATGATGGCTTTACTTGTGCCTCTACTGCCATTTGCGCCAGCCTCTGAATCATGGGACTCCTACCTCGCTCAGTTTGACTGCTACCTCCAAGCCAACGAGCTGACGGAAGTGTCAGAGGAGCGTAAGCGGGGCCTATTCCTCAGCCTCTGTGGGCCCGAGGTGTTTGAGACATTGGTTGCGCCTCAAGCAGTCCAGGCAGCGCCATGGGACACGATTCAATAGAAGCTCCGCAACCACTACGCGCCAAAGCCGTCCAAGCCGACTCGGCCCCGAACACACTGACCAGATGCTTGGAAGCTGTGGCTGAATGGTTTCGTGGGAGCCGATTGAAACTAAATCCTTCAAAGACAGAGGTCCTATGGCTAGGTCGGGATGACATGGGAATGAGGGATCAACTCCCTTCTCTTGCGGGGGCCCAATTACTGCCATTGCCTTCCGTTAAGAGTTTGGGTGTAATCCTTGATGCCTCCCTTTCCATGGAGGCGCAAGTTACAGCAACAGCCAAGGCGACATTTTTCCACCTTCGCCACATCAAGCAGTTGGTCCCTTACCTTTCCTGCCCCGACCTGGCCCCGGGCAGGCGGTGACGTCATTCATTCAGCCAGCAAGGCAGCCGGGCCGGCCTTTCAAAGGTGCAGCAGCAAACTCCTTGCAGATTTGGCTTTTTTGCTGCATGCAAGTTCTGAAAGAAATGGGAGTGCCATTCTTCAGTCTCATCAGTCTCCTGAGAAATCTCTATGTGGGACAAGAAGCTACAGTTAGAACTGGATATGGAACAACTGATGGGTTCAAAATTGGGAAAGGAGTACGGCAAGGCTGTATATCGTCTCCCTGGTTATTTAACTTTTAAATAAAGGGAGGTTTAGGGTCAGTTTCCCTTATCCTTCCCAGGTTAGTAAGCCCCATCTGGCCATAGTCAAATGTCATAGTCAAAGGACAAATGTCAATTTCCCATTTTTTCCCAATCACAAATTCAGTTCCATGTTTGATTTTCAGGGTGGTGGGGGGGCGTTTGCTTATTTCTTAAAAGTTCTAACCCAAAACCCGCATTTTCGTATGCAATTTTGCTCATAGACACGTTTTGCAAGCAATTTCCTGTAATATACTGCAATGCAGTTTTCTGCCATTCGTTTCAATGTCCACTTTAGCCTAATTTAGACATTTCGGCATACGCTGGGCTGGATTTGCTAAATTCAGAGAAGTGTGACTTTCAAAGGATAGCCATTGTTTTGGTTTGCCTATTGTTTCAGGAAACATGAAACAAGTCCACTTATTTATTCAGTGAAGTGTAAAAAGGTAAAGGGACCCCTGACCATTAGGTCCAGTCGTGACCGACTCTGGGGTTGCGGCGCTCATCTCGCTTTATTGGCTGAGGGAGCCGGTGTTTGTCCACAGACAGCTTCCGGGTCATGTGGCCAGCATGACTAAGCCGCTTCTGGCAAACCAGAGCAGCGCGCGGAAACACCATTTACCTTCCCGCCAGAGCGGTACCTATTTATCTACTTGCACTGGCGTGCTTTCGAACTGCTAGGTTGGCAGGAGCAGGGACCGAGCAACGGGAGCTCACCCCATTGCGGGGATTCGAATCGCCGACCTTCTGATCGGCAAGTCCTAGGCTCTGTGGTTTAACCCACAGCGCCACCTGCGTCAGTGAAGTGTATATACCTCTTAATTATCGCAAAGAGTGGCTGGGGAAACCCAGCCAGATGGGCGGGGTGCAAATAATAAATTATTATTTGGAAACTGCAACAAGTCTCTGCTCCGTTCTAAGAAGGCAGGACGCAGACAGCCCACCGCCCTGCGATGAGGGGCGCCCACTCTTGCTCACCTCCTTCGTGGCCCACTGGAAGCCTGCCACAACGCTGTCCTTGATCTCGTTGAGGTACTGCACCCCCTTGGTGATGTCCGTCAGGATGTTGGGGCCAGTGCCGTCCGGGCCGAAGCACCAGATCTTGCGGGCCTCGGCGACGTCCCACTCGTACTTCTCGGCCAGGTAACGGGCCTGTGTCTTCAGCTCCTGGCGGGCGGAGACGTCGCCTTTGTCGATGTCCTCGGCCAGGCCGTCGGAGAAGGGGCGCGCTTTCATGTACAGGCGGTTGCATACACGACGTGGCCTGTGGGAGAAGAAGACTCACTTTAGCCCAGGCCTGTCCTCCTTGCCCAAACCTTGAGCACTGCATTCCTTATCAGCTATAGCTCCGCCTTATCCATTTCTGTACTGCTTCCATGTGATTTTGATACCGGCTCTCATAGGAACGCCTTGGTTTTAAGTATGAGAGTTCGTCTGGAAGTCTGGAGCAGGGTTTTCTCCCTGCTCTGTGCAAATTCTCCCTTCTTCCTCTTACCTGCATTATTTGCGGGGAGGGGGCTTCGGCAGCAGCCCCAGCGGTGCACCAGCCATACCCTGCAAGAAAGAAGGAATACCTGAATGTGTGAATGGTCTGTCACTGACCAAACGACCAGGGACGGGGCTTCAAGAAGCCGTTGCAGGAAGTCGCGTCCCAGGTGAGCAGAGGGCTCTTGGGTTCGAATCCTGTTTCTGGCGAGGGGCGTACCGATGGGGGGCAGGGGGCGGGCTGCCCCAGGTGCTATCCTGAAGGGGGGTGACATTCCGACGCGCCCCCTGCCCGCGCCCCCCAAACCCGCAAATCGCGAGCGGCAAAGCATAGAGCGGCAAAGCAATGAAATCCCCCTGTCTGCTTACCTGTGAGGCGAGAGGCCGTTGTCTCGGCTCCAGGCCCTCCTGGGACGCGGCGGCTGCCAAGCGGAACCTTCTCCTTGCTGCAAAAGAAAGGGAGACATCAGCCGGAGCCTGGCTCCCAGCCACGCGAGCCCCAGTCTGGGGCAGGAGGGTGGGGACCTGGGAAGGGGGCATTTCATCCTACCTGATCTTATTAACTGCCCCACCCTGAATTCCTCCATGCGGGAGTCTGGGCTCCTCCCCGACCGGTCCGGCACAGAGGCAGCAGCCAAAGTCTCCCCCGGCTCCGGAATCACCCTTGAGGTGTTCCTAATGGGGGGAAACTGTGGCTGCTGCTTCTGTGCTATGTATGGCCAGGAAGGAGCCATCCCCGCACGGGGGATGGCGGGAGGGTGAGGCAGGCAAGGATCGGGAACCGCCGGGAACCACCACGATGGTTTGGCGATCTTCGTCCCGGGAGCAGGCGCTGGAGCCTCGTTCTTGCAGGCCTCCTGCCTAAGAAAGAAACAAGCTCTGTTAATCTGATTCCTTGGAGGAGTTCCAGATAAATATATAGTAAAAGGTAAAGGTACCCCTGCCCGTACGGGCCAGTCTTGCCAGACTCTAGGGTTGTGCGCTCATCTCACTCTATAGGCCAGGAGCCAGCGCTGTCCGAAGACACTTCCGGGTCACGTGGCCAGCGTGACAAGCTGCATCTGGCGAGCCAGAGCCGCACACGGAAACGCCGTTTACCTTCCCGCTAGTAAGCGGTCCCTATTTATCTACTTGCACCCAGAGGTGCTTTTGAACTGCTAGGTTGGCAGGCGCTGGGACCGAGCAACGGGAGCTCACCCCGCCGCGGGGATTCGAACCGCCCACCATGCGATCGGCAAGCCCTAGGCGCTGAGGCTTTTACCCACAGCGCCACCCGCGTCCCCAGATAAATATATAGATGATAATATTTCTTATTATCATCTATATATTTAGACATATTTATGAGCCAATTTTGTGCCCCACCCCTCACCTGCGCCCCTGGCGGGGGCCCACACCACCACCCCCTGGCTAGGGCCCTGCCTGGACCACAGAGAAACCCTCTCCATAAAACTATAGGGATCTCTAAATCAGGTTTCCTCCTCCACCCCGAGGATCCCTGGGAAACACTTCCCCTGCCACACAAGGTCACAACATACCTCTGGATTTTCCCGGGTTTTCCTCCACCGCTGGGCTGCTGCTGCCTCCCGAAACCACGGCCCTGCAAAGGGAGAAGGACATTGTACTCTCTAGGGGGGCAGAACAAGCACCCCTGCCAGGCTGCCCCACGTCACCACAGGCTGCCAGCCTGCTCCTGCCTGGGCGCCTGACCCCCGGCTTGGAAGGAGGGGAGCGAGGGGCTGCGGCAAGACGGGACTGCAACCCCCCAACCCAGCCCTGTTTCACTCAGGTCGGCGCCATGACCTCCCTGCACATGTGGGGAATGGATTCCCCATTGAATTAACCTACCACAATCTCCAGAGGTTGTGCCCCTACAGCCTCCTTCATGTTCGGGCGCCTCAGGAGTTTTTTGTGTCCTAGGAGACAGAAAGGAAAATAAAAAACATAGGAAGAGGTTACAGGTGGGAAGACTTACAACACCTTATAGAAATGACACCAAAGAAGGATGTTCTTCTCATTATAGGGGATTGGAATGCTAAAGTAGGGAGTCAAGAGATAAAAGGAACAACTGGCAAGTTTGGCCCTGGAGTTCAAAATGAAGAAGGGCAAAGGCTAATAGAGTTCTGCCGAGAGAACAAGCTGGTCATCACAAACACTCTTTTCCAACAACACAAGAGACGACTCTACACATGGACATCACCAGATGGGCAGCATCGAAATCAGATTGATTATATTCTCTGCAGCCAAAGATGGAGAAGCTCTATACAGTCAGCAAAAACAAGACCTGGAGCTGACTGTGGCTCAGATCATCAGCTTCTTATAGCAAAATTCAAGCTTTAACTGAAGAAAGTAGGAAAAATCACTGAGCCGGTAAGATACAATCTAAATCAAATCCCTTATGAATACACAGTGGAAGTGAGGAACAGGTTTAAGGATTTAGATTTGGTGGACAGAGTGCCTGAAAAACTATGGATGGAGGCTTGTAACATTATACAGGAGGCAGCAACGAAAACCATCCCAATGAAAAGGAAATGCAAGAAAGCAAAGTGGCTGTCCAACAAGGCCTTACAAATAGCGGGGGAGAGAAGACAAGCAAAATGGGAGGGAGATAGTGAAAGATACAGGAAATTGAATGCAGATTTCCAAAAAATAGCAAGGAGAGACAAGAAGGCCTTCTTAAACGAGCAATGCAAAGAAATAGAGGAAAACAATAGAATGGGGAAAACCAGAGATCTGTTCAAGAAAATTGGAGATATGAAAGGAACATTTCGTACAAAGATTACCATAATAAAAGACAAAAGTGGAAAGGACCTAACAGAAGCAGAAGACATCAAGAAGAGGTGGCAAGAATACACAGAGGAATTATACCAGAAAGATATGGATGTCTTGTACACCCCAGGTAGTGTGGTTGCTGACCTTGAGCCAGACATCCTGGAGAGTGAAGTCAAATGGGCCTTAGAAAGCACTGCTAATAACAAGGCCAGTGGAAGTGATGATATTCCAGCTATTTAAAATTTTAAACGATGATGCTGTTAAGGTGCTACACTCAATATGCCAGCAAGTTTGGAAAACTCAGCAGTGGCCAGAGGATTGGAGAAGATCAGTCTACATCCCAATCCCAAAGAAGGGAAGTGCCAAAGAATGCTCCAAATACCGCACAATTGCACTCATTTCACACGCTAGCAAGGTTATGCTTAAAATTCTACAAGGCAGGCTTAAGCAGTATGTGGACCGAGAACGAAAACCATCCCAATCAAAGGAAAATACAAGAAGGGGGAGAAATGGAGGCAGTGAGATATTTTACTTTCTTGGCCTCCATGACCACTGCAGATGGTGACAGCAGTCACAAAATTAAAAGACACCTGCTTCTTGAGAGAAAAGTAATGACAAACCTGGACAGCATCTTAAAAAGCAGAGACATCACCTTGCCGACAAAGGTCCGTATAGTTAAAGCTATGGTTTTCCCAGCAGTGATGTATGGAAGTGAGAGCTGGACCATAAAGAAGGCTGATCGCCGAAGAATGGATGCTTTTGAATTCTGGTGCTGGAGGAGACTCTTGAGAGTCCCATGGACTGCAAGAAGATCAAACCTATCCATTCTGAAGGAAATCAGCCCTGAGTGCTCACTGGAAGGACAGATCCTGAAGCTGAGGCTCCAAGACTTTGGCCACCTCATGAGAAGAGAAGACTCCCTGGAAAAGACCCTGATGTTGGGAAAGATGGAGGGCACAAGGAGAAGGGGACGACAGAGGACGAGATGGTTGGACACTGTTCTCGAAGCTACCAGCATGAGTTTGACCCAACCGTGGGAGGCAGTGGAAGACAGGAGGGCCTGGCGTGCTCTGGTCCAGGGGGTCACAAAGAGTTGGACACGACTAAACAACAACAAGTTGCTTTGGGAGACGATAATCAAGCATAGCCCAGTTCTGTGAAGCTTGGAGGAGGGGTGTGTGAGGCACCTGGGCTTTAGCAGCACAGTGGTGGCTCGGGTTAAGAACTTAATTCGTTCTGGAGGTCCGTTCTTAACCTGAAACTGTTCTTAACCTGAGGTACCACTTTTGCTAATGGGGCCTTCCGCTGCCGCCGCACCGCCAGAGCACGATTTCTGGCCTCATCCTGAAGCAAAGTTCTTAACCTGAGGTACAGTTTCTGTAGAAGCCAAGCCCTGGCTCCATGGCTCACCTGAAGCAAGGGAATCATCCTGCTTCCAGGTTTGTAGAGAGCCCCTTCTTGCTGCGTTAAACGGCCACATTCTCGAAGAAATGGTGGCTGTGTCCAGCTCGGCTCCAGACCCCCCCCCCCTCGTGCCACCTTCTAGAACCCACCGGTCTCAACAGACTCTCACCTGCCCCCCCTTCAAACTACCTTTCAAAGCCTCCTTCCATCTTCTGTCTCCGCCAGAATTCCACTCTCTCTCTCTCTTCCCCCTCCCTCCCTGCTTTGGAATTGTAAAATAATAATAATAATAATAATAATAATAATAATAATAATAATAATAATAATAATTTATTATTTATACCCCGCCCATCTGGCTGAGTTTCCCCAGCCACTCTGGGCGGCTCCCAATCAGTGTTAAAAACAGTACAGCGTTACATATTAAAAACTTCCCTTAAGATCCCTTCTGAATGTCAGGTAATTATTTATCTCTTTGACATCTGGTGGCAGGGCGTTCCACAGGGCGGGCGCCACTACCGAGAAGGCCCTCTGTCTGGTTCCCTGTAGCCTCACTTCTCGCAATGAGGGAACCGCCAGAAGGCCCTCGGTGCTGGATCTCAGTGTCCAGTGTAATAGCATCATAATACTATTGCCACACATCTCCTCTAGGTCTCCTACCTTGAGAATCCATCTTCTCTACAGGTCTCTCACGGTCATCTGACAGGCACCCCCCTTGCAGGGCATTATAAGGCTTGCTTGCAAAGCAGCACTTTGTGACATAGGCTGGCAAACAGGGGCCAGGCTGCTGGGTTGTCTGGTAGCTGAATGAAGAAAAATAAAACTAGGGGGGTCAATGTGTGCTGGGATGAGGCCCCCGTGGGTCAGGCCAGAGGGGGCTGTTGGGGGGTGTGGTTGTGCCTTCCTTTCTTCTGCATCTTGTTCCCCCGCCCATTCCTTCTGGTGCTCGAAAGAATCATAGCATGGCAGAGTTGGAAGGGGTGCCAAGGGGCATCTAGTTCAACCCCCGGCACTGCAAGGATCCTGCCCACAGCCAGCGCCCGGCTGGGGTCCACACTCCCACCACCTTCTTACCAACCGGATGCACAGACCCCTTGCCATTCTGCATGGGGTGGAGAAAGGGGAGAGGGAGATGTTTTGCTCCCTGTCCCTCCGGACATGGATATGAGAGCCCTGTCAATATCTCAAGGGCATCCCAGGGAGGAAGCTTGTCTTCTCCTGCTCCAGAGGCCCTCAGGACCTGAAGCCATGGCTTCAAGCGACCAGAAAGGAGAGTCCGACTCCAGGAAGAACTTTCTGACAGCAAGAGCTGTTTGACAGCGGGAGGAAATCCCTCGGAAGGCGGTAGACCCCCCCTTCCTTGGAGGTTTTCAGCAGAGCTTGGAACGGCCATCTGCCATGGGTTCTTGAGCTGAGATTCCTGCATTGCAGGGGGTTGGACTAGAGCGTGGTACTTCCAGGTTTCGACGCTCGTGCATACGCCAACTCTCAAAATGATGTCACGCGCATGCGCAGAAAGGCGAAAAGCGACGTGTGTGTGTGTGCGCAGATGTGCCCGTTCGCATCCCGAGGTACCACTGTACTGTAGCATACCCGTATTTTCCGCTCTATAAGACGCACCAGACCACAAGACGCACCTAGTTTTTGGAGGAGGAAAGCAAGAAAAAAAATATTCTGAATCTCAGAAGCCAGAACAGCAAGAGGGATCGCTGCGCAGCGAAAGCAGCAATCCCTCTTGCTGTTCTGGCTTCTGGGATAGCTGCGCAGCCTGCATTCGCTCCATAAGACGCACACACATTTCCCCTTACATTTTAGGAGGGAAAAAGTGAGTCTTATAGAGCAAAAATACGGTATATTCAACACAAAAAACAGCTGCAATTTGTTTTTGACAAAGGACAGCTGGACATATAAAGGGCCCCATTACCTTCAGTAGCTTCGGGCCTCATCATTCCTAAATCCGGCCCTGCGTCAGATGTTTGGCTTCCAAAGAACGTTTGCAAACCAGAACACTCATTCCGGGGTTGCAGTATTTGGGGACCGGAATGCAAGGTGTTTGAGATCCAAGGTATAACTGTATGTTCTTTTAAATATATTTTTTTCTCCGTGAAAAAGACCCTGGTGTTGGGAAAGATGGAGGGTGCAAGGAGAAGGGGATGACAGAGGATGAGATGGTGGGACAGTGTTCTCGAAGCTACCAGCATGAGTTTCACCAAACTGCGGGAGGCAGTGGAAGACAGGAGTGCCTGGCGTGCTCTGGTCCATGGGTCACAAAGAGTCGGACATGACTAAACAAAAACAAGTCCCCATGTTCCCTTAAGCGGTGGGGATCAGCTTGTCCAGACCTTACAACCAGCCTCTGACTTCCCAAGCTGCAACATGGGACGGACGTCCGCATTTCTGTTTACAGTTTACACTTAAAGTAGAGGGGGAGGAAAGCGGGGGGGGGGGGGAATTCACTGGCATCCCTTGGGTTTCAGACAGTACATGGGTAAAGGTATTTTAATTTCACCATCTGCAGTGATCATGGAGCCCAAGAAAGTAAAATCTCTCACTTCCTCCATTTCTTCCCCTTCTATTTGCCAGGAGGTGATGGGACCAGTGGCCATGATCTTAGTTTTTTGGATGCTGAGCTTCTGACCATATTTTGCGCTCTCCTCTTTCACCCTCATTTAGAGGTTATTTAATGGTGACTTTATGGGACAATAAACTCCATCACCCTTGCCAACAAAGGTCCGTATAGTTCAAGCTATGGTTTTCCCAGTAGTGATGTATGGAAGTGAGAGCTGGACCATAAAGAAGGCTGATGGCCGAAGAATGGATGCTTTTGAATTCTGGTGCTGGAGGAGACTCTTGATGGTCCCATGGACTGCAAGAAGATCAAACCTCTCCATTCTGAAGGAAATCAGCCCTGAGTGCTCACTGGAAGGACAGGTATTGAAGCTGAGGCTCCAATACCTTGGCCACCTCATGAGAAGAGAAGACTCCCTGGAAAAGACCCTGATGTTGGGAAAGATGGAGGGCGCAAGGAGAAGGGGACGACAGAGGACGAGATGGTGGGACAGTGTTCTCGAAGCGACCAAGCATGAGTTTGACCAAACTGCGGGAGGCAGTGGAAGACAGGAGGGCCTGGCGTGCTCTGGTCCAGGGGGTCACGAAGAGGCGGACACGACTAAACGACTAAACAACAACTCCAACAGCTCCTAATCCTTGGGCATGCCAGCTGGGGCCCATCGAGTCCAACATCCTCTGGAAACCCCAAGGCAGCTAATGCTCCTCCAGGATGCCTCCAGCTAAACTGGCCGCCATCGTGCCAAGCGTTGGGCAAATCTAGTTTAGAATGCAGAGCTCTCGGCGTTGGAGGCTTGTAGACGCTTCAGAAACCAGGCATGGCAGCAAGAACTCTTGTAGAAACCTGGTTCTTGCACCATACCACACTCAGTTATCGGTTGCCTTTTTTGTTTCCTAGACCAATTCCAGGTGCTCCTTAAACTTCCTAAATCAGGAGTGGGAACTGCCCCGAGATCTACGGATGAAGGGCAGTTATATGAATTTATTAAATAATAATAATTCTGCTCGCAAGGCTGTTTCCCCCAAACCACACCCTCCCATGCTAGATAGCAAACACAGATCGCAAGGGACGGGTCGATTGTTCCTTTTTGCTTGGAGCAGTGTGTTCCCGGTGCCCATCAGCTGGTAAAATGCAGGATTGGGACTGGCAATACACAATGCCCTTTGTGCAGCCAGCTGTTGGGAGCCCTCCATAAGGAATTTTGACAGGTGGAGACAACTCACGTGTACATGATGCCGTGCGATTGACCTGTGGGTTGCCCCACACAGCCAGTCCGCCCACTCGGTGGGGTCAGGTAGTAAAGATCCGGACCCCAAAGCCCAAACGATTCCCCACCTGAATATATCTAACATGAGCCTCCCCAAACACAAACTTCAGGCTGAGTCTACCCTAAGAACCATTAGGCTGGCAGGTACCAGCAGGCGAGACACGGGTGGCGCTGTGGGTTAAACCACAGAGCCTAGGACTTGCCGATCAGGTCAGCGGTTGAAATCCCCGCAATGGGGTGAGCTCCTGTTGCTCGGTCCCTGCTCCTGCCAACCTAGCAGTTCGAAAGCACGCCAGTGCAAGTAGATAAATAGGGAAGGGAAGGGAAACGGCGTTTCTGTGCGCTGCTCTGGTTCGCCAGAAGCGGCTTAGTCCTGCTGGCCACATGACCCGGAAGCTGTATGCCGGCTCCCTTGGCCGATAAAGCGAGATGAGCGCCGCAAGCCCAGAGTCAGCCACGACTGGACCTAATGGTCAGGGGTCCCTTTACCTTTGCTTTTTACCAGCAGGCCAGACTGTGTGACCTCAATGCTTGTAGATATCAGGCTGTCTCAAAAGACAATGGAGTGCACCTCCAGGGGTAAAATCAAACCACTGTGTTAGCAAGACCCAAGTAACAACCCCAGGGCGTAAGCCTGGGCAGTGAATATGGGGGTCCTGCGACAAGACTCGCTGATGGGGTCCAAAGGAAAGCAGAGCAAGACACCTGGATACAGGTGTTGCCAGTGTACAAGCACCACCCAACCATTTTAGGGAATCCATTGAGAATTTGTGCAGTTTACTCCTTAACCCTTTCTTTTCCCCAAGGTATCTTTGCAAGGCATGGGAGGTATAGGATCAGTTTCCCTTTTCCTTCCCAGGTTAATAAGCCCCATCTGGCCATATCATGATTAGTGATTAAGACAAATGACAATTTGATGGAAGAAATTTAAAGAATATTTAACTAAATATTGTGATATAAGGGAATTAGGAAAATTCTTGGAAGTAACAAATAGGCTTAGGGGCAGAATAAGAATAGGTGGTAGTAAATATTAAGGATTTGAATATTAATAAGAGACATGAGGATAGTAAATGAAAGGAGTGAATATTATTAGAAATATGAATTTGGAGAACTACTATACAGGGGTTATAATGAAATTCAGTTAGAGGGGATTTGAGGAAGTCAGGTATCAATGTAACGGGAATTAGAGATTTGAAGTAAGAATTCTGTTTTGTGTTTTTCTTTTCTTCTTCGTGTGTTTTGTAATATTTTCTTTTTTTCTGTGATATGTGGAAACCAATAAAAAATGGCAATTTGTTTCCCATTTTTCCCAATCACACATTCAGTTGCACATTTGTTTTTCGGGGTGGGGCGTTTGCTTGTTTGTTAAAAGTTCTAATGAAAATCCCAATATCCAGATTTTCATATGCAATTTTGCTCATACAGACATTATGCAAGCAATTTCCTGTAATACACAGCAATGCAGTTTTCTGCCACTCGCTTCAATGTCCACTTTAGCCTAGGTAATTTAGACATTATGGCATATGTTGGGCTGGATTTGCTAATTCAGAGAAGTGTGACTTTCAAAGGATAGCCATTGTTTTGGTTGGCCTATTGTTTCAGGAAACATGAAACAAGTCCACTTAATTCAGTGAAGTGTGTATACCTCTTAATTATCGCAAATATATCATTCACTCAATCACTACTGGCCTTTGTTCATGCCTGTGAGAGTCCCCAGGCAACCTATTTCGATTGCTTGCGAACAATGCTGAAATGGTGATAATTACGTATGGGGGTAAAGATTAATAATAATCTAATCTAGATTATTAATAATAATCTAGTGCCTCTGATTTTATCTTTAGGGGCGGGCGAATGAACCACGGGCGCATGCGTCACGTTCCCCGTCAGTTATCGCGAGAACTCTCCCTGTTTTTCCCACGCTGCCTCTACGCCCATGCGAGAAGACGTTGGGCCGGCCGGCCGGCCGGGGAGGCGTGGCCAGGGGGCGGGGGCCAAGCGGAGCGACCCGCGCATGCGCGTCCGGGACCCTCCCCTTTCCTCTTATCGCGAGAGTTCGCTTACATACATCCGCGAGCCTACTGAAGGCGGGGGAAGGAAAGAGAAAGGAAGCCCAAGTCACGTGGGGGCGCGGCGTCCCGCCCAATCAGGGCGCCGGAGCGCGAAGTCCTCCCGAGATCCCGCCAAATACGAGCGGGGCGCGAGGGAAGCGGGGAGCCGGACGGGGCGCCGGAGGGGACAAAAAGCCGCCGTCGCGGGTAACGGACGGCTTTGTGTGGTGGTTTCCCCCCCCCCTCCCTGTGAGGGTTGTTAAGAGGGGACAGGCGCGGGAGCGTGCCTCGGGGACGCGCGCGCGCCCCCCCCCCTCCTCCGGTTCTCGTGAGGGGGAGCCCGGCTCGGCCTCTCTCTCCCTCCCGCGCGCGAGAGAGGCCTTTCCCTCTTCTTCTTCCCTCGGCGCCTCAGTCCTGAGGGAAAACTTTGTAGCAGGTGAGAGAGGGGAAGAAATAAGATAGGAAGTATCGCCCCGCGACCCTTCGTGGGGGGGGGGGAGGACTCGAGGGGAGGGGAAACTGAGGCAGGACGGGGAAGGAGGGTCGTGGGTTTGTGGGGGGGGGGAGAGATATTGTCCTGAGGGGAAACTGAAGCGGGAAAAGGGGGGTTGTGTGTGTCACGCTGCGGGTATTAAGGTGCTGGCGGGTGGTTCCTGAGGGGGAACTGAGGCTGCTGAGGTGGATATTGGAGGGGGGGGGGTAATTGTCGTCCTGAGGGGGGAAAGGGGTGGGTAGGGTGGCTCTGCAGAGCGGGAGGGAGGGAATGTCTTATGGGGGTTGGGCTGGATGACCCCTGGGGTTCCCTTCCAACTCTACACACAGTTCTACGATAATTGGGGGGGGACTTTTTTTGGGGGGGGAGATATTGTCTTGAGGGGGAAACTGAAGCGGGAAAAGGGGTGGGGGGGTTGTGTGTGTGTGTGTCACGCTGCGAGTATTAAGGTGCTGGGGGTGGGGGGGTTCCTGAGGGGGAGCTGAGGCATGTCGTGGATGCTGAGGTGGATATATTGGGGGGGCGGGAAATAATTGTCGTCCTGAGGGGGGGGAAGGGGGGGTAGGGTGGCTCTGCAGAGCGGGAGGGAGGGAATCCCTTATGGGCTGCTGGGGGTTGGGCTGGATGACCCCTGGGGTTCCCTTCCAACTCTACACACAGTTCTACGATAATTGGGGGGGAAACTTTTTTTGGGGGGGAGATATTGTCTTGAGGGGGAAACTGAAGCGGGAAAAGGGGTGGGGGGGTTGTGTGTGTCACGCTGCGGGTATTAAGGTGCTGGGGGTGGGGGGGTTCCTGAGGGGGAGCTGAGGCATGTCGTGGATGCTGAGGTGGATATATTGGGGGGGGGGAATAATTGTCGTCCTGAGGGGGGGGAAGGGGGGTAGGGTGGCTCTGCAGAGCGGGAGGGAGGGAATCCCTTATGGGCTGCTGGGGGTTGGGCTGGATGACCCCTGGGGTTCCCTTCCAACTCGACACACAGTTCTACGATAATTGGGGGGAAAACTTTTTTTTTTGGGGGGGAGATATTGTCTTGAGGGGGAAACTGAAGCGGGAAAAGGGGTGGGGGGGTTGTGTGTGTGTGTGTCACACTGCGGGTATTAAGGTGCTGGTGGGGGGGTTCCTGAGGGGGAACTGAGGCATGTCGTGGATGCTGAGGTGGATATATTGGGGGGGAAATAATTGTCGTCCTGAGGGCGGGGAAGGGGGGGTAGGGTGGCTCTGCAGAGCGGGAGGGAGGGAATCCCTTATGGGCTGCTGGGGGTTGGGCTGGATGACCCCTGGGGTTCCCTTCCAACTCTACACACAGTTCTACGATAATTGGGGGGGAAACTTTTTTTTGGGGGGGAGATATTGTCTTGAGGGGGAAACTGAAGCGGGAAAAGGGGTGGGGGGTTGTGTGTGTGTGTGTCACGCTGCGGGTATTAAGGTGCTGGCGGGGGGGGGGGTTCCTGAGGGGAACTGAGGCATGTTGTGGCTGCTGAGGTGGATATATTGGAGGGGGGGAAATAATTGTCGTCCTGAGGGGGGAAAGGGGTGGGTAGGGTGGCTCTGCAGAGCGGGAGGGAGGGAATGCCTTATGGGGGTTGGGCTGGATGACCCCTGGGGTTCCCTTCCAACTCTACACACAGTTCTACGATAATTGGAAAACACTTTTCCTTTGATGGGGGGAGGAGCGAAGTACAGTGGTACCTCAGGTTACATACGCTTCAGGTTACATACGCTTCAGGTTACAGACTGCGCTAACCCAGAAGTAGTACCTCGGGTTAAGAACTTTGCTTCAGGATGAGAACAGAAATCGGGCTCCGGCGGCAGCTGGAGGCCCCATGAGCTAAAGTGGTGCTTCAGGTTAAGAACAGTTTCAGGTTAAGAACGGCCCTCCAGAACGAATTAAGTACTTAACCCGAGGTACCACTGTAGAGATATGTTTATGTCTGAGGTTTCCAAGCAGAGGTTGGGTGGGGTCATCTGTCAGGGATGCTTTGGCTGAGACTCCTGCATTGCAGGGGGTTGGAATGGATGACCCCTGAGGGTCCCTTCCAAATATGCGATTCTACGATAACTGCACACCCATGTTCTCTAACCACTGGCTCTGCAGGGATTCAGAGGGGAAACTTGAGGCGCTGCAGCAAGGAGGGAGGGACAGGGAAATCCCTTAGGGGTGGGCTGCAAGGGGGTTGGGCTGGATGACCCCTAGGGTTCCCTTCCAACTCTCTATGGTAATTGCACACCCATGTTCTCTAACCACTTGCTGCAGGCTCTGCAGGCTTTCAGAGGGGGAACTGAGGTGCTGCGGGAGGGGGGATATCTTATGGGCTGCTGGGGAGGGAAACTGAGGCAGGGCCAAGGGAGCTGTTGTGGTCCTCATGGGGGGGGGGCCGAGGCAGACATGAGTTTGTTTGGGTGTCAGAGTCCCTGTGAGTGGAAACACTTTTGGGGGGGGATGGAGAAGGGAGGCAGGGATATATTTGTTGCAGGTTTTCAAGCAGAGGTTGGTCAGGGATGCTTTAGCTGAGATTTTTGCACTGCAAGGGGGGCTGGATTAGATGACCCCCAGGGTCCCTTCCAACTATACAGTTCTGTGGCTCTCGAAATGGAGCTTTTGGAGGGGGATCCCAAGGGAGGGAAATGGAGAACATATTGCCGCCTGAGAGAACACTACATTTTTCAATATTTTAAGACTATTGTGTTTATAGACTGTTTTCGTAAACCTTTTCTGTAAACGCATTCATCAAATGCAGTTTATAATTAAATTGATTGTCTTCCATTGACAGCTATGGAGTGTCAAGATAAATCAGCGGTTCCAGCCCGGAAACTGATACAAGGTAACCCGTTTCATGCAAAAACAAAAAACCCTGACTTATTTTCAGCCCAGGCTATTCTTTCTGCATGGCAGAGACTTGCTAAACTCTTCCTTCAGGCTTGTTATATTTCTTTATAATTGTGATACTATACATAAACCTTTGAACTCATAATGCTACATTTCCAGGAATGCAATATTTATTTAATCTGAGGGAAAGCAATGGTGTTTTGCTACAATCTTTGCAAAGCAGAAGTTATTCAGTGCCCTGTCATACATTTATTTGGAGTATGATGCTACTTGTTGTATTTGTGGATGGTTACGATTTTTGCAAGAGGAAATATTTTTCTGTCATCTCAGGCCCTTCTTGATATGTCGCCACCTTCTTTTCCTGTTTAAAAGATGAGAGTTGCATTTTTATTCAGTTTTTGGCATGTTTTATCCCATCCTTGAGCTCAGGGTGGGGTACAGTGGTGCCCCGCAAGACGAATGCCTCGCAAGACGAAAAACTCGCTAGATGAAAGGGTTTTCCGTTTTTCGAGCTGCTTCGCAAGACGAATTTCCCTATGGGCTTGCTTCGCAAGACGAAAAAAATTCTGGGTTTGAATTTCTGTGTGGTGGGTGGCTGGGGGAACAGTTGGGGAGGGGTTTGCAAGAATCTGGAAGCTTGTGTGGTTTTTTTCCTGCATTTTTATGATTTTCTGTGACCATTGGGCCACTCTGCTGTTTTTTTAAAAAAAATCTGGGTTTGAATTTTGAAATGCTCTTTACAGTATGTGTGACTTTAAAGAGCACTTAATAAACTCTTGTTGTACCAAATTTGGCTTTGTTTGGACTTTTTTTGACCATAGGAACGCATTAATTGATTTTCAATGCATTCCTATGGGAAACCGTGCTTCGCAAGACGAAAAATTCGCTAGACGAAAAAACTCGCGGAATGAATTAATTTTGTCTTGCGAGGCACCACTGTATATGGCTGTATTTGCTCTTATCCACACAACAACTTTATGGGTTGGGTTTGGCTGAAAGTCGCCCAGTGATCTATTTGTGATCTTTGAACCTGGTTCTTCCCAGTCCTAACCTATCGCCTGCACCTGGGATGAGGAACTTGTGTCCCTCCCGGTAGTCCCTTCATCCCTCACCATTGGCCATGCTGGTTGTTGGGCTGATAGAAGCTGAGAGCCCAACAGCATCTGAAGGGACACATGGTGTAGTATCTTTGACACGCTGTTGCATGTACGGAGCAGGCTTGTTCCCTGTGGCTCTACAGTGTACAGCATGGGTAGGCAAACTAAGGCCCAAGGGCCAGATCCGGCCCAATCACCTTCTAAATCCGGCCCGCGGACAGTCCGGGAATCAGCATGTTTTTACATGAGTAGAATGTGTGCTTTTATTTAAAATGCATCTCTGGGTTATTTGTGGGGCATAGGAATTTGTTCTCCCCCCCCCCCAAAAAAAAGTCCGGCCCCCCCCACAAGGTCTGAAGTACAGTGGACTGGCCCCCTGCAGGAAAAGTTTGCTGACCCCTGGTCTTCAGGGTAGGGCTAGAGTTAATGAATGAAAATTGCAACAACGTAGAATCTGGCTAAACATCAGGAGGAAATTGTTATTCGTTGTATTAAACATTTGTTGCTTGTTACTAAAGAGGTCTGCAGACAGTTTTGATTTAAAACATAAACTTCCTAATGGTAAGAGATGTTTGATACAGGAATAGTCTGCCTTGGGAGATGTGGGCTGTTCTTCACTGCAACTATTTAAGCAGAGGTTCAGCATCTACAGTATCAGGGATGCTGTAATTGCATAGGGGGCTGGGCTAGGTTATCTCCAAGGCCTCTTCCTTCTCACCCCCCGCCCTTGCAAGTAGGTGTTATTTAGTAATCTTGGGTGCACAGATCCAGCTTTCTAAAATATGTACAGTGGTGCCTCGCAAGACGAAATTAATTCGTTCGCGAGTTTTGTCGTCTTGCGATTTTTTTCGTCTTGCGAAGCACGGTGTCGGGAAAGTTTTGGAAAAGCTTCAAAAATCACCAAAGTCTTTAAAAACCTCAAAAAAGGCTACCACACCGCGTGCTATGAGTTGCTCCTCGAAGTCAAGTCGCAACTGTATTAACGGTGTTAAGAAAAAGGAAACAAACTTGCAAGACGTTTCCGTCTTGCGAAGCAAGCCCATGGGGAAAATCGTCTTGCGAAGCAGCTCAAAAAACCCTTTTGTCTAGCGAGTTTTCCGTCTTGCGAGGCATTCGTCTTGCGAGGTACCACTGTACTTTTATTGGGAAAAATACATTCTTCTTTTTTCTGTTCCAGCACGATTGCCTTTCAAGCGTTTGAATCCCATACCAAAGGAGAAACTTGATGGAAGCCCAGGAGTCAAAAGAGGCAGGAACTCTCAAAACGTCTTTGATCAAAACACGCCCTGTCCTGGTTTGTCACATCCGTTACCGGACAATGTGGAGAACAGCTGCCATGAGGAAACCGAGACACAATTTGTTCCAAAACTTATTAATGGCAAGGGCCCCTTAGATAGCTTTGTGCAAAAAAGCACAAAAAAACAGCACAAGTCAGTTGCCCTTCATAGACTTGACAGAGGATTCCAACCACAGACTGAGTGATACCGACACAGACCACTGCAAATCAAACAAAGTAGCGGCACCTGTAGAGAAAACTCACGAGGAAACGGAAGCCCAATCTGGTCCACAAAAGCCTGTTTGTAATACCCCTGTGGATGTTCTGATGGCAACTTGCCCAGTTACACCAGATGAGGATGAATTGTCAGATATGGTGTTGACCAAAACAGAAACCAATAGTACTACAGAGAGCAAACACAGTAATGTCATATTTGAAAGGAAAATGCCCGTCATTGTCCTGGAGGATATCCTGACGGCCAGATCTCCACAAGCTTCACCTTTGGAAAGGAGCCTGTCTTCTGGAAATGAGACAATTGAGTCTTGTCCTGGAGAGAGCAAGGATTATACAAATTCCTCGTTAAGTTCCGCCTCCCTTACCAGTTCACCTGAATCCCTGTGTGTACAAGGATGCAAGGACAATATTAGTCCGATGGCTGCTTCAACACCTGTTGGAAAGGTATAGTATGTGTTGAGAGGGAAGCAATAAAGATGGCAAATGTTCCTTAGCAAGATCTTCTCTTTCCCAGCTTCCTGTTGCGGCCTTATCCACACGCTCATCTCTCAAATGTCTTCTCTCTGCCCATTTCAATTTACTCCAGCTTTGGTGCCTTTACAGTCCTCGTCTGTCGTATCTCCTACGTCAGACATGTCCAACTGGTCGACCGTGATTGACAGGTAGATCCCCGGGGTGTTCCTGGTAGATCATGGAACCGTGGTCGATCATGGGCAAGGAATGATTCTGCCCCCGGTGCTAGGTTCCTCCATCGGCGCGGCAGCAGCATTGAAAGCCGGGCAAGGTGGAAAGCAAAAGTATTTTTTTCTTTAGTGCTGCATGTGATTGTGAGTGCTGGAGTTTAGGCTGAGCGCCCCCCCCCCAAGCTAAAAGATTCCGGTTAACCCCCCCAAAAAACCCCTCAACTCTTGGCAATCCTCCCCCCAAAAAACCCACACGCTTCTCCTCCCTCCAATGACAATGGATAGATCACTGCCTGTTTCTTTTGTACTGGGAGTAGATCACAGTCTCTTGGGAGTTGGCCGTGCCTGTCATACGTCTTTCCCTGTCAGGTTCTCCCTCAGGAGTTCAGCTTCAAACACTGGTTTCCACATTGCACAGTGACTTCTAAAAGCTATGTTCACGCCTCTCTTTTTTTGTCAGTGGGTTGGGTTTTTTTGTTTGTTTGTTTGGATACTTGCATCCTGAGTAGTTAGAATCTTCTATGTACCGTATTTTTCGCTCTATAAGACGCACCAGACCACAAGCCGCACCTAGTTTTTGGAGGAGGAAAACAAGGAAAAAAATATTCTGAATCTCAGAAGCCAGAACAGCAAGAGGAATCGCTGCGCGGCGAAAGCAGCAATCCCTCTTGCTGTTCTGGCTTCTGGGATAGCTGTGCAGCCTGCATTCGCTCCATAAAACGCACACACATTTCCCCTTACTTTTTAGGAGGGAACAAGTAAGTCTTATAGAGCAAAAATATTTTGCTCTAGGAGGCTTAGGTTTGGCCAGAATCAAGTATATACACTTCCAGAGTTAACACTAAGTACATTACTTCTGGTAAATGAGACACCATCGCTGCCAGAGGGCCATGGACAGTTTGTCCCAGGGTTTTTAGATTCTTAATCCCAGGGTCCTGGGTTTAAGCTCCAGGTTGGATGAAAGATTCCTGCATTCCCTCGTAGTCCCTTCCGGCTCTATAGTTCTATGATGTTGTAAAGTCATGTCTACTAAGGACCTGACTTAGGGAGCAAGCGTGTGAATGCCCAGCTCACTACTAAGCATTCAAAAGCAAGAAAGGCATCGCACCAAAGCATGAAATATGCCATGCTCTAAACTTTTCATTGCTATCTTCCTCTCCTTAAAAGTGAAACTTGTGGGCAGACTTCTTACTTTAGCTGCCAGTTGTCAAATACAGTGGTACCTTGGTTTAAGAACAGCTTAGTTTATGAACAACTTGGATTAAGAACGCTGCAAACCCGGAAGCAGGTGTTTTGGTTTGTGAACGTTGCCTTGGAAGCAGAACATGTTGAGTGTGTTCCATTTGTAGATTGATTCCCCCGTAGCTATGGGAAAGCATGCCTTGGTTTAAGAACGCTTTGGTTTAAGAATGGACTTCTGGAACGGATTGAGTTCGTAAACCAAGGTGCCACTATACAGTGGTACCTCGGGTTAAGTACTTAATTCGTTCCGGAGGTCCTTACTTAACCTGAAACTCTTCTTAACCTGAAGCACCACTTTAGCTAATGGGGCCTCTTGCTGCTGCCGCGCCACCGGAGCCTGATTTCTGTTCTTATCCTGAAGCAAAGTTCTTAACCTGAAGCACTATTTCTAGGTTAGCGGAGTGTGTAACCTGAAGTGTATGTAACCTGAGGTACCACTCTACTGTACAGTTGCTCCATGGGACTGGTAGCTGGCTAACCTTAGCTTTGCTTGAAGTTACTGTATCCTTGATTCTGAACAAGAACATACAATGTTTCTGATTTCGCATGGTGGTGCAAGCCTGATCAGAATCAGGGGGAAGTTCTGGTTAAAGAAAGTAAAAAAATGGAGGTGTCTCTCCTCACCCCAGCACACTTTTTTAAAAGGTACAACTTCAAATGATTAGGTAAAATTCACCTGCAGGCTCTCAGAACTAAAGATCACTTAGAACAGGGAAATATTTGGGTTTTAAGTTGCTATTGGAATGTGGCTTCAGTGATGGATTGGTAGCATAGGTTGGGAATTAGAGTCTGCTGGCTGAGATACAAAGTGGAAATCTAAGTCTTGCAAGGAGTAGGTAAAGGTAAAGGTACCCCTGCCCGTACGGGCCAGTCTTGCCAGACTCTAGGGTTGTGCGCTCATCTCACTCTATAGGCCAGCGCTGTCCGCAGACACTTCCGGGTCACGTGGCCAGCATGACAAGCTGCATTTGGTGAGCCAGCGCAGCACACGGAAACGCTGTTTACCTTCCCGCTAGAAAGCGGTCCCTATTTATCTACTTGCACCTGGGGGTGCTTTCGAACTGCTAGGTTGGCAGGCGCTGGGACCGAACGACGGGAGCGCACCCCGCCGCGGGGATTCGAACCGCCGACCATGCGATTGGCAAGTCCTAGGCGCTGAGGTTTTACCCACAGCGCCACCCGCGTCCCTACCTTGCAAGGAGTGCATGTTCTAAATATATTTAACACTCACTCTATTGGATCTTCTTTTCAACTGGTTGGAATTTTGGCCACCACGTGTTATAGTCATCTGAGTGCCAAACCCTTCAAAAATAACTGTGTTGGTGTGACAGGAACTGTCTCATCTCGGGAACAGTAGCAATGAAATGGGGTGGAGGGGGTGGTCTCCTATGCAAAGTCAGCTAATTTGCACTGGAAAAAGTTCAGCTTTTATTGTAAAGCTTTTTGGCGCCCAACAGAGTGATCTACCATATTTTTCACTCTACAAGACGCACCAGACCATAAGACGCACCTAGTTTTTGGAGGAGGAAAACAAGAAAAAACAAATATTCTGAATCTCAGAAGCCAGAACAGCAAGAGGGATCGCTGCGCAGTGAAAGCAGCAATCCCTCTTGCTGTTCTGGCTTCTGGGATAGCTGCGCAGCCTGCATTCGCTCCATAAGACGTACACACATTTCCCCTTACTTTTTAGGAGGGAAAAAGTGAGTCTTATAGAGCAAAAAATACGGTAATTTACCATGCTTATTTGTGCTTAATAAAGTTACGCTAAAAACGTAGAAACTGTCAGGCATACCCAGGGTGGATAAAAATTAATTAATTTATTTTTTTAAAAAAAATTAAAAATCTGATTTTTGAAATTTTATTTGGATTTTTAAAATAAAATGATTTTGGAGGGGAAATCTTTCTAAAGATAGCTTTCTATTTAAGTTACATTATAGTCCAAAGGCTATTCATCAGGAAATAAGGATTTGTTTTCAGTTTTTCATGTGTGCTCAGTCAATAAGTTTTTTTTTATAAAATAATAATAATCATTTAACCACATCAGTCAATAAGTTTTTTTATAAAATAATAATAATCATTTAACCACATTAACAAATATGGATACATATGCTATAATGTTATTTGTTTTGGTTAAATAGTTCAAATTGTCATTAAGGAAAATATTATTTTTCTCCTTCCAATAAAGTACAGCAGAAAATTGTCCAAATATAACTTACTGATGTTAACTTATCAAACCTCACAATAATTTCATAATTGTCTGTCTATGTATTTATAATAGTATAACCAAATCAGAGGGACGCGGGTGGCGCTGTGGGTAAAAGCCTCAGCGCCTAGGGCTTGCCGATCGAAAGGTCGGCGGTTCGAATCCCCGCGGCGGGGTGCGCTCCCGTCGCTCGGTCCCAGCGCCTGCCAACCTAGCAGTTCGAAAGCACCTTCGGGTGCAAGTAGATAAATAGGGACCGCTTACTAGCAGGAAGGTAAACGGCGTTTCCGTGTGCTGCGCTGGCTCGCCAGAGCAGCGATGTCACGCTGGCCACGTGACCCGGAAGTGTCTCCGGACAGCGCTGGCCCCCGGCCTCTTAAGCGAGATGGGCGCACAACCCCAGAGTCTGTCAAGACTGGCCCGTACGGGCAGGGGTACCTTTACCTTTACCTTTTTAACCAAATCAGAAAGATTTAAAGATCCTGTAAAATGGGGGGGAAAATGCTGTAGAAAAATAAAGCCCTGGGAAATGTTTCACCCCACATGAAACGTGGATGTTTGCTATGGCATATATGGGGGGGGGCCTTCAGCAGACTTCCAAGTGTGTTTTGGCCTACACAGAGCAGTGGAGATGTGGTTAATCTCCCATGTAGAGAGATGTAAAGGCCTGGAAAAAGAAACCAACCCAAGAAAAGTGAGGTGGGGGAGATATAGCAATTCAAATAAAACTGAGTGGCTCAAGAATATTCCCCCCCCCCTCATATTGCTTAATTTCAGGTCAGAGAAGGATGGTGTTCCGGAGAAACACCGGATAATGTTTGAATCTGGTGTGCGCTTTGATTCTGATCGCCTCCTTTTATTGTTCTGGGGAAATACGTGTGCAGCGCAAGGTGTGTGGTGTGAGCTATGCGCTGCGGCTTGGATGGGGTGCAGTTTCTTCCCAGGCTCTACTGAAATTTACCGTATTTTTTGCTCTATAAGACTGACTTTTTCCCTCCTAAAAAGTAAGGGGAAATGTGTGTGTGTCTTATGGAGCGAATGCAGGCTGCGCAGCTATCCCAGAAGCCAGAACAGCAAGGGGGATTGCTGCTTTCATTGTGCAGTGATCCCTCTTGCTGTTCTGGCTTCTGAGATTCAGAATATTTTTTCTTGTTTTCCTCCTCCCAAAACTAGGTGCGTCTTGTGGTCTGGTGCGTCTTATAGAGCGAAAAATACGGTAATTGGATGCATTGACGTGCTGGCATTTTGTATTGATGAAAGTGCTGGGGGTGCCAGCACAAAATGGCTTTCAAATGCAGCAAAAAAGAGGGGTTTGTGTAAAGGTAAAGGGACCCCTGACCATTAGGTCCAGTCGTGGCCGACTCTGGGGTTGCGGCGCTCATCTCACTTTATTGGCCGAGGGAGCCGGCATACAGCTTCCGGGTCATGTGGCTAGCATGACTAAGCCGTTTCTGGCAAACCAGAGCAGCGCACGGAAACGCTGTTTACCTTCCTGCCGGAGTGGTACCTATTTATCTACTTGCACTTTGACGTGCTTTCGAACTGCTAGGTTGGCAGGAGCAGGGACCGAGCAACGGGAGCTCACCCCGTTGCGGGGATTTGAACCGCCGACCTTCTGATTGGCAAGTCCTAGCCTCTGTGGTTTAACCCACAGCGCCACCCGCATCTCTTACAGGGGTCTGTGTACTGGCGCTTTATTCCTGTGAGCGCTGTCACAGAAGTCCTGATTCTAATATATTGGGAGCTGGAGAGTTTTTAGCTGATCTGCAGCCGTCTGACATTCCGTAACCTATAAGGCTTGTCTGCTGAAGTGGCTTTAACTGTTAAATTCCACAATCCTTGCATATGCCTATTCTTTCAGTGCCCCTCAGGAAAGGGCCATAACTCATTGGTAGAACATCTTGCTTTATGTGCAGAAGGCCTCATGTTTAATTCCTGGTGCCTCCGGGTAGGGCTGGGAGATGTTCCGCTGCAGAGTTGCTGCCACTCAGTATAGACAGTAATGAGCTGATTCAGTATAAAGCAGCTAACTGCCTTCCAGTGTGGTGTAGTGGTTAAGAGCGGTGGACTCGTAATCTGGTGAACTGGGTTCGCTTCCCCGCTCCTCCACCTGCAGCTGCAGGGTGACCCTGGGCCAGTCACACTTCTCTGAAGTCTCTCAGCCTCACTCACCTCACAGAGTGTTTGTTGTGGGGGAGGAAGGGAAAGGAGATGGTTAGCCGCTTTGGGACTCCTTGGGGTAGTGATAAAGCGGGATATCAAATCCAAACCCTTCTTCTTCCTTGTAACTTGGGAGCAAACGCTGGGTTGTATCCAGCTAAGTCATGCTCAGTGCAGACCTTTGAAATTAATGTGTTGATATGACTCCCTTAGCTCTGTTAATTCCTATGAATCTGCTTGGGAGTATGATATAGTTGGATGCAACCCACTGTTTGGTTTTACTTCCAGACTCTTGTACTGCCATTTTCACCAATATATCAATATATGGTCCAAAACTGGTTTGAAGTCCGTATCGCAATATCAGTTTCATACTTTTTGATCTGGCAGTATATCGCGAAGTGTGGTATGTGTATACGCTATGCAAAAATCACAATGCGGGGGAAAGCAGCCAATTCTTCTCTCGATTCCTGCAGCCCCTGTTAATTCTGCCAGCTCAGTTCTCCCCTGCCTCATGCAGGGGGCAGTAGGTCTATCAGCTGTGCTTTCTGAGTACTGAAACACTCAGAGTAACATAATCATACACAAGAAGTGTCATGGTAAATTAGGTGGGCAAGATTGGCCATCTTTTGCATCTTACTCCATTCCATCTTGAAAGTATATTTTGGAAGATACAGTGGTGCCTCGCAAGACGAAATTAATTCGTTCCGCGAGTTTTGTCTTGCGATTTTTTTCGTCTTGTGAATTACAGTGTCGGGAAAGTTTTGGAAAAGCTTCAAAAATCACCAAAGTCTTTAAAAACCTCAAAAAAGGCTACCACACCGCGTTCTATGAGTTGCTCCTCGAAGTCAAGTCGCAACTGTATTAACGGTGTTAAGAAAAAGGAAACAAACTTGCAAGACGTTTCCGTCTTGCGAAGCAAGCCCATAGGGAAAATCGTCTTGCGAAGCAGCTCAAAAAACAAAAAACCCTTTCGTCTTGCGAGTTTTTGTCTTGCGAGGCATTCGTCTTGCGAGGTACTACTGTAATTTGAGTGAGTTTGTGTGTGTGTGTTTCATAACAATCAATTTACGCAAGAGCTGCTTCTCAGCTTTTACTTTCAGCTTCATGGCTTCTGGAAAGTGCAATAGGTTGTGTCCAACAAAGGTTTAATGTACATAAGTTATTCATGCCCATTAATTTGAACGGATCTCTTCCGAGTATGACTGATGCTGAATACAACCCAAGGTTTGTCTGTATTGAAGAGAGCTTTTCAGCTTGCATTGGTGGTTGCTCTGTCTATGTGATGTCACACGATTAAGGAGTCCAGGGCAAGCAGGAACCAATAGGAATTTGGAAGGGAGACCGTGTAGCACAAATGTCTTACAGGATGTTTAGTGCTCCTGGGTCAAAAGCCTGAAGACGTTCTGTGCAACATTTTGGAAACTGCTGTATCCAGTGTTACAGCATAGTTGGAGTACAGTCATACCTTGGAAGTTGAACGGAATCCGTTCCAGAAGTCCATTCAGCTTGCAAAACGGTTCAGAAAGCAAAGCGCAGCTTCCGATTGGCTGCAGGAAGTTCCTGCAGCCAATCGGAAGCTGCGCCGGATGTTCGACTTCCAAAAATCATTCGAAAACCGGAACACACACTTCCAGTTTTAGATCGTTCGGGAGCCGAAACGTACGCGTTCCAAGGCGTTCAGCAACCAAGGTACGACTATACGTTCCTAAATTAGCAATGTCAATTTCAGTGGTTGTACTCTAGTCTCGACAAACATTGGATGCCCCCTGGATATCTAACATCCAATAATCCTGTCAAATGTAGTAGCAATTCTCAACTGCTTCCTTTTTCAGTCTTGGGCCAAGGATGCTTTATGCGCATGAGGTATTAGGAGGCTTGAAGAAACTCCCAAGATTTACAGAAGTGCAAATTGGGGGGAGGGAGGTGAACAACTTAGTGAGGACTGAAGATGCTCATGAGGGTGGGATAGTAATAATAGAGTATACTGGAAAAGTCCCTGGCAATTATATCCTGAACTCCTTTGGCTGAAAAGTCAGGATATAAATTTTATAAATAAATACTGGATGATTACATAGTGCAACATTTTATTGCAGGTTCCACCTGTGAAACCTTTTCAAATGTTTTTTTTCTTAATCCTGGCTTAGAGCTGCACCCTTCTTCCAGCACCCAAAGCTTCCCCCAGTTTTATTAAAGGATGCTCGAGGAATTCAGATCTTTACGTAATAAGATAACAAATCTGTTGACCTCTAGTCCCACGTGACTCTTTGTTTCTGTTGCTTTAAAGGGGTGTAAATAACACATGCTCGTCTCTGTCCCCTCAATTCCAGGCACCGCAGAAAATTCAGCGGAGTTCTGAGGAGAAGGAGAAACTAAAGCTGCAGAGGGTAAAGTGGTGTTTTCCCTTCAATTGACCTAGAAACCTTATTTGTTCACTTTTGGTAATGAACGGAGAGCACATCCCTTTTCCGGTTTCCTGACCTCTGCTGAAGGTCCAAGCCACCACTGGCATGTGGACCCCTAAAGTTGCCCTCTGGCTGAAAAAGTTCCCCCACCCCTATTCAGATTGACTTGCTGCTTTTTAAAGTTTCGTGCCGTGGGCCTTTTTGTTTTCTGTGCCCTTGCTTCAAGCGTTATCCTTTTCTCTCTACAAGCAATGCCAGGATTCAAGCAGCTATAGATGAAGTGAGTAGGAGGGTGCGGGAACTTTAGCATGAGTACAGAAAGGATGTGCTGCTTTGTCTGTTTGTTTTGAAGCATTTTTACCCTACCCTTCAGGCTTCCAGAGCAGCTTAGTTACCAGTAACATGGCAGCCCTGCCCTCAGGCTTAGGTAAAGGTAAAGGGACCCCTGACCATTAGGTCCAGTCGTGGCTGACTCTGGGGTTGCGGCACTCATCTCGCTTTATTGGCCGAGGGAGCCGGCGTTTGCCCGCAGGCAGCTTCCAGGTGTGACTAAGCCGCTTCTGGCGAACCAGAGCAGTGCACAGAAACACCGTTTACCTTCCCGCCAGAGTGGTACCTATTTATCTACTTGCACTTTGACGTGCTTTCGGACTGCTAGGTTGGCAGGAGCAGGGACCGGACAACGGAAGCTCACCCCGTCGCGGGGATTCGAACCGCCGACCTTCTGATCGGCAAGTCCTAGGCTCTGTGGTTTAACCCACGGCGCCACCCGCATATTGCCCTCAGGCTTAGACACAAGGAAAAGGGGATCAGGAGGGAGAAGGGGCAGGAGAAGGAAACTTTGGTGCTACTGCTTGGTTGCAATGGTCAACCGGAATGGTAACAGCTCAGGGAGAGGGAGAGGTTAAGGTTGCTGGTCCCTCAGCAGCACTGGTGGATTCTACCTGCTTCCCTTCTCTCCCTCTGTTCTGCCACCTGGTGGACTGGCCTCCTGGTACCAGTGGATGAAGGTGAGAAGCCTGATGGAACGAATGGCTTCTCGCCAGAAACGGAGCCTGATTGAGCAGCTTCTTGGCACCTGCGATTAGGCAGTGCTTGACTTTCGTGGGGCGTTGGTGGAGCGTTGCCTAAAGAGCTCTTCTCTTTGGGGGTGTCTGTTGTCGTTTCTCGCAACCCAGGATCAGGAACGTGCAGAGAAGCTTCAAAAGCAGCAAGCTGAGCGGGAGGAGAAGGGGAGGCTGAAAGAGGAGGCGAAGGCCGCAAAAGAACGCGCCCGGGAGGAGGCGAAGAGGAAGAAGGAAGAAGAAAAAGAGTTGAAGGATAAGGAAAGGAGGGAGAAAAGGGAGAAGGAGGAGAAAGAGAAGGCTGAGAAGCTGCGGGCGAAAGAGGAGAAACGGAAAGAGAAGCAGGAAGCTCTGGAGTAAGTTGTCCTCTCTGGTGGGGTTTTTTTACGTGTGACTCATGCTTGAACATGTGTGCATGGTTGCTTGGTCCCCCCGCCACCCCCCCTCTGAAATCAAGCTTTTATTTTAAAGGGCAAAGCAAGAAGAGAAAAGGAAGAGAGAAGAGGAGAAACGGTTGAAAGAGGAAGAAAAGGTAACTGGAGTTTTGTCTCGCTCAGCCTTCACGTGGACTCCAGTTCCCATCAGCCCCAGCCAGCGTACAGTGGGACTGGTAGTCCACCGAAATCTGGAGAAGACCTAGTTGGGAAAGTCTGGTCTAGCTGAAGGGAAGCACACTCTGGCCTCTGCCATTGGCTGGATGCTGAGGACTTGGAGGAGGTGCCTTCCTTGCTTCCCGGCAAAAACATCCTAGTGAGGGGAAGGCTAGCCCTAGCCCAGCCCATCTGTTAATAAATCCTGGGCTGCTTCTGCCAGTCAGTGTAGACAATACTGAGCCTGGTGGACTACAAGGGTCTGGCTCAGCCAGCTCCTTACGTTTTCATGAATTACGTTGTTATCAGTAGGTGGCCGGGGCCAGGATTCACAGTGGTGTTTTTAATTATTCAGAGCGAGGGGGATGCTTTCGCAGAAATGCTTTTAAATAATCCAAACCCTTTGCGTTTCATTTTGCCCATATTTCCATCTCTAGCGTATCAAAGCAGAGAAGGCAGAGATCACCAGGTTCTTCCAAAAGCCAAAAACCCAGCCTGCTCCAAAGGTGAGTTTTGTTTTGCTGCTTGTCTGCCTTTGTCTGGCTCTCCTGCAGTGCCATTTAAATCCATGCAAAATTTCCAGGGCAATGGAAATTGCCTTCAAGGTGGCCAACACACTTCCCATTTTAAATGCTGTGTTGTATATGCACAGAACCCTCTGAACTATGTACGTCTTTTTTATTTAAAATATGTTTATATGTTTACTATCAAATCAAAAGTAGAATACAAACACAAAACCCTGATTTTTAGATCTATTGCTCTACCCACCCTCAAGGAATTTGCCCCAAGTGTGCTACAAACAAATATGAAGTCCTGCTAGTAATTTTTTTTAATGCATAATTTAAAAACTCCTACCCAATACTCTGCCACCTCAATGCCCATCACCAAATGCCAGCCAATAAAGATGTCTCCATGTGTTGATTCTAAAATAAGCAGGGGGGACATGGCTCCAGAAGAAGTGGGCTGCTTATATTGTTGGAGAAGCTACTGGGAGTACCTTCTCTGCTTGCCTTTCTGAGGGTTATTTTGGCCCTGGGATGGGGAACCTGTGGTTCTAAGGACATTGCTGGACTTGGCTCCCATCATCCTTCATGCTGGAAGAAGGCTACAGGTTCCCCAACCCTGCTTTAGCTAGTTATGGAGATCAAAAAAGGTCAGAAAGCATAGCTGACCCATGGCTTGCAGAGGCCGTAAGAAGAGTTTGGATTTGATATCCCGCTTTATCAGTGCCTGAAGGAGTCTCAAAGCGGCTAACATTCTTCTTTCCCTTCCTCCCCCACCACAAACACTCTGTGAGGTGAGTGGGGCTGAGAGACTTCAGAGAAGTGTGACTGGCCCAAGGTCACCCAGCAGCTGCAGGTGGAGGAGTGGAGACGCGAACCCAGTTCCCCAGATTACGAGTCCACCGCTCTAAACCACTACACCACACTGGCTCTCTAAGTGAATTTCAAGTAGCACCAGGAAGGGAGGGAATAGATGGTGGCAAAAATTGGTACCTGGATTAAGAAGCAAATATCAGCCCAAACCAGAGAGGAAGCATCATTTTTGGTCTTTTTCAGGCAGCAAACGGGAGCATCACATCAAAGTAGCCAGATGTATCCATTATCCACATGTTTTTCAGGCTTTATTGGTCAAAATATGAATTATGCCCAGGAGAGAATAGGAAGCTGGTGCTGGTAGTGCGGTAGTTGGGGGGTGGGGATGGAGAGAGACCAAGAGCTTGTGTATAACATTTTCCTCCTGATTTCAGATTCTAGCTGGCTGGTGTGGCAGATTTGCTCCATTTGAAATCAAGGAGAACATGGTCCTCGCGCCAATCTGCCGAGTTGCGGTCGATCAGGACCTCATGGACCAGTTAGACTGGCTCTTGCAAGCTCAGAGCTACAGTGCTTCTTTCTTGGAAGAACTGAAAAGCAGAGATCCCTGTAAAACTGGACCCACCCTTGTCAGCAGCCCGAATGCTGATGCATTCAACAGGTTAGTTTTCTTGGTATTGTGAGCTATTGAGCTACGCTACTTGTAGAAGGCCGCTCACTGCTACTGCCTTAATCTGCGGCACTTCCTCTCAAACCCTCCTCAGCAGGGCACATGGCATTCTGCAACGTCCGACGTTGGCTCATTGCCTCCCACCATGTTCTCCACCCCGGCATCATCAGATAGAGGGAATTATGAGAGTTAGAAACCTAAAAGAAGGAAAAGTTTTCCTTCATTTCTTTCATTTGGTTTAACTTGGTTTAGTTTAAAGGTAAAGGGACCCCTGACCGTTAGGTCCAGTCACGGACGACTCTGGGGTTGTGGTGCTCATCTCGCTTTACTGGCCAAGGGAGCCGTCGTACAATTTCCGGTCATGTAGCCAGCATAACTAAGCCGTTTTTGGCGAACCAGAGCAGTGCACGGAAATGCTGTTTACTTTCCCGCCACAGCGGTACCTATTTATCTACTTGCACTTCGATGTGCTTTCAAACTGCTAGGTTGGCAGGAGCAGGGACCGAGCAACGGGAGCACACCCCGTCGCAGGGATTCGAACCGCTGACCTTCTGATCAGCAAGCCCAAGAGGCTCAGTGGTTTAACTAAAGACCTTTATCGGGGGGCAGTAGCCCCTTTTCTTGTTAGTCCAGTGTTGCCGTCTTAGCCTTGCTTCTATATAAAAAAATCCTTTTCAGTGGAAAGCAGGGATAAAGGAGTCTTTCACGCCGTCAGTCAACTGCCGGTGGTCTTTGTCTCACTGGCTTGGAACCCCGGTGGGCAGCATACCCGTGACTGATTGCAACGTTTTCCTTTCAACAGCGACGTAGTCATTGTGAGCAGCAGCCAAGCAGGAGATGTGCCGGAGAGGAAGAAGTTCGGTAGGATGAAGCTCCTGCAGTTCTGTGAGAATCACCGCCCTGCCTACTGGGGCACGTGGAACAAGAAATCCTCAGCCATACGCCCAAGAAACCCTTGGTCAAAAGAGGAGGTCAGCACGTGATACTGCATCCACCTCTTGTTTCAGCTGAAGTAACTCAGTGGCAAGCCCTTAGGCAGCTAAGCGGAGAAGTCCAGGTTTAAGTCGCCAATATATAAGGCTGTGGTTGCCACCATGCCTGCAGCTGTGGATATATATGAAATTGCATCGATTATATCTCTGACTATCCGTTTATTGGCTCTTGGAGTGGGGCTGGGAGAAACCTCTTGCCTGGGAGTAAGAACAAGACTACGCTGTTTTATAAGTTATGAGTAAATTTATAAATGAAATAAGTTATGACTGGGGTGCTGGGAAATTGAAAATAAGATGCGAAAGGGTGTGCCTGAGGGACCATGGAGAAAACCATAGGGCAGGGGCCATAGCTCAGCAGTAAAAGCCACCTCTTCTGTACGCAGAGGGCTGTGCAGTCCTCAGCACCTCCAGGTACAGAATCATAGACTTGTAGGGCCAGAAGGGATCTCAAGGGTCGCTAAAGAATCCCTGATCCATAGAAAGTAGGACTGGGGAAATCCTGAAGAGCTGCTTCCAGGCAGTGCTGATGTTACTGACATACGATGAATCCAATGGCCTGACATGGTATAAGGCAGCTTTCTGTGTGGTTAGTGCAGCTTGGTGGCTTTTATTTTCTGTCTGCTTGGCAATGGGCTTCGTAAGTTCACTTCTGCCTCCACTAAGCAACAGACTGTGAACTGCAACTGAGGTTTCTGGTGCTGCAGTGTGAAGGAAAACGACCCTCTCTGCTCTTTAAATTGTTCCCTAGGGAGCAAAGAGGATGATTCCCTCACTCCCTGTCCTCTATTGCAGATCCCTCTCCTCCCAGTCTGGCAGCACAGTGTTGCTAGAATGTAGCCCAGGGGTAACCTAAGGCCCATGGGCCAGAAGCGGCCCGCGATGGTCATTTGACCGGCCTACGAGCTGCTCCCGAACTGAGTTGCCTGCTCGCACACTGCGCTAAACCACCACAGCACGGGGACTCGCTTCTGCGGCACCAGAAACCGCATCTGTGCATGCTCAGATGCCGGAAATCGCAGGCGCGATCCGGCCCACAGAGGGATCTCCACGGGACCAATCTGGCCCAGGCGAGATAAACCTTGCTGACCCCCGATCTAGCCTCTTGTTCCTTCTCCAAAATCCTATGTACAGCCTGCAGTACTTCTCAAGGCAGAATGGTTTTTCAGTACGGTATTGCTTTTTTGGTTTCCTCCTTCCCTCTGCAGAAACTTCTGGACTACGAAGTGGAGAGTGACGAAGAATGGGAGGAGGAGGAGCCCGGGGAATCTCTCTCTCACAGCGAAGGGGTAAGGGCGAATGGCCGCCTTCTGGCCGCAAGCGGGAAGTTCCACATTCAGAGACTTCTTTGTCAAAGGAACCAGGGTTCTGGGTGTAATAGAGACAAGCAGGATCACCTGCAGGAAAATGCTGCAGCCTGGGTTGCAACCGGCCATGCCATCTTCTGGGACCAGCAGTTGTTCCGTGTTCTGTGGCCACACTGAGCATGCTCAGTCCTCATTGGGCCGGCTTTTCGGGAGGGAGGAGGCTCATGATGTCAGAGCGACAAGCCAATGCGTGGATCTTCCCCACCAAAGTTCCAGCAGCTCTGTGGTTATTTATAGAACCTTTATGCATGGAGGGATAAGTTGCCTCTTGTGTTGCAGAGTGTGACAGCAGCTTCCACCACTTGTTGTTTCTGTTTTAACTATATATTTGTGCTTTTACCTTGTGAAGCGCCCTGATATCTTATGATGAAGGGTAGCATATGAATCTTAATCATCATAGTAATAATAATTGCAGTGATACCTTTCTGAACAAGGACATAGCTGCAAATGCACACAAGCAATTTCCCCTGCTACCAAGTTTGTTTATTTTTATTATGCAGTGGTACCTCGGGTTACATTCGCTTCAGGTTACAGACTCCGCTAACCCAGAAATAGTGCTTCAGATTAAGAACTTTGCTTCAGGATGAGAACAGAAATTGTGCTCCGGCGGCACGGCAGCAGCGGGAGGCCCCATTAGCTAAAGTGGTGCTTCAGATTAAGAACAGTTTCAGGTTAAGTACGGATCTCCGGAACGAATTAAGTACTTAACCCGAGGTACCACTGTATGCTTGAAAACATTTATATGCCATTTTGCAAACCTCAACAAGTGGAGTTGCAGCTGACCTGACGTTACTGACCTTTCAGTGAGTCTTAAAAGCAGAAATGCTTAGAGTAGGGCATGTTTTAGGGGTAAAGGTTTTAAATATATTAAGCTGTACATTCATAGTGCCATGTCTTGTTTTTTTGGACAGTTCGTGCTGAGGTTAAGGCTGTGGATTAGGGGCCAGCCAGTGTGGTGCCCTGCCAACGGGCTTGAGGTTCCTGGACCTCAGCTCCCATCATCCCCAGCCAGCACAGGCCAATGGTTGGGCATGTTGGGAGTTGTTGTCCAGGCAGGGTTCAACACGCATGGATCAAATCCTCATTCAGCTGCATCGAGCTCGGTGGGTGACTTTGGGGTCCAGTCCCTGGCCCTTAGCCTAATCCCACCTCCTCAGGATAAACTAGGGAGGAGGAGAAGCATGTACGCCACCTTGGAGCAGAGGTGGGATGTAAATTGAGCAAGTGAACACCTGGAGGTTGCCTTACCTGGCCCATACTGCAGCTTTTACACTGGCTGATTTTTGTCATGTGTTAAATGCATTCTTTGTCCTGTTATGCGGTTCGTGAGAAAGGCTTTGGGCATGAACCCAAGGAACCCAAAGGAGTTCCTTGGGGGATGCCTTTGGGAGAAGAAAAGGTTAAGGAATAAACCTAACACAAATCCAGAGTGGAGTCCCTAAGGCAGTTGGATAGCGCCTTGTACACCTCCTTCCAGCAACTCCTGCCGCCAAGCGAGTGCCAAACGTCTTGCTTTGCTTTCCATTGGACCACATCAGCAAGCCCGAGAGGGGGGTCTTGTCGTCTGCACAGCCCAGGACCTCCAAATATACTGCCCAGGCTTGCACCATGGAGATACTCTAGCTTGCCTTGTTTGTGTGTGTAGCTATTCCATCGTGCCAGAAGCGATTTAGTCCTGCTGGCCATATGACCCGGAAAGCTGTCTGTGGACAAATGCTGGCTCCCTCGGCCTGAAAGCGAGATGAGCACCGCAACCCCAGAGTCACTTTTTACTGGACTTAACCATCCAGGCGTCCTTTACCTTTACCTTTTTTAGATATAACAGTGGTACCTCGGGTTAAGAACTTAATTCGTTCTGTAGGTCAGTTCTTAACCTGAAACTGTTCTTAACCTGAGGTACCACTTTAGGTAATGGGGCCTCCTGCTGCTGCCGCCGCCGCCGCGCAATTTCTGAAGCAAAGTTCTTGTACTATTTCTGGGTTAGTGGAGTGTGTAACCTAAAGTGTCTGTAACCCGAGGTAACACTCAAGAGTAGCATGATCATACCCAATAAGTGCCATAGTAAATTAGGTGGACAAGATTAGCCAATTTTTGTATCTTACTCCATCCCCTTTCCAAGTTTTCTTGATGTCTACTTTTAAATCTTTCAGGATGATGACGATGAGGGTGGAGAGGAAGAAGACGATGACGACGGCTTCTTTGTGCCCCATGGGTACCTCTCAGAGGATGAAGGTGTGACTGAAGTAAGCTACAAAATTCCAGGGCACCTTACAACAAGACTGCTCCCCCCTGGGAATGAATTTGCAAACGGTTACTTGTGTAGGGTAACTTGATCTACTCAGCTTGGCAGTGATGCAACAGTCCCTGCGGCACCAATAACTTGCCAACTGTAATCTGTACAAAAATCTCCAGTTCTAAGTTTTAGAATTCAAAGTGCTGATCTCATATTGACTAGCTAAGCTGAGAAAGTAGGCCAGGGGAGCCACCTTCCCTCCTGACCAATCATCTGAGTGCTGCACGCCATTGGTGGGCATGTCTGAAGTGGGTGTGGCTACTCCCCATGCCTGCAACCAATCAGAACCCGCATCGGACGTTCAGCTTCCAAAAATACCATATTTTTCGCTCTATAAGACGCACCAGACCATAAGATGCACCTAGTTTTTGGAGGAGGAAAACAAGAAAAAAAATATTCTGAATCTCAGAAGCCAGAACAGCAAGAGGGATTTGCTGCGCAGCGAAAGCAGCAATCCCTCTTGCTGTTCTGGCTTCTGGGATAGCTGTGCAGCCTGCATTTGCTCCGTAAGACGCACACACATTTCCCCTTACTTTTCAGGAGGGAAAAAGTGAGTCTTATAGAGCAAAAAATACGGTAGTTCACAAACCGGAAAAGTCACTTCCGGGTTTGCAGCGCTCGGGAGCCAAAACATTCGAAAACCAAGGCACAACTGTAATAGAAAAGAACTTCACTGCGGGGGGGGGGGTGGCACCTAGACCTTCTATTGTGGCAAGTGTAACCTAGGTTTAAGGCCCTATTTAGTGATTAGATTATATATCTGAGTTTCTAACCCTGGCACTGATACAGATGCATCGGATGTTCGGGTTCCAAAGAACGTTCGCAAACTGGAACACTCAGTTCCGGGTTTGCGGCATTCAGGAGCCAAAACATTTGACTCGCAAGGCGTTCGACTTCTGAGGTACGACTGTACTTCAATAGTAAAGTGACCAAATCTTTCTCTTTAGTTATGCAAACACCCAACCTTTTGAGCCGTTCTCCTTCTTCATCAGAGTAATGCTTTTCTTCCCCTTCCAGGAATGTGACCCCGAGAATTACAAAGCTCGCCAGAAGCTGAAAGCGAAGGAGTGGGACGAGCTGATCACTAAGGGGAAGAGATTCCGCGTCCTTCAGCCTGTGAAGATCGGCTGCGTTTGGGAAGGCAAGGAAAACAGCGACGCAGATCTGAGGCCCCTGCAGCAGTTCACAGTTTCTGTCCTGGACTCAACGATTGCCGATGAAGATCCGTTAGAAAAAAGCAGCAAAAAGAAAACGAAAGACCAGCAAAGTAAGCTGCAGGCAGGAAGAGTAAACAGCTCTGCCTCTTCCACACAGAAAGGGTGGCTTTGGCTAAAGGTGTTACGATGCTGTAAGGAAAGGTTTATGGCAGGGTTGGCCAACTCCCAAGAGACTGCAATCTACTCACGGAGTAGATCTACCCCCTTTTGAGGGGTTCAGGTCAAAGTTGTTGAGCTTTTTTTAGGGGAGCCAAACTTCTTGAGCAGTAATCTACTTAGATCACAATCTACATCTACCTGTTGGATGTGGCTGGCTTGTCTGTTGGAGAAATTTGTAAAGCGTTCGTCCTAACCAGGGTTGACCAAAGGAACACAGATAGACTCAGGCGTTAAGTGAAAAGTAAGCCTTTATTAATACAAATGTGCATACATGATCTCAGCCTCCTAAAAAGCCAGAGGGAGGCTGCATGTTGATGCTACCAGCCATTTTCGGACACAAACCACAGAGAGGGAGTTGGGAGAGAGATCAGACGGATCAGTTTTCCCTTTGTCTTCCTTTTGCTGGTTGGCAGGAAACCATGGCGGGGGTGGGGAGAGAGAGAGCAGATTAGAAATGTTCCTGTAGGAAATAACTGAATTTCTGGGCTTGTTACGCGAACCCTGGTCTAAAAAAGGGTCTTCTGGGGACACATCCTAGTACGTTTCCAAGCACAATTCAAAAGTCTTGGTGCTGACCTTTAAAGCCCTAAAGCAGGGGTCGGCAAGCTATGGCCCATGGGCTGGATGCGGCCCATGAGCCACCCCCGAACCGAGCCGCCCGCTCATTGCTCTTCCACAGCTCTGGAAATTGCTTCTGCTCATGCCCAGATGCCGGAAATCGCTTCTGCACAGGCGTGATTTTCAGTGTCTGGGCATGCGCAGAAGCGATTTCTGGCGTCATGCTGCACTGGTCTGGCCCACGGAGGATCTCTGCGGGAGTGATCCAGCCCATGCCCGGTAAGCCTTGGCGACCCCTGCCCTAAATGGCCTTGGTCCTGTATACCTGAAGGAGCGTCTCCACCCCCATCGTTCAGCGATGAGGTCCAGCTCTGAGGGCCTTCTGGCCATTCCCACACTGTTAGAAGTGAGGTTACAGGGAACCAGGCAGAGGGCCTTCTCGGTGGTGGCGCCCGCCCTGTGGAACGCCCCCCCATCAGATGTCAAAGAAATAAACAACTATCTGACTTTTAGAAGACACCTGAAGGCAGCCCTGTTTAGGGAAATTTTTAACGTCTAATGTTTTACATTTTTTGTGTGTGTGCTGTAAGCCACCTGGAGTGGCTGGGGAAACCCAGCCAGATGGGCTGGGTGTAAATAATAAATTATTAATTAATTATTCGGAAATTATTTTGGGAAGGGGAGGGGGCTGGCCTGAAGCTGACAGCCGGACAATCTCTTGATGACTTGACTGTCCTCCTCCATCTGTATGAAACAGCATCCTAATGCTCTCTCTCTTCTTTTCTCCACGCTCCAGTCTTGGGACAGCTGCTTCCCCTGCTTCACGGGAACGTTAACGGAAGCAAGGTCATCATCCAAGAGTTCCAGGAGTGCTGCCGCCTGGGGGTCCTGCAGGGCAACGACAACAACCCTACCTTTGCTCTGGAGGGCGGGGATGCCAGCCCCACAAGCCCCAACGCTTCCTGGGCCCAGGCCCCCGCCCACGACGGCTCCGCCATCCCTTCCAAAGCCAGGCTAAAACGGATCATCTCCGAGAACTCCGTCTACGAGAAGAGGCCCGACCACCGGATGTGTTGGTACGTGCACCCCGAGGTGCTGAAGAGCTACGGCCAAGAGAACCTGCCCGTCCCTTGCCAGTGGAACTACGTCACCCAAGTGTCCTCGGCGGGCAAGGAGGACGCCAGCAGCAGTTTGCCGGGAGGGGCAGCGATACAGACCACCCCGGTCTCTGCGAAACGGAAGTCGACAGGAAGCATGTCCATCACCAAGTTCATGAAGAGGCCTTTCGGCACCGGACAGGTGAGGTTCCTTTCAGGCACTCCGTTTTCTGCCTAGACTAGTACGGCCGCGCTCCCCAGGCCCTTAGCAACCTGCTGCACAGGGACCTTAATTTAAAGTGTGGCATCGTTGAATTCCTTGTCCACAAGCCCCACATAAGGAATAGGGAACCTGTGGTCCTCCAGAAGCTGTTGGATTCCAACTCCAGTGATCAGAGAAGACAAGAATATACAGTGGTACCTCGGGTTAAGTACTTAATTCGTTCCGGAGGTCCTTACCTAACCTGAAACTGTTCTTAACCTGAAGCACCACTTTAGCTAATGGGGCCTCCTGCTGCTGCTGCACCGCCGGAGCACGATTTCTGTTCTCATCCTGAAGCAAAGTTCTTAACCTGAAGCACTATTTCTGGGTTAGCGGAGTCTGTAACCTGAAGCGAATGTAACCCGAGGTACCACTGTAGAGCCCAGCATCACCTAGGCCCACATCCCTGCTCCCTGTGAAGATTTCCCTCTCTTCCCCTCTGTTCTTTCCTCCTGCTAGCCGCTCAGCCTCCAGGGCACTCTTTAGGGTCAGTTTTTTAATTTTAGATTTCATTTAGTGGGTGGCATAATTCGCCTGCCTTTTGGTTGCTGATGTCTGAAGACACCTTCCTTCCCCGCCCCCTTCTCTTTGCTCCAAGGCTGAAACCACAGAGATGGATGGATTTCAGGCTGACACGGAGGAAGAGGATGACGACGAATGCATGATTGTGGACGTGCAGCAAAGCAAAGGTGAGGCCCCTGGTTCAGGCACCCACGCACAGGTACACCCTCCCACCTCCACAAGCTGCCCAGTGTCTTTGCGTGTGCCATCTGCTCGTGGTCTCTCCCAAGCCGGCTTAAGAAGCCAGCTTTAAAAGATTGTAGCTCTTGTCATGAGGGACGCGGGTGGCGCTGTGGGTTAAAGCCTCAGCACCTAGGACTTGCCAATCGAAAGGTCGGCGGTTCGAATCCCCGCGGTGGGGTGCGCTCCTGTTGCTCGGTCCCAGCGCCTGCCAACCTAGCAGTTCGAAAGCACCCCCAGGTGCAAGTAGATAAATAGGGACCGCATACCAGCGGGAAGGTAAACGGCGTTCCGTGTGCTGCGCTGGCTCGCCAGAGCAGCGATGTCATGCTGGCCACGTGACCCGGAAGTGTCTCCGGACAGCGCTGGCCCCCGGCCTATAGAGTGAGATGGGCGCACAACCCTAGAGTCTGGCAAGACTGGCCCGTACGGGCAGGGGTACCTTTACCTTTAGCTCTTGTCATGACAAGACTCAGAAAACGCAGCGGCGGAGAATGAAAGAACTGGAAAAACAAGCACACTGCTGTTTCCCAAGACGTCTCTCACACAGGTCAACCCACAGAGGCGAGAGGATGAGCAGAGCCGTCTATGGAAAAATCTTTCCCTGCTTTTGCTTATGCGCCTTTAAAGGAAATGACTGGGGGGGTCTGTGGGACAACAAGCACTCTGAATTAACTGCCGTGTGCATGTGAACAAGCGGCCTAACATTCAGTAGGCTTGGTTTAATTTCCACCCTGCTTTCTGTTCCGGAAGGATCCCTTAATGCAGGCATAGGCAAACTCAGCCCTCCAGATGTTTTGGGCCTACAACTCCCATCATCCCTAGCTAGCAAGACCAGTGGTCAGGGATGATGGGAATTGTAGTCCCAAAACATCTGGAGGGCCGAGTTTGCCTATGCCTGCCTTAATGCGAGCTTGTGTAAAATAATAAAGCACAGTAAGTTTGCTTTGGGCACTTCTCGCTCGTCTGACACACACAGCATCATTGTGGGGTGGAATTCCTTCCCATCTTCCCAGCCCATTGCCCCCCCCCTCCTCGCTTTGCTAGCAATTAGGTGGTCAGTTTCTTGGCCATACGTTCCATACAGCCATTCAAGAGTGAGAAGGCAACAGGTGTCATGCCTCAATTTTGTGTATAGTGTTAACTAGGCCCTGGCTCTGTTCCCGCGTCAGTCTTGAGTTCAATAAACCGTGGCTTGTTGGATCTAGAATAAAAGTTGGACACACAAACACACTCCTGTTTTAGTGCTAATCATTGGGGGTTGTTACATCATGAGATAGATAGATAAAACGTTATTCGCGTTAGCCAATGGCCATAGCAACAGTAAAACATTATACAGTATACAGTAGTACCTCGCAAGACGAATGCCTTGCAAGACAAAAAACTCGCTAGACGAAAGGGGTTTTTGTTTTTTGAGCTGCTTCGCAAGACGATTTTCCCTACGGGCTTTCTTCGCAAGACGGAAATGTCTTGCAAGTTTGTTTCCTTTTTCTTAACACCGTTAATACAATTGCGACTTGACTTCAAGGAGCAACTCATAGAACGCGGCAGCCTTTTTTGAGGTTTTTAAAGACTTTGGCGATTTTTGAAGCTTTTCCAAAACTTTCCCGACACCGTGCTTTGCAAGAGGAAAAAAATCGCAAGGCGACAAAACTCGCGGAACGAATTAATTTCGTCTTGCGAGGCACCACTGTACGCAGCATACGCAGAAAAGGAAATTTGATATAAGAGCACAATCATGAGTGTTGCTTCCAAGTCTACAATTCTGTAATAAAGGGAGTGTTGGGGGGCGGGGGGAATTGATCACTTTTCTGAACACAAAAGACAGTGAAAAACCCACAACTCTACAGAGGAGCAGCTGTTTATTCTGTATCTTGGTATTAGCCAAACTTCAGCTGGGAACAATTCAGCCAAGGAGGACTGGCCTAGGGGAAAGATCTGGGAGCTGTAACAGATTAGCTCCACAGGAAGCTTCACATCAGGAGGCGCAGACGCACCTTTTCTATTTTTTGAGTAAACTGTTGTGTCTTCACAGCACCTGCGTTGGAGACCCCGGAAATTGCATCCGAGGGAGTACAAGCAACTTCAGTCGTGGCCGTCGACTCCTCTAATGCCGATTGATATACACAGTCCCCACCCCACCCATTAACTGCTCTGTATGTATGTAGAATTCCTTAGAATGGTTTTTTAAAAAACTCTTCTGTATCTTTTTTTATTGTATAAGATACTTGAACATACTCTGTATTCCTTGTAAAGAGAAGACGGCACTTTGTTCTGCTTCAGATCAGTGGAAGCACAAGACGTACTTTTTAGAGGGTTAGTTGGGGGGGAGGGGGGACAGGTTTAGATGAAAATACACTTATACTCTCTAATAAAAGCATTATTGACCTTTTCAGTGTGCCCCATACAAATGGGGATACCTGTCGCATTTTGTCTAGGTGGGGGGAGAGGGGTTTAAAAGTGTGCCAGGAACACACCTCATGCCTCAAATCCATGCCTGCTCATCCCTTCTATTCCATTCACATCAGCAGCACAAAGGCCCCTGGTCTCCTTTCCCAGTCTCAGCTGATCTTTCACATCCACTCTGGCAGCTGGAGGAGGAAACCTGGGGCCAGAAGTGACAAAGCCGCAGCTTTAGTCTGCACATGGATGCTGGCCTTGGAATTTTTCGCCCTATAGGACGCACTTTTCCCCCTCCAAAAACGAAGGGGAAACGTGTGTGCGTCCTATGGAGTGCAGGCTTTCGCTGAAGCCTGGAGAGCAAGAGGGGTCGGTGCGCACTGACCCCTCTCGCTCTCCAGGCTTCAGGAAGCTATCCGCAAGCCTTGGGAGCCCGGCGGGAGTTCCCACCGGGCTCTGAAGGCTTGCGGATAGCAGCAAGCTCCAGGAGCGAAGGCAAGGTTGCTTAGGCTTCCCCGGCCCCGCGGCTAAAGAGGAAGCCAAGACAGCCACTGAGATGGATCCCGCTGGTTGTCTTGGCTTCTTTGCTCTTTGGGGCTGGGGGGGGGTATTATTTTTTATTTATTCCCCCCCCCAAAAAAAAACACACCTAGGTGCGCCCTATGGTCTGGTGCGCCCTATAGGGTGAAAAATACGGTACGTCCCCTTTAGGAACATGGAAACTGCCTCTTGACCATGTACTCCTGCACTGTCGACCTTAACTGGCAGCAGCACAGTGTTTCAGGTGGAGTCTTGCATCTTCCCCATCCGATGCTCTAAAGAAGCTGAACTGGAGATTGTAGCAGCAGTGTCAGAACACGCCGGGGGGGGGGGGGCACACGCAGCCCCCGGAATGAGACAGACCTCTCCGGGCGTCTTCCTGATGAAGCGCAGCTCGGGACGTTCACAAATCAGTCCCAGTGCGCACCAGCGACACATATCTAAAGACATGTGCACACTCTTATCAGCAGAGTATAGCAGAAACGATCGTGGAGCGTGAGTGTGTGCATTCCAAGTATTTATTAAGCAATATATACAGGACAAAGCAATCATGGCGTCTCTTCTCAGTTCTTCTCCAAGAGAGAGAGAGTAAAGAAAAGTACAAAAGTACAGTATAGCAGAAGGGACGCGGGTGGCGCTGTGGGTTAAACCACAGAGCCTAGGACTTGCTGATCAGAAGGTTGGCAGTTCGAATCCTTGCGACGGGGTGAGCGCCCGTTGCTCGGTCCCTGCTCCTGCCAACCTAGCAGTTCGTAAGCACCTCAAAGTGCAAGTAGATAAATAGGTACCGCTCCGGGGGGGAGGCAACCGGTGTTTCCGTGCGCTGCTCTGGTTCACCAGAAGCGGCTTAGTTCTGCTGGCCACATGACCTGGAAGCTGTTCGCCGGCTCCCTCGGCAAATAAAGCGGTATGAGCTCCGCAACCCCAGAGTTGGCCACGACTGGACCTAATGGTCCGGGGTCCCTTTACCTTACAGTATAGCAGAAGAGAGATAAGGACTGACTTCCATTCTCACACTTTCCACACCTAGAAAGTAAACACTGACATGTGATGTAACAATCACGTACCCAGCAACGGAGGAATGAAATGCTAACAAGCAGCGCCCAACCTTTTTTTGATCAGTGGGCAGCAGTCCTGAAATTTGGGGCGGGGCATGGCACAACATTAAGTCGTTGCTGCTTCTGCTCCTCGGGGGCCTCATTACCATGGGAAATCAGCTTTGTCCTGCAAACATCCCGTAATACTTCAGGATGCACACAATGTTACCTAGGGGAAGGACCAATTCCTTAGTCCCAGGGGAAAGTATACAACAGGGGTCAGCAAACTTTTTCAGCAGGGGGCCGGGACCACTATATTTTTTGGGGGGGACACAAATGAATTCCTATGCCCCATAAATAACCCAGAGATGCATTTTAAATAAAAGGACATATTCTACTCATGTAAAAACACGCTGATTCCCAGACCGTCCGTGGGCCAGATTTAGAAGGCAATTGGGCCAGATCCAGCCCCTGGGCCTTAGTTTACCTACCCATGGTAACCTGCGCTTCCATGGACAGCTAGGCAAATATAAAAAAAATTCAGTATAAACACTGACAACTGGGAAACACTGGCCTGCAAGCGCTCCAGTTGGAGAACAGCCTTGACCAAAGTTGTCATGGGCTTTGAAGACACTCGAACTCAGGACCAAAGGGAGAAACGTGCTAAGAGGAAGGCACGCTTGGTAAATCCACACAGTGATCAACTCCTGCCCAGAAACCTATGTTCCCACTGTGGAAGGACGTGTGGATCCAGAATTGGCCTCCACAGCCACTTACGGACTGCCGATTAAGACAGTGTTCATGGAAGACAATCTTACTCTGCTACAAGGGATCGCCAAAGAAGATGACATCTATCCCTTTCAGCAGGAAACCCGGCTTCCAGATAAATCCAAAAACCGTGAAGAGAGCAAACTGTTTCTATAGCCCATTCCTCCACTCTAAGGTACACACTTGTTTCTGCAAAGCAATCTGCAGTCGCCCTGGCATGGACTAAATGGAAGCTTCTGGGTATAAAGCAAAGGTGAGGGGCCTCATCCTTCCCCATGCTGAGCATTATTTGTAAGACTTAACAACTTCCAGAGTGGTCCCAGCTCTCCCGCCCCTCACCCTATTCCTGTGACTAATTGTTTTTAATATTTAATACGGAATTTCAAATGGCTATCAGCCACCATGAGACCTGAAGGTTGTGGTAATAGTACTTTTATTATTAAATTTGTGTAACTGCCCTTCGTTCGAAGATCACAGGGCAGCTCACGACAGAAAAATAAAAAACGGGACTGCAAAATACATAAAACGAAAACCAACGGCCTCTCCCTCCTTACAGATTTGAAAGGCTGCAGAATGCTAATCTGCCAAAGCTTGGTTATAGAGAACATTCCCCCCCCCCGGCACCTAAAAGATAGGTGGGGCAGGTGACAGGCAAGCCTCCCTGGGGAGAGCGTTGCATAAATGGGGAGCCACCACAGAAAAGGCCCGTTCTCATGTTGCTGCCCTCCAGATCTCTAATGGGGGAGCAACATGAAGGAGGATAGCAGAGTTTCAATGCCTTACCCTGGCGACATGTAAGGTCTTACCTGGGGTCTAGTACTGTTATTATTTATACCTCACTTATCTGGCTGGGTTGCCCCAGCCACTCTGGGCATAGAAAAACCATAATAAAATGTCAAACATTAAAAACCCTACACAGGACTGCCTTCAGAGGTCTTCTAAAAGTCAGACAGTTGTTTTATTTCCTTGACATCTGATGGGAGGGAGCCACCACTGAGAAGGCCCTCTGCCTGGTTCCCTGTAACCTCACTTCTAGCAGGGAGGGAACCGCCAGAAGGCCCTCGGAGCTGGACCTCAGTGTCTGGGCTGGACGATGGGGGTGGAGACGCTCCTTCAGGTATACTGGGCCAAGGCCGTTTAGGGCTTTAAAGGTCAGCACCAACACTTTGAATTGTGCTTGGAAATTTACTGGGAGCCAATGCAGGTCTTTTAGGACTGGTGGTATATGGTCCTGGCAGCCGCTCCCAGTCACCAGTCTGGCAGCCGCATTCTGGATTAGTTGAAGTTTCCGACTCACTTTCAAAGGTAGCCCCACGTGGAGCGCATGGCAGTAGTCCAAGCGGGAGATAACCAGATCATGCACCACTCTGGCGAGACAGTCTGTGGGCAGGGAGGGTCTCAGCCTGCGTACCAGATGGAGCTGGTAAACAGCTGCCCTGGATACAGATTTGACCTGTGCCTCCATGGACAGCTGTGAGTCCAAAACGACTCCCAGGCTGCGCACCTGGTCCTTCAGGGGCACAGTTGCCCCATTCAGGACCAGGGAGTCCCCCCTCCCACTTGCATGCGGATCAGATGCTCCACCCCCAAGCCACAACCTCTCTCCCCTCACACCGTTCGCCACTCTCATCGCCTGCTGCTCTGGAAGACAAAACACCCCAAGTACTTGTGGCAGCATATCTTCCTTTAATAAAGCCAACAGCTTCTCCTGCCTTTAGGCTGACTCAGTTACAGACCAAAAACGAAACAAAAAAAAAAGCTTCTTCCTAGCCTGGGATCGGGGAGGAACAAGGTTTGTGGAACGGAAGCAAAAAGGAAGCGCTCTTGGCCCCTCGGAACAAGCCGATTCGTGTCGCCAGGGCAGGGTAGTGTTTTGATCCTTGTTTTTCCCCAGCAAGAAGCTTCGTTTTGAGGCTAGAAAGAGGTTAGGACCCCTCCGAGGGAAGGTTATAAATAGAAGACAAAAAATAAGCAGCCCTGTAAAAATATCTCTCTGGATCCAACTCGTTTTGAACCAGTTCCAAGTCCTCCATGCGCTACTGCCCGGCGAGGCAACTGCTCTGGCCACAGCTACTCTGATTCCAGGGCCCTAACACGCACTAGGGAAAAATAGCAGCCTCCCCGCTCCCTATTTCCGCCCCCATTTAGTGTTCACAAGACAGGGAGTTACTGCAGTGTCCGAAGCAGCGTCCGTAAGAAACACGGGAGAAGGGGACCACGAGGGACGGGGCTGGATCTAATCCCGGATTGCTTTTATTTTCAGGACAGGGTCTGCACGGCCAGCAGGAGGTCCGGCTTCAGAACGCTCTCCATGCGCTCCCCGCCGGAAGCCTTGATATCCGCCATGACGTCGGCATCCCAGACGAACGTCAGAAGGGCAGATGGCACCTTGGGGAAGAAACAAAGGCACTTGGCGTTATTAGGACTAGAGGTGTAAAATTTCTGGAAATTTTGAAGCCATGAGGGGGGGGGGGAATGTCCGTCCCCCCTATTTTTTTCCGGGGGGAAATGGAAATTTTGGAAAAGTTGAAACAAAGTTTAGTGCGGCTTTACAAATTGTGTGAAACGCAGAGTAGATAAAAGTACAGTGGTACCTCGGGTTAAGGGACGCGGGTGGCGCTGTGGGTAAAACCTCAGCGCCTAGGACTTGCCGATTGCATGGTCAGCGGTTCGAATCCCCGCGGCGGGGTGTGCTCCCGTTGCTCGGTCCCTGCTCCTGCCAACCTAGCAGTTCGAAAGCACCTCCGGGTGCAAGTAGATAAATAGGGACCGCTTACCAGCGGGAAGGTAAACGGCGTTTCCGTGTGCTGCTCTGGTGCTGGCTTGCCAGAGCAGCGATGTCACGCTGGCCACGTGACCTCTTGAGTGAGATGGGCGCACAACCCTAGAGTCTGTCAAGACTGGCCCGTATGGGCAGGGGTACCTTTACCTTTTTTTACCTCGGGTTAAGTACTTAATTCGTTCCGGAGGTCTGTTCTTAACCTGAAGCACCACTTTAGTTAATGGGGCCTCCTGCTGCTGCCGCAGCCCGATTTCTGTTCTTATCCTGAAGCAAAGTTCTTAACCTGAAGCACTATTTCTGGGTTAGCGGAGTGCGTAACCTGAAGCGTATGTAACCTGAGGTACCACTGTATTGTGCTTGCAATAAAACAGGTAACCACACACCCCTTTCCCTCAAAAGCAACAAAAAAAGCAAGAAACCATCAACATGAAAAAATAATCAGATTTGCCCCTTAGAACCAACAGCAAATAAAGTTAAGGTCCACCTCAAAATTTAAGCTCTATAGAAGGTCTACCCTTTTGAGTAGTGCTTTAAAAAACAACCAGAAGACACAACATATACATGCAGTTTATCTCATTTTCTGAACTACTGCTATCATTTTCCATTTCTTCTGGCTCTTCCCTCTTTGTCGTTTTCTCATGGACTTCTAAAAAATGGCTTTGGGGGAAAACGGGAGGGGGGGACTGGTTCCGCACCGGGGTTTTTCCCAAGCCGTCCCATCCACTCTGGGCGACTCCCAACAGAATATGAAAAAAACGATAAAACATCAAATATTAAAACTTCCCTAAACAGGGCTGCCTTCAGATGTCTTCTAAAAGTCAGATAGTTCTTTATCTCCTTGACATCTGGTGGGAGGGCGTTCCACAGGGTGGGCACCACCACCGAGAAGGCCCTCTGCCTGGTTCCCTGTAACTTGGCTTCACGCAGGGAGGGAACCACCAGAAGATCCTCGGAGCTGGACCTCAGTGTCCGGGCTGGACGATGGGGGTGGAGACACTCCTTCAGGTATACAGGACCATTTAGGGCTTCAAAGGTCAGCACCAACACTTTGAATTGTGCTTGGAAACGTACTGGGAGCCAGTGCAGGTCTTTCAGGACCGGTGTCATATGGTCTCGGTGCATATCCTCAGATTTCAGACTCTTGTCATTTAGCGTCCTCCCCTCCCCTGCTCCCCAAGTTCTTCAAAAACCACCTAGGCCAAAATGAAAAATTTCACCTGAATCACACAGGGTGTACAACTGTCCAACCCAAGCTTCCTTAGAGGAGCACAGTTCAAAGGATGGATCCTGCCGTTAAGGGACATGAAAGCCCCATCATATTCATGTTGGCTATTTGCAGATTAGTTGCACTACAGAAAGCTTCCTGGGGAGACCACACATTACAAGGAACACAAAATACCGTATTTTTTGCTCTATAAGACGCACTTTCCCCCTCCTAAAACGTAGGGGGAAATGTGTGTGCGTCTTATGGAGCGAGTGCAGGCTGCGCAGCTATCCCAGAAGCCAGAACAGCAAGAGGGATTGCTGCTTTCACTGCGCAGCGATCCCTCTTGCTGTTCTGGCTTCTGAGATTCAGAATATATTTTTTCTTGTTTTCCTCCTCCAAAAACTAGGTGCGTCTTGTGGTCTGGTGCGTCTTATAGAGCGAAAAATACGGCAACTTTAGCAAGGTTTTACTAACAAAAGCAAAAACTCCCTTTTACACTAAACATATCAATAAGCATAACCCAGCCCCCAGGGTACTGAGAGAGCTAGGTGCTGCTCTTTATATACTATACCTAATTGCTAACACAGCTTAATTAACACAACTAAACAGCACCTGCTATACTGCTTCACAGCTGTAAAACTAGGTCATGTTATTTGCTCTGGCCCTTAAAGACATACACATCCTGTGGAACAATAATGAACCTTCGAATTTAAAGAGACCATTCAACAATTCAGTGGTGCTTGCTCCAGGTTTCGACGTGGACAGGACCGCACCTGACCCCCCGTCATTGGCAAGGAGACTTAAGCAAGGTGGCCACACTTACCAGGCCACATTCATTGAGCGCCATGCTCTCGTCGGTCAGTTTGTGGCCTCCGGGGGCCAGAAGCTCAAAGGGGAGCCAGTTGTTCTGTAGTGTCTCTCGCACAAACTGGTAAAGGGCCGAGATGGGCTCCCGGGCGTAGAACGTCCCTGCGCCAGAAAGAAAGAAAATTTATTCTCTAGTGTTTTGTGCAGATTCGGAAATTTGTGCAGGGCAAACCCACGCCATGCATTTGAAGCACATTCAACACGCATTTGAAGCCTGTGACTTCACTCAAAAGGATCCCAGGAACCGTGGTTTCTCGGTTGCAAATCTACCCATGCTCTTAAGAATATTAGTGGGGGTGGGCAGGGGAAGTAGTAGACCATGGGTGGTCCGGGAATCAGCGTGTTTTTACATGAGTAGAATGTGCTTTTACCGTATTTTTCGCTCTATTGGACGCACCGGACCACAGGACGCACCTAGTTTTTAGAGGGGGAAATCAAGGAAAAAAATATTATCCCCCCCCAGCCCCAAAGAGCAACGGACAGGCTGCGGGCTTCCTCTTTAGCCTTGAGCAGCATCTTTAGCCTTGCACAACGGGATGGATCGTGCCCGCTGTCCACCGGGGCTGGACTAGATGACTCCTGGGGTTCCCTTCCAACCCTGCAATTCTGTGACCTCGGAAGTTGTTGGGGGTCTCCACCACTGGAGGCTTTTAAGCAGCAGTTGGGGGACCATCTGCCTGGCGTTCTTTAGCTGTGATTCCTACATTGTGAGGGGGCTGGGCTAGATGACCCTCGGGTGGCCCTCCCAACTCTATACAGTCCTACACTTCTGTGGCAGGAGATCCACAGCCACTTCACACAATGCCCACTCCCAATTTTCATTGGAGAGACATGTGGCTTCACTGTCTAGGTAGGTACCCCCCTACCTGCCACTCTTCCCCCACCCACTTAAGCCGAGGGAATTCCTTGTCCAGAGAAAGCTCCCAGGTGAGGCAAGGGTTAAGATCTACCTCTGGTAAATGGCTTTGTATCCTCCCTCTTTCCCTTTTCTCTTCTTCTTCTATGCTAGTTCCTTCTCTTGTGTTTTGTTTAATCTGTTTTTATTGTATACTAAAATAAAAGCTGCAAAGTTTCCTTTTTTATAATATTCCCACCCTCCAAATTAAAACGTTAATCTAGATAAAAACACTGATCCAGAGGAAAATAAGGGGGTGGAGAAAGGACGAAAAAAGAAAAGAGGTAGAGATAGAGAGATTTTTTAAAAGTTGGCTTCTTTTAGGCCTTGTGCAGCCTCCCGCGGCTGGAGAGGTGTGCTAGGCAAAAGAGGAAGCCCAGGCAGTGAGCGGGATGGATCGCGCTCGCTGCCCGGGCTTCCTCTTTAGCCTTGCTCAGCCTCCCGCGGCTGGAGAGGCGCGCACTGCTAAAGAGGAAAGCCCAGGCAGTGAGCGGGATGGATCGCGCTCGCTGCCCGGGCTTCCTCTTTAGCCTTGCGTATCCTCCCGCGGCTGGAGAGGCGCGCACTGCTAAAGAGGAAGCCCAGGCAGCGAGCGGGATGGATCGCGCTCACTGCCCAGGCTTCCTCTTTAGCCTTGCTCAGCCTCCTGCGGCTGGAGAGGCGCGCACTGCTAAAGAGGAAGCTCGGGCAGCGAGCGGGATGGATGGCGCTCACTGCCCGGGCTTCCTCTTTAGCCTTGCTCAGCCTCCCGCGGCTGGAGAGGCGCGCACTGCTAAAGAGGAAGCCCAGGCAGTGAGCGGGATGGAATCGCGCTCGCTGCCCGGCGGCTTCCTCTTTAGCCTTGGCGTATCCTCCCGCGGCTGGAGAGGCGAGCACTGCTAAAGAGGAAGCTCGGGCAGCGAGCGGGATGGATCGCGCTCACTTCCCGGGCTTCCTCTTTAGCCTTGCGCGCGTGGGAGGCGGCGCACTGCTAAAGAGGAAGCTCGGGCAGCAAGCGGGATGGATCGTGCTCACTGCCTGGGCTTCCTCTTTAGCCTTGCGCGCGTGGGAGGCGGCGCACTGCTAAAGAGGAAGCCCGGGCAGCGAGCGGGATGGATCGTGCTCACTGCCTGGGCTTCCTCTTTAGCCTTTGCTCAGCCTTCTGCGGCTGGAGAGGCGCGCACTGCTAAAGAGGAAGCTCGGGCAGCGAGCGGGATGGATCGCGCTCACTGCCCGGGCTTCCTCTTTAGCCTTGCGTATCCTCCCACGACTGCGCAAATTGCGCAAGGCTTTTCTAGAAGAGGGAGAAGGGACTGACTGGCCGCGTCAGTCCCTTCTCCCTCCTGGGGAAAAGCCCGCAAGAGCCATGCGAAGCTTGTGTGTGGCTCTTGCGGGCTTTTCTTGCTTGCCTCCCCCCCCCCTGCATTCGCACCATAGGACGCACAGACTTTTCCCCTTAGTTTTTAAGACGGAAAAACTGCGTCCTATGGTGCGAAAAATACGGTATTTAAAATGCATCTCTGGGTTATTTGTGGGGCCTGCCTGGTGTTTTTACATGAGTAGAATGGGTGCTTTTATTTAAAATGCATCTCTGGGTTATTTGTAGGGCATAGGAATTCGTTCATTATTTTTTCCCCAAAATATAGTCCGGCCCACCACAAGGTCTGAGGGACAGTGGACCGGCCCCCTGCTGAAAAAGTTTGCTGACCCCTGAACTAGACCATGTGAAAAACGACCGTAAGATTTAGCTGCAGTTCATTCCTTTTCAGCTTTGTATTCTTGTTATAAGAATACAGTGGTACCTCTGGTTATGTACTTAATTCGTTCCAGAGGTCCGTTCTTAACCTGAAACTGTTCTTAACCTGAAGCACCACTTTAGCTAATGGGGCTTCCTGCTGCCGCCGCACCACCGGAGCACGATTTCTGTTCTCATCCTGAAGCAAAGTTCCTAACTCGAGGTACTATTTCTGGGTTAGCAGAGTCTGTAACCTGAAGTGTATGTAACCCGAGGTACCACTGTACATTCCGTTGTTGCGCCCATAACCTAGGTTTAAGGCGCCATTTAGCTCCTGGCTTTCATATCTCAGTTTCTAACGCTGCTCGCGAGGTCATCGTGCTATAATATTTCTTTAAGGCATCCATTCTTCCAGCCCAAAGACTTAGGATGAAGCAACCTGTGTCGACTGAGCACTGGGTGGCTGGCGGCCTTTGGCCGGGCTCTGGTTCCCATTCAGAGCTTTCGCACGTACCTTGTAAGATGTACCCGTCCGGGAAGCGGATGCGCAGCAAGGCGTAGTTGTACTTCCTCAGCTCCCTCTGCTCCTCCTTCTCCCGCATGGCCTTCGTTCTCAGCATCGACGCCTTCTCAACCGCTTCTGTCCTTCAGAGGCAAAAGAAAGAGGGACCACACTGGAACGCGGAGCCAACAACTGGTTGTCGCCGACACATCCGCAGCGGTTTCCAGATCTAAAATACAATGAGCAGCTGGCTGCCTTTTCCTTTTTGGGGGGCCCACTTCCGGGTTGGAGGAGCACCGGAAATAGCTTGTGCGCATGCGTTATTCGTGCATGCGCAAGCGTTATTCCCGGTGCACATCCGGGTCAGAGGAGGCCCGTGCACTTGCGCACAAGCTATTTCCGGTGCTGCTCCGACCCGAAAGTGCGCCGGAAATTGCGTGTGCCCATGCATATGGGCACGCGCTCCGCCGCCCTTTGGCCTGCCGCGCGATCGACGCTGGAGACACCGGCCCAAGGTGCAGTAAGTTTGCTGACCCCTGGTATTATGGGATGTGGAAACCAAAGTCCCCGTTCCCAGGCACACCGGCAGCAGACTCAATCTGTGGCTTAAGGGAGCCGTTTTAAAATAGGTTTGTCACTGTGGAGTGCTGCTTTTAACAACTAACGACCCTGCGAAGCAACAGCTTCCTGGGTTCAAGTCCTGATGTTCTGCGAAATGTACTTAAACACTGATTTTTTAAAAAAAAAGATTTTCAAAGCAACCCCTGGACCGAGCTTGGGAGGCAGCGGCAAAAACATATGGCCTGTGTTGGACTGATCTTTAGTTTAATAATGATACTGGAAAGCCGTTACATTCAATTATAAGGAAACTCAGAAGGGAGGGACTAGAGAAGAAGAGGAGGAGTTTGGATTTGATATCCCACCTTTCACTCCCCTTCAGGAGTCTCAAAGCAGCTAACATTCTCCTTTCCCTTCCTTCACCACAACAAACACTCTGTGAGGTGAGTGGGGCTGAGAGACTTCAGAGAAGTGTGAGTGGCCCAAGGTCACCCAGCAGCTGCAGGTGGAGGAGCGGGAAGCGAACCCAGTTCACCAGATTACGAGACTACCGCTCTTAACCACTCCACCACGCTGGCTCTCAAAGGAAGTCAATTAAGAGGTTTTAAAAGGTGGGATTTTCAAAGAATTAAGTTTGTTGTTATTTGTGTATTTTTGTTTTTGTGTTGTTATTTTGCTTTGTGGTTTTTGTTATATTTGTGGAAAACCTAATAAAATTAATAAAAAAAAAAGAAAAGAAAACGACGTGTGGCCTGTGAGCCTTTCAGTCGAGGCGGCATCACTCACCGGAGCCTCTGTTCCCGCTTGAGCTCCTCAGCGGTGATGCTGAAGAAGTCGCTTGGCAGCTCGAAGCGGGAGGCCTGGGGGGACGGCTTGAAGACGCGGAGCTGGCGGTCCAGCTGGGCCCGGAGCGGCTCCCCGCTCAGAAGCTTCTCCTTGTGCTCCTTCAGGTCACCCAGCTTCCCCTCCTTCAGGACATAGAAGTCCTCTGTGGCCTCTTCTAAAGGGATGGAGAGGGGAGGAAAAGAGAGGGATCCTCTTATCACTCGGCACTTGCTAAGGGGACGGGGATGGGCAGGTGTGGAGGACTCCCTGGTCCTGAATGGGGTAAAGGGACCCCTGACCATTAGGTCCAGTCGTGGCCGACTCTGGGGTTGCGGCGTTCATCTCGCTTTACTGGCCGAGGGAGCCGGCGTACAGCTTCCGGGTCATGTGGCCAGCAGGACTAAGCCGCTTCTGGCGAACCAGAGCAGCGCACGGAAATGCTGTTTACCTTCCCGCCGGAGCGGTACCTATTGATCTACTTTGACGTGCTTTCGAACTGCTAGGTTGGCAGGAGCAGGGACCGAGCAACGGGAGCTCACCCCGTCGTGGGGATTCGAACCGCCGACCTTCTGATCAGCAAGCCCAAGAGGCTCAGTGGTTTAACCCACAGCACCACCCGCGTCCCACCCCTGAATGGGGTAACTGTCCCTAAAGGACCAGGTGCGCAGCCTGGGAGTCGTTTCGGATTCATAGCTGTCCATGGAAGCGCAGGTTAATTCTGTGTCCAGGGAATGCCCCGGAGCTTAGGGAGGGCGAAGAACAGGAGCCTTTAGAAAAGACAGGAGAGGGAGAGGAGGACAAGCAAGTGGAAGGAACTCAAGCGGCGAGGACACTCCCGGATGCTGGAGAGCAGCAACACCACCCGACCAGTTCAGGGACAGAGGGAGATTCAATGCCCATTCCTTCAGCACAGGACAGGAGGGGGTTAAAACGTAGGGAACAGAGGAGGCGCTTGGGGGTTCCCAAGCTCCTCTGCTGGAGGAGGAGCCGAAAGCTCCCACTTCCTGGATCTGCTACCGAGGATTCGGACGCTTGAAGCTATGTTCTGTACCTTGTAAATACTGTACAGACAGGCTGTAAATATATCTCTGAGTGAGCAGAGGTATTCCTTGCGAAAGGCTTCCAGATCCCCATCACAGGGCAGCTGTCCACCAGCTCCACCTGAGACCCTGCCTGCTTGCGCACTGTCTCGCCAGAGTGGTCCATGCTCTGGTTATCTCCTGCTTAGACTACTGCTCTCTGTGGGGCTACCTTCGAAGGCGACTCAGAAACTACAACTAATCCAGAATGTGGTAGCTAGACTGGGGACTGGGAGCTGCCACCGGAACCATGTAACACCAGTTCTAAAGGACCTTCACTGGCTCCCAATACTTTTCAGAACACAATTCAAAGTGTTGGGGCTGACCTTTAAAGCCCTAAACAGCCTCAGCCCAGTATACCTCCTGAAGGAGCGTCTCCACCCCCATCGTCACCCCAGCCCAGACACTGATGTCCAGCTCCGAGGGTCTTCTGCCAGTTCCCTCCCTGCAAGAAGCGAAGCTACAGGGAACACCCTCCCAACAGATGTCAAGGAGATAAACACCCATATGGCTTTTAGAAGACATCTGAAGGCAGCACTGTATAGCGAAGTTCTAAATGTTTGCTGTTTTGTTGTGTTCTTAATATTTTGTCGGGAGCCGCCCAGGCTGGCTGGGGCAGCCCAGTTAGATGGGTGGCATATAAATTTAATAATAATAGTAATCATATCTGCAGGAACTTCTTGCAATGCAACTTCTCTCAGATAGCAATTCACGAAAAGTAGGACGGAATGGAGATAGACTTAAAATAAATACCGTCATACCTCGGATTACAGACACTACAGGCCTGCGCATTTTCAGGTTGCGCACCGCGCCGAACCCGTAAGTACCGGAACGGGTTACTTCTGGGTTTCGGCGCTCGCGCATGAGCACTAAATCACACTTTGCACATGCGCAGAAGCACCGAATCACGACGTGCGCGGACGTGGCGCTGCGGGTTGCGAACGTGCCTCCCGCATGGATCACGTTCGCAACCGGAGCGCCCACTGCGTATCTCCACCGCAGCAGCTCTTGAAATGTGGGTTGAAGATGGACAGAAGAGCTTCCAATCTCAAGGGAACTTAAACGGGCCTGGAGAAACCCTCATCCCAGGAATCCCCCATTTGACCTAATTGAAACCAGAAGCATTCTGTACGGTGTTCAAAGTGCTTCTCGCCTTGTAATCCTGGCAACAATCCTGTAAGTTCGGCGGGTCTTATCCTTGTCCCCATCTGTGGCTTGCCGAGATTCTGTGTGGCTTGCCCACGGCCACCTTGTGAGCCGGCACCTTCTCGTCTGCAGCTCAGCCTTTCAGCGGCTACGCTGAGCCTTACCTTGTCCCGGGACGCTGAGGGTGGCCTTTTCAAACCCAACGGCCTGGAAAAACTTGTGCGTCCCCTCCAGGCAGTGGATCCTTTCCTAGGAGGAAGCCATACGAATCCGTGCTGTTTATTTCTTTTCCTGCAAGCCTTTCCTGCCATCCCACACAACTCCCTGAGGCTGGTTATTTCAGTTTTATGTCACTTGCCTTTGCACCCTCTGCCAAAGTCTGTTCAACAATATAAGGCGATTTAAGCGAGGGGCAGAGACCCTGTGAGCTGTGGGCCAAATCTGACCCAGCATGAGCCTCGCCCCAAACCACGGCCACATGCCCCACACCTGACGTCACAACAATCTTAGCTTCAAGCAATCTCAGCCCCCTGAGCTGACATGCCAAATGGGGCTTATCCTTCACTTTTGTAGTCTTCATTTTTCTGTGAGATGGTTTCTGCCAAGCTCTAGCGAGAGCAGGGTTTGGGAACGTGGACATTAGGTAAAGGTAAAGGGACCCCTGACCATTAGGTCCAGTCCGTGGACGACTCTGGAGTTGCGGCGCTCATCTCACTTTATTGGGCAAGGGAGCCGGCGTACAGCTTCCGGGTCATGTGGCCAGCAGGACTAAGCCGCTTCTGGCAAACCGGAGCAGCGCACGAAAACGCCGTTTATCTTCCCGCCAGAGTGGTACCTATTTATCTACTTGCACTTTGACGTGCTTTCGAAACTGCTAGGTTGGCAGGAGCAGGGACAGAGCAACGGGAGCTCACCCCGTCGCGGGGATTCGAACCGCTGACCTTCTGCTCGGCAAGTCCTAGGCTCTGTGGTTTAACCCACAGCGCCCCCCGCGTCCCATTACTGGGCCCTCAACTCCCACAAGGCCCAGCTGCTGGCAGGGACAGTTGTCTGGGACGAGAGGAGTTGTACTCCAGCAGCACCCAGGGAGACCCTCCTCTGAAACGCACCCACCTGGAACACTTTGTTCTGCAGCTTGATTTTCCGGTACTTCTCTTCCTCTGGGTGGAGGTGGATGTTGTCAAGGTACCTTGGGACGGAAGACAAGTTGTCATTCTGGGCACCAGTTCGCTCAAGCTTCCCCTCAAAAGAAAGTACCACCAAGTTCAATAGGGACTTTTTATACCATTTTCATAGGTTTTTTAAATAGGAGGCTTGTCAGAAGGGTTTCCCCCCCTAATAATAAATAATTTTTATTTATACCCAGCCCTTTCCCGGTTCAAAAACCAGGCTCAGGGCGGCTAACAACAAATATAAAACACTTAATTGTAAAAGCAGCATAAATACGTTATAAAAACATGAATAACAATAAAATTCAAAATTCAGAAATCAATTTAGGGGAAATAATCTCCAGGATGGACCATAAAGAAGGCTGATTGCCAAATAATGGATGCTTTTGAATTATGGTGCTGGAGGAGACTCTGGAGAGTCCCATGGACTGCAAGAAGATCAAACCTCTCCATTCTGAAGGAAATTAGCCCTGAGTGCTCACTGGAAGGACAGATCCTGAAGCTGAGGCTCCAAGACTTTGGCCACCTCATGAGAAGAGAAGACTCCCCGGAAAAGACCCTGATGTTGGGAAAGATGGAGGGCGCAAGGAGAAGGGGACGACAGAGGACGAGATGGTGGGACAGTGTTCTCAATGCTACCAGCATGAGTTTGACCAAACTTCTGGAGGCAGTGGAAGACAGGAGTGCCTGGCGTGCTGTGGTCAAGGGGGTCACAAAGAGTCGGACACGACTAAACGACTAAACAACAACAACATTGTATGGCCATCTGTCTTGTTGAGACCCCTGCCTTGCAATCTCCTACAACAATCTCCTACTTGGGCCAGCGAGGAGGCCAGGGGAGAATTAGCTTTGGGGTCTCAGAGTGGGTAATCTTCATAAAAGGGGAGGGGGAGGGAAGAAAAGGGAAATAAAAGATCAGGCTGAATTCAAATTAAAGGTTAAAAGAAGCTTTCTTTTTAGGTATTATAGGGCAGGAATTGCCAGAAGAGCAGAAGAAGCTATTCACGGATGCTACGACAGCGGCTAGGACAGGCATAGGCAAACTCCGGCCCTCCAGAGGTTTGGGACTACAATTCCCATCATCCCTGACCACTTGTCCTGTTAGCTAGGGATGATGGGAGTTGTAGTCCCAAACATCTGGAAGGCTCTAGGATTTTACTAGCCCCCAAAAGGAAAGAAGACAAGATACCGACGAAAGAAGAATGGCAAGGTAAACATATGGAATATGCAGAAATGGCGAAACTCACAGGAAAACTCAGAGACAAAGACAACAGAGACTTAAAAAAAAGACTGGGAAGCGTTCATGTTGTATTTACAGAAACATTGTAAAGAAATGGACTCACTAGCAGGGTTTGAGTAAAAGACTTAACGGTTAAGAAAACCAGAGTAAAGGTTAAGAAACGGCAATATGGAAATTAATTCAATGTAAGAAGTAACCGGAAGAAAATTCGGTACAAAAATGATAAGAATGTAAGAGCATTCAGCTAAAAGATGAAAAATAAGATAAAATTTAAGCAGAAGTGGCAAATTGTTAAAGAATCCGAAGGGGAAGCGGAGGGAAGGCACGGGGTGGGGAGTTTTGCTTTATTCTATTTTTTATATATGATAATTGTGTTGAATATTAAATGGTAAAACTTAATAAAAAATTATTACAACAACAACAATCTTTATTACGGTCCAGAAGCCCAACAAATCGTTACAAAGCAATACACAATTCATACAGCCTACCTCCAGGTTAAACAAGCATTTTGTTCAGAATATAGGGATCACTGGTTCTTGCAAAAACCCGACAGTACCAAACTATCGGAGGCTTTTCACCAAAGCCAGACTAAACGTCTTTCCTTCTGCAGTGTTGGACGGCAGGTTGACAGGAGTTCCCTACCAGGACAGACTTTGCTCATGTGCTCAAGACATCGGTCCCATAAAACATATTTTGTTGCACTGTGCAAAATATGAGCAAGCCAGGGCTGAACTGATACTACCCCTGCTGGTACCTTTCCCAGGAAAATCAGAGGCTCGCTATGTCAGGTTCCTATTGTAAGACCGGACAAAATTATTACAAAAAAAGGAACGGGGGGGGGGGGGGACTGACAGCCACCAGGCTCCGCTTACTTTGCAATGGTCTCCACTCCGAGTTTGACCTTTTCCCGGTCCCTGTTGCAAGTGTGGATTTCCATGACGGCAGCAGCCACGGGGTCTTGGGCAGCATGCTGGGGAGATGAAGAAACAGAAATGCCCTGGGCTGTGCTGCCAAACCCTGAAAGGCTCTAATCTTAATAACTTGAGTCACAGGTATTCAAGGGCTTGGCAGACTCCCTTCTTGAAAAGGCACCTTACAAACTAGAAGGATCCAAAAGGCAGAGCTCTGTAGCGCGATTTTATTTCTCGTACAGAGGCACGTGGTCATTCAGTATATGCATATACCACCGGTATATGCAAATGTCTGGCTCGTTTAAGACTACAGTCGTACCTTGGTTTTCGAACAGCTTAAGTTCTCAAACGTTTTGGCTCATGAATGCTGCAGACCTGGACATGAGTGTTCTGGTTTGCAAACGTCCTTTGGAACCCAAATGTCCGACGGGGCTTCTGCAGATTCCGATTGGCTGCAGGAGCTTCCTGCAGCCAATCGGAAGCCGCGCCTTGGTTTCCAAACGTTTTCCAGAGGCTGCTGCTCAAGACACCAGCTGATGAAACACTGCAATTAAATAACTACAAGCAGCAAACACTTTTCACGCAAAACGAAGTCCAAGCTAAGATGCTGCCGCAGTTCTGTATCTTTTCTCTTGTGCTCCATCTGCAGCTCTCAGTTCCATCAGGCGGGGCGGGAGGAAGGGGGGGGGAATAGCACCCAAAGTAAACCCGCAGATCAGACCATCTATGCTAGTCTACCACTACAAATCTATGGGAGAAGCGCTTGCGGTCCTTCCCTTGTAGCCCTTGGAACACCTGCCAGCTCCTCCTCCTCCTCCTCCTCTCTCTGAACTGCTTTCTCTATGGTTGCCCTCGCTCTCCTCTCAAGGCTCCTCAGCAATTCATAGGCCGCGCCAGGCTGCCCATCTCATCTGGGTCCTTCGGCGGCACAGCTGCAGTACGGCCTAGCAGGAGCGGTGGGCAGAGGGGAGGTCCCAGGCAGAGAAGCTCAGTTCGGCAGCCGCAAGGAGGATGGCGGCGGAAGGGCCCGAGGCTCCCGCCAGTCCCAGTGGGGAGGGGCTCCCAGGGGCCGAGGCCGGTGAGAGGAGGCCGGAGGGGGGTGGGCCGCGCAGCCAAGCAACCCAGTTGGAGCCTCCCTCCTCCATGGCCGGCAGGGAGGGGGGGAGAGGAGCTGCTTCCTTTGAAACCCGGGAAATTTAAGGGACATCATCAATAAGGGACAGCAGCAGGACACAGCGCTGGGATAAGGGACTTTCCCGCCAAATAAGGGACAATTGACAGCTATGGTTTCTCGGCCTTGCATGCAGCAATCCACATGGTATCAAGATGGACTTGGAAAATCTTTTACATTACAACTCCTTTTATTTTTATCTATAGATGTTTACTTTATTATTTGGTACTGGCCATGCAATTCAGTGTTCTGCGAACCTCAGCTTTAATTTGAGGAAGTTAAGTTTCCCGTCCCTAAGGTTGCGGAGACAGGCTTGGAAATACAAGAGCAGTGCCTGGTGGATCTCAGAAGCAGGATTCCAAACAGTCAGGTTATGGAGCTACATTAACTATCATGGTGCTTCACAGGATCTCATGAGTGAATAAAGCTGGCTGAAATACTCAAAGTAAGCAAATACCGTATTTTTTGCTCTATAAGACTCACTTTTCCCCTCCTAAAAAGTAAGGGGAAATGTGTGTGCGTCTTATGGAGCGAATGCAGGCTGCGCAGATATCCCAGAAGCCAGAACAGCAAGAGGGATTGATGCTTTCACTGCACAGCGATCCCTCTTGCTGTTCTGGTTTCTGAGATTCAGAATATTTTTTTTCTTGTTTTCCTCCTCCAGAAACTAGGTGCGTCTTATGGTCTGGTGCGTCCTATAGAGCGCAAAATACGGTATATGCACATATTCTGAATGATATAATACTTTATTATCCCTTTGCAGCTGTGCTGCATTTTGGTACTTTTGTCTTCCCAGGCAAAACTTGTTATGTTTGCATTTATTCGAGACATCAGAGACACACTCCCCTAAATAACCTTACCTCAAGGATGGCCTTTTTGATCTGCGCCTCTCTTTTATCCTTCCGGACGGTGGCCCCAGTTAAAGGGCAAGTGAAGTAGACTCCTGAGACGGACAGCATGGAGGGATCTTCTTCTTGAAGAGCAGGTAAAGAATTCTAAAGAGAGGTGGGATTTTAAGACAGGCGATGCAACACTGAAAAAGGTACTACGATGCATATATGGTGGAATTGTTTGAGCATCAAACAATTTAGGGAAACAATATACAATGAAATGAAAAAAAGGAACACATCAGAAGCTTTTCTATTGGGAATAGTACAGGAAGTCTAAAGGAAGAAGACAAGACGTTATATTTATACGCAACAGTAACCGCAAGGCTATTGATTGTGAAAAATTGGAAACGTGGTATTATACCGACAAAAACAGAGTGACTTGCCAAATTATTGGAGTATTACAATACATCCAAAACAATGGGAGAAATTGGAAGGATCTCAAAGGAGAAGATAGACAGGGACTGGAAGGCGTTTAAAGGATCCTTGCAAAACCATATTGAAAAATCAGAACTCCTATTAGAATAAACAAGTTCCGTTTTAAATACTGAAATACTAAATAAGATGGATAACAATGTGTAACAGAAAAAGAAGCATGAAATTAGGTTAAAAGGTGTGAGAAAAAAAGTAATAGAAGTTGAAAGAAATTGCCAATGAGTAGATTGGAAGTCTAACACAAAGGTGGGGTGAGCTGGTGGGAAAAGGAATTATCTGTGAGATTGAGTGTAAGTATGTTTGAACATTTTAAAGGATTGTATGAAATGTATGCTTGTATGCTTGTATATTTGCAATAAAGGTAAAGGTAAAGGTACCCCTGCCCGTACGGGACAGTCTTGACAGACTCTGGGGTTGTGCGCCCATCTCACTCAAGAGGCCGGGGGCCAGCGCTGTCCAGAGACACTTCCGGGTCACGTGGCCAGCGTGACAAGCTGCTAAGTGGTCCCTATTTATCTACTTGCACCTGGGGGTGCTTTTGAACTGCTAGGTTGGCAGGCGCTGGGACCGAGCAGCGGGAGCGCACCCCGCCGCGGGGATTCGAACCGCCGACCTTTCGATCGGCAAGCCCTAGGCGCTGAGGCTTTTACCCACAGCGCCACCCGCGTCCTATATGCAATTTGCAATATGTGTGTATTATTGCTGAATTATTTTAATAATAAAAACTTAAAAAAATAAATAAGACAGGCGCTCCATTGGAGGAAGAAAAAGAAAAGGCCTACGCCCATTGTAGTTTGTTTTGCCACTATTTTAGCCGCTGCAATGTTCATACAGATCAAGGATCAGCAAACCTTTTCAGCAGGGGGCCGGTCCACTGTCCCTCAGACCTTGTGGGGGGCCGGACTATATTTGGGGGTGGGGGGAATGTTGCAAGAGCACCACGATCCCTGGTGGCTGCTTACCTGCGTCTTGCAAACAGCAGGGGCTGGCGGGAAGATGAGCGGCGCACGAAAGGACTCTGGAGAGGGGCTGCTTAAAAATGGCGGCCGCTCAAGTGCTGCTGCTGCAACAAAGCCCAGCCCCCTTCCTCCTCTAGGCAGGGCAGGGAGAAGCCAGAAGGAGGGAGGGAGGAGGCGCCGCCGCCGTGTGAGGGAGAGGGAAAGAACGCACGTACTGGCGATCCACGCGGCGATTCCTGGACCGTCTGCAGGCCAGATCCAGAAGGCAATTGGGCCTGATCCAGCTCACGAGCCTAAGTTTGCAGACCCATGATATAGATCAGGGGTCGGCAAGAAGAAGAAGAAGAAGAAGAAGAAGAAGAAGAAGAAGAAGAAGAAGAAGAAGAAGAAGAAGAAGAAGAAGAGTTTGGATTTGATATCCCGCTTTATCACTACCCTAAGGAGTCTCAAAGCGGCTCACATTCTCCTTTCCCTTCCTCCCCCACGACAAACACTCTGTGAGGTGAGTGGGGCTGAGAGACTTCAGAGAAGTGTGACTGGCCCAAGGTCACCCAGCAGCTGCATGTGGAGGAGCGGAGACGCGAACCCGGTTCCCCAGATTACGAGTATATCGCTCTTAACCACTACACCACACTGGCAAAGTTTACCTCGCCTGGGCCAGTTCACTCCCGCGGAGATCGCTCCGTGGGCTGGGTCGCGTCTGCGCAGACACGATTTCTGGCGCCGCGGAAGCGAGTCCCCGCTCCGCACTGCACCGGTTTAGCGCAGCATGTCAGGACTCACGGAGTGGGCGGCTCGGTTCGGGGGCGGCTTATGGGTCATTTAAACCAGTGTTTCCCAACCTTGGGCTCCAGCTGTTTTTGAACTACAATTCCCATCATCCCTGACCACTGGTCTTGCTAGCTGAGGATTATGGGAGTTGTAGTCCAAAAACAGCTGGAGGCCCAAGGTTGGGAAATGCTGATTTAAACAACGCTGCAGGTTGCTGACGCCTGATATAGATCCATCTGAAGTATTGATTGGATTGTTAGGTTTTGAAATGATTTACCTGCACACCTGATTGTTATTGTGACAGTGATGCCTCGATTTTGCATTTGTGAGCTGCTTGGAGCAGATTTACACAGAAAAGCGTCATACAAATTCAAAACAATAAATAAATGAAGGAAAGCCCAACCCTTTGAAGAAATGCTGAAAGAGCAGGTCAAAGACCTACTAATAAATGGCGAGGCGACAAACGCAGCTGTTCCTACCTTCTGATCCACAGAGGCTCCTTTGTCGCTTGCAGCTGCTTCAGCCATAAGCTCCTTTTTCACTAGAAGAACAATTAAAACAAAGATATGCATCAAAAGTTAAATTTGAGGAGCAACCAAGTGCAGCCATACCTCGTGTTACGTTTGCTTCATGATACGCTTTTTCAGGTTGCATCCCGCGGCGACCCGGAAGTACCGGAAAGGGTTACTTCCGGGTTTCGCTGCTCGCGCATGCACAGATGTGCAAAATGACGTCACGTGCATGCGCAGAAGCGGCGAATAGCAACCCGCATGTGCGCAGACGCGGGTTGCCTTCCTTTCAGGTTGCGAACGGGGCTCCGGAACGGATGACGTTCGCAACCAGAGGTACCACTGTATTCGGGGTCTATACCCATGGGTTGTGTGCTATACAGTGGTACCTCGCAAGACGAATGCCTCGCAAGACAAAAAACTCGCTAGACGAAAGGGTTTTTTGTTTTTTGAGCTGCTTCGCAAGACGATTTTCCCTGTGGGCTTGCTTCGCAAGACGGAAACGTCTTGCAAGTTTGTTTCCTTTTTCTTAACACCGTTAATACAGTTGCGACTTGACTTCGAGGAGCAACTCATAGCACGCGGTGTGGTAGCCTTTTTTGAGGTTTTTGAAGACTTTGGTGATTTTTGAAGCTTTTCCAAAACTTTCCCGACACCGTGCTTCGCAAGACGAAAAAAATCGCAGGACGGCAAAACTCGCGGAACGAATTAATTTCGTCTTGCGAGGCACCACTGTAAATTAAATTTCTGTCCAAACTTACATCACCTTCTCTCTCTCTCTCTCTCTCTCATTGTGCACAATTACCTTCTATGCAAGTAGACCCAATGAAAATAACTGACGTGACTCAGGCCCATTAACATAAGATTCCTGCTGGATCAGAACAACGGCCCATCTAGTCCCCGTTCTCACAGTGGCCAACAAGAGGCCTGTGGGGAAACAGCGGTTCTCAACCTGTGGGTCCCCAGATGTTGTTGGACTACAACTCCCATCACCCCTGAACTCTGGCCTTGCTAGCTAGGGGTGATGGGAGTTGTAGTCCAACAACATCTGGGGACTCACAGGTTGAGAAAGGCTGCTCCAACAGGACCCAAGCACACACGAACCCTCTTCCCTCCTGTGGTTTCCAGCAATTGATATTCAGGAGTGTTACTGCCTCTGACCCTGGAGGCAAAGAATTGCTTTCCCCCTGATAGCCCTTTCCTTCATGGATTTTTCCATCCTCTTTCAAAGCCATCCCAGTTGGGCCTCCTGTGGCAGGGAGTTCCAGAGTTTAACCACACCCTAAGGACTTTCTTTTGCCTATCCTGAACCTTCCACCAGTCAGTTTTGCTGGAGGTCCAAGAGTTCCAGCGTGGCAAGAGCTGCCGTTCATTTCAACGGGACTACTGTGAGCAGCACTCCGCAGGCTTTTTCACAAGGTGTGTAGGAAACTGGATTCACTGCCCAAAAAGCACAGGCACTGCACTTTCCCTTGCCTTCTGTGGAGAGAGCTACCCTGGATCCTCAGAACATATAAATCAGGGGTAGGCAACCTAAGGCCCGGGGGCCGGATGCGGCCCAATTGCCTTCTCAATCCGGCCTGTGGACAGTCCGGGAATCAGCGTGTTTCTACATGAGTAGAATGTGTCCTTTTACCGTATTTTTCGCTCTATAGGATGCACTTTTCCCCCTCCAAAAATTAAGGGGAAATGTGTGTGCGTCCTATGGAGCGAATGCAGGCTCCTTGGCTTCAGCGATAGCAACGCGAAGCCTCCGAAGCGCAGAGGGAGCGCTCCCTCCGCGCTCCGGAGGTTTTGCGTTGCTTTTGCTGAAGCCTGGAGAGAGGGGTCGGTGCGCACCGACCCTTCTCGCTCTCCAGGCTTCAGCGAAAGCAATGCGAAGCCTCCGGAGCGCAGCGCGAGTTCCCGCTGCGCTCTGCAGGCTTCAGGTTCCTTTCGCTGTAGCTGGGAGAGTAAGACGCTCCTGGCTTCAGCAGGGAGGGAGAGCTGCGCAGCGCCCCTTCAGCCAAGCGGGAGGAGAAATGGAAGGGGCTCCGTTTCTCATGCCGCTTCGCTGAAGGGGCGCTGAGCAGAGAGGGGGAGAATTTTTTTTCTTGTTCTCACCCTCTAAAACATGGTGCGTCCTATGGTGTGAAAAATACGGTATTTAAAATGCATCTCTGGGTTGTTTGTGGGGCCTGCCTGGTGTTTTGACATGAGTAGAATGTGTCCTTTTCTTTAAAATGCATCTCTGGGTTAGTTGTGGGGCATAGAAATTCATTCATTATTACTTTTTCAAAATATAGTCCAGCCCACCACAAGGTCTGACGGACAGTGGACCGGCCCCCTGCTGAAAAAGGTTGCTGAGCCCTGATATAAATCAACAACTAACCAAAAAGAGAGAGAGCTTTCATTAAGCCACGCAGGCCAGCAACTCCTGCCCCTCGCCCTTTTACCCTGATTCCGGATGGCGTCTTGGGATGAGGGGGGGCGAGGTTTGGGCTTCTGCTCCAGCCGGGCCAGGGCTGCCGCCGCCGCCATCTGAGCTTCATTGGTCGGCCCTTGGCGACACTTGGGAGGAGGGTCAGCTTTCGGCTTCTCCTTGGGAGCTCTTTCTCTGTTGGGGAGAAATGGAGACACTTTGAGGGCAGAGAAGCGCAAGTGCTTTGAAGGCCCGGCAAAGAACACAAGCGCCAGGGAGCCTGTCAAGCAGAACTGTTGCCATGAGAATCACAAGCGGCCAACCCCTTCCAGGGGGCGCAGGTCAATTCTGTGTCCAGGGCAGCTGTCTACCAGCTCCATCTGGTACGCAGGCTGAGACCCTCCCTGCCCGCGGACTGTCTCGCCAGAGTGGTGCATGCTCTAGTTATCTCCCGCTTGGACTACCGCAATGCGCTCTATGTGGGGCTACCTTTGAAAGCAAGTTGGAAACTACAACTAATCCAGAATGCGACAGCTAGACTGGTGACTGGGAGCAGCCACCAGGACCATATAACACTGGTCCTGAAAGACCTACATTGGCTCCCAGGACGTTTCCGAGCACAATTCAAAGTCTTGGTGCTGACCTTGAAAGCCCTAAACGGCCTCGGCCCAGTATACCGGAAGGAGCGCCTCCACCCCCATCGTTCTGCCCGGACACTCAGGTCCAGCGCCGAGGGCCTTCTGGCGGTTCCCTCATTGCGATAAGCCAAGTTACAGGGAACCAGGCAGAGGGCCTTCTCGGTAGTGGCACCTGCCGTGTGGAACGTCCTCCCACCAGATGTCAAGGAAATAAACAACTACCAGACTTTTAGAAGACATCTGAAGGCAGCGCTGTTCAGGGAAGCTTTTAACGTATAATAGATTATTGTATTTTAATACTCTGTTGGAAGCCGCTCAGAGTGGCTGGGGAAACCCGGCCAGATGGGAGGGGTATAAATAATAAATTATTATTATTATTTGCAGGCAGAGAAGTGCAAGTGCTTTGAAGGCCCAGCAAAGAACACAAGCGCCAGGGAGCCTGTCAAACAGAACTGTCGCAGGATCACGAGCGGCCAACCCCTTCCAGGTCATGGCTCCCAGCAGCTGGAGGCAGGGCTGGCATCACTGGGCAACACTGCCAATCCCCAGCCTGCAGCCCCGGGTATGTTCCTTCTGCTCCTTGCCATGAACACCGAGAAGGAACAGGAGCAGTATCTGCCTCCAGTCACCTCTACCTCGAGATGAAGGTGAAAGCAAATGAGAAAACCTGTTCGAGAAGATTCCAGTGTGCCCAAAATTCCTTTGGAATTGTAGGGACAGAACTACCTAAATTGCATAGAAATGTATTTAATGAATGCTAACTGCCCAAAGGGACGCGGGTGGCGCTGTGGGTTAAACCACAGAGCCGAGGACTTGCCGATCAGAAGGTCAGCGGTTCGAATCCCCGCAATGACGGGGTGAGCTCCCGTTGCTCGGTCCCTGCTCCTGCCAACCTAGCAGTTCGAAAGCACGTCAAAGTGCAAGTAGATAAATAGGTACCACTCCGGCGGGAAGATAAACGGCATTTCCGTGCGCTGCTCTGGTTCTCCAGAAGCGGCTTAGTCATGTTGGCCACATGACTCGGAAGCTGTCTGTGGGCAAACGCCGGCTTCCTTGGCCTATAGAGCAAGATGAGCACGTAACCCCAGAATCGTCTGTGACTGGGGTACCTTTACCTTTACTATAAAACTAAAAATCATCAATATGTTTTATATATATATATATATATATATATATATATATATATATATACACACACACACACACACACACACACATATACACACACACACACATATGACCAGCCTGTTTAAACTCCAATGCCTTTCAAGATGGAGCCGACCTGTTTCTTGATGTTTAAAAGCCTCTGCCAGCTTCCCTAAAAGTTACTGAGCACATCCCAGGCTGAGCTGGGATTGCAGCTTACAGTCTTTCACAACTCTCAGGGCAAGGCTGGCTACCTACCTGCCCAATTACAGATAAACGACCAGGAAGATGACTTACACACCTATTCATAAAGCGCAGGGAATTCCACGCAAAACAGAGAAATACTCCCAGGAGAAAAAAAGAGACTGATATAGTGAAGGGGGTACATACACCACTCTGGGGTGGGGTGTTCTGCTCATCCTGGCAAATGAAAGCTCAGCAGAGAAGCCAAGGCAGTATGGACTCTGTCCAGCCACCACTGTCCCCACAGTGTCACAGCACCATCACAAAGGGGCTGGGGAGCACCCACTTGCAGCCAGAGGCCCCCCAGAACGTCTTGGATGAATGAATTGAGGGAGAAGAGTCGGTGGAAGAAGACTGGAAAAAGTTTAAAGACTATTTAGAGAAACATTGCAAAATTAATGAATGTTAGAAGAATGTTGGAATGAAGTTCTATGGCTTTAGTAGAAATGTTATAAGGAATTAAGTATAAATAGATTAATAGAATATTAAAGGAAAGAATAAGGTTAGTTTGTGTTAAGATAATTACAGGATAGAGTAAGATGGAAAGGAACTGCTGAAATAATTAATAGAAGTGGAATACAAAAAGGGAGGTGTGAGGAGGTCGTTGAAATATGTGAATGAAGATAATATTGAATTTTTTTTTATGGGTTTTAAGTTGTTTTTGTTTTGTCTTGTTAGTTTATTGTTTTAGTGTTATGTAGTGTTTTTGTATTGTATTGTTTCTTTTGTTCTTTTTTTGTAGTGCTTAAATTGTTGTAAAAGTAATAAATATTATTTTTTTAAAAAAAAGGAATTGAGGGGACGCTCGTCAAATCTGCAGGTGACACCAAACTGGGAGGGGTAGCGAATGCCGCAGGAAACAGAATCGGGATTCAAAAAGACCTTAATGGATTGGAGAACTGGGCGCAAGCTAACAAAACGAATTTCGATAGGGACAAATGTAAGATTCTGCACTTAGGCAGGAAGAACCAAATGCACAAATATGGGATGGGGGGACACCTGGCTTGCTAGCGGTACATGTGGAAAGGATCTAGGGGTCTTGGTGGACCACAAGGTGAACATGAGTCAACTGTGTGATGCAGCAGCAAAAAAGGCTAATGCTATTCTAGGCTGCACCAACAGAAGTCTAGTGTCCAGATCAAAGAAAGTAATAGGTAAAGGGACCCCTGACCATTAGGTCCCATTAGGTCCGTATATTTAAAGCTCTGGTTTTCCCCGTAGTGATGTATGGAAGTGAGAGCTGGACCATAAAGAAGGCTGATCGCCGAAGAATGGATGCTTTTGAATTCTGGTGCTGGAGGAGACTCTTGAGAGTCCCATGGACTGCAAGAAGATCAAACCTCTCCATTCTGAAGGGAAATCAGCCCTGAGCGGTCACTGGAAGGACAGATCCTGAAGCTGAGGCTCCAATCCTTTGGTCACCTCATGAGAAGAGAAGGCTTCCTGGAAAAGACCCTGATGTTGGGAAAGATGGAGGGCGCAAGGAGAAGGGGACAACGGAGGACAAGATGGTTGGATAGTGTTCTCGAAGCTACCAGCATGAGCCTGACCAAACTGCGGGAGGCAGTGGAAGACAGGAGGGCCTGGCGTGCTCTGGTCCAGGGGGTCACGAAGAGCCGGACACGACTAAACGACTCAACAACAACATTGTATGGCCCTCGGTCTAGTTGAGACCCCTGCCTTGCAGAGGGGGCTGGACTAGATGACCTTTGGGGAGCCCCCTTCCCTGCCCCCTCCATTCTCTTCCCCCCTCCCCCACGGGGACCCCGCCCACCATTCGCGGAGGGGCGGGGCTGGTTACCTAGGCGACTCGCTGAGCTTCTGGCCCGGCCCGGCTCCCTTGAACTGCAGCTCCGCTTTGATATCCTGGAAAAACTTCTTCATGGCGGCGTCGAGAGCGCCCCTCCCCCCCCCGCCTCGCCTCACGAATCCCCAAACATATCGACGTTCGTTTCCTCTCGTCGCTCCGGCCGTAAACAGGAAGCGGAAGTCGGTTGCCGGAAGGGCCAGGGACCGATTTCCGGTCACGTGCAACCGCCACTTCCGCCCTCTCTGGACTCAAACGGGGAGGTTGAAGGCGGAAGTTGAGCGCTGCCCCTGTAGAGTGCCGATCGGCGTCGAATCCCAGCCGGAAGTGGAAACCCTGAGCTTTTGATTGGTTAGACGTCTATGGTTCCCGCTCCCGGCTAGGAAGGAAGGCCGCTCTAGGCGAGTGGCCTTCCTTCTCCATGGTCAAAGTTGACCAAGTCCTTAAATGAGGGTCATTTAGCCCAGCCCGCTGCAATGCAGGAATATTCAGCCATCCCATATGGCAGGGGTAGGCAGCCTAAGGTCCGGGGCCCAGATCTGGCCTTCTAAATCCAGCCTGCGGGTGGTCTGGGAATCAGAATGCATCTCTGGGTTATTTGGGGGGCAAAGGAATTCGTTCATCCCCCCCCAAAAAAAAATAATAATAGTCTGGCTGAAAAATATAGTCTCTCTGGTTGGCCTCTGTTATTTTCTCCTACCAATAGGAAACCTATGTAAGGACTATATGGGCTCTTGGATACCCCATAAGGGAAAAGGGCAATTTTATTTTATTAAGGGTTTTCTTGTTTTACAGTGTAAGTGTAATGCCTCGTGTGTTTTTCCCCCCATGTAACATTTTTACAAATCCGTTTCATTTGTTGAGGCATTAGGGGGAGAAGAAGAAAAAAGAAAGGGGGTGTGGAGAGAGGGAAGATGGATGGGGGTGGGGTCGGGTAGCGGTGTTTCTATTATGCTTAATGTATGTAGAGTTTGGTGTCAGCGTGCTTGTGTTGTTCACTTGTGTTCCTTTGGTGGTGAGAGAGGTTGGGGTTGGCCAAGGGTGTGATTGTTTGCTTGTGATTGGCTGTGGGGGTCTTTGTTTTCGTGTGTGAGTGAGGTGGGTGGGTGTTTTGGATCAGGTTAGCCATATTGATTTGTATGCTGTTGGTGGATTATTGTCATTGTCCTGTTGGGCTGTGTATGTGATAAAGGGGAGCCATACTGGGGTGAAGGTGTCTTCTTCTGTTTGTCCCCGTGTCAGTTTCAGTTTATTGGTTAATTTTTCTAGTAGGGCTGTTTCCCATACTAATTGGTACCATTGGTCCATGCTTACTCCTGACAGGTCTCTCCAGTGTCTGGTTATGGTGTTTCTGGCTGCCAAAAGGGCAATTTTTGTTTACAACACTGGCCCATGGCTGATCCCCCTGCCGTATGGGGATCAAACCCGCAACGTTCGGGTCATCAGCACAGTGCTCTAACCAACAGAGCTCTGCAACCTCCATGCATGAAGCACATTTAAAAGCCAGGGTCTTCCATGAAATAATCCCTGGGAACTGAACGCTTGTGTATTTGCAGGACCCCAGGATCTGCCTTGATATTTCTTCCTTCGCTCCATCCAGGACTACATTTCTGTTCTGCCTCATCTATATACTATATTTCAGTACCATTCCAGAAAAGATTTCCTTGTTAGCCCCCAAATGGAAAACCAGTGAGGTCCCAACCAAAGAAGAATGGCAACTTAAGTTGACAGAATATGCACAACTCGCAGACTTAACGTATTTAATGTTGTAAACGAAAACTGCTCCTTTTCCCTTATGGGATACACAAGAGCCTGTACAGAGTCCTTTGTAGGTTCTCCATCGGTAGGAGGAAATAACAGAGGCCAATCAGAGACTACTGAGAAGCAAAGTAGCTAGTAAGCCGGATCTTTATTAAAGCTGTTGCTTCTTCTTTGGCAATCCCTCGTAGCCGAGTAAGATTGTCTTCCATAAACACGGTTTTAACAATGAGTCCGTAAGTGACTGTGGAGGCCAATTTTGGATCCACACATCCTTCCACAGTGGGGACATAGGTTTCCGGATGGGAGTTGATCCCGGTGAGGGTTTGCCAAGCGTGCCTTCCTCTTAGCACGTTTCTCCCTTGCGTCCTGAGTTCGAGTGTCTTCAAACCCCATGACACCCTTGGCAAAGGCTGTTCTCCAACTGGAGCGCTCGCAGGCCAGTGTTTCCCAGTTGCTGTGTATACATTTTTTTAGATTTGCCTTGAGACAGTCTTTAAACCTCTTTTGTTGACCACCAGCATTACGCTTTCCATTTTTTAGTTCGGAATAGAGTAGTTGCTTCGGAAGACGATAATCAGGCATCCCTCACAACATGACCAGTCCAACGAAGTTGATGTTGAAGAATCATTGCTTCAACATGGGTGATCTTTGCTTCTTCCAGTACACTGGCATTAGTTCACCTGTCTTCCCAAGTGATGTGTAAAAATTATCGGAGACACTGTTGATGGAATCTTTTGAGGAGTTGGAGATGGTGTTTATAAGTGGTCCATGTTTCACAAGCATGCAGTAAGGTTGGTAGTACAGTGGTACCTCTGGTTACAGACGCTTCACGTTACAGATGCTTCAGGTTGCAGACTCCGCTAACCCAGAAATAGTACCTCGGGTTAAGAACTTTGCTTCAGGATGAGAACAGAAATTCTGCAGTGGTGGCAGTGGAGGCCCCATTAGCTAAAGTGGTGCTTCAGGTTAAGAACAGTTTCAGGTTATGAACGGACCTCCGGAACGAATTAAGTACTTAACCCGAGGTACCACTGTACAATAGCTTTGTAAACAAGCATTTTGGTAGGGTAGTCCTAGCAAACACCCCCAAAGCCAGTATAGTCTTATTTGCTCCCTAGTCTTATTTGCAAATACCCGTGGGTTTTTTAGATCGTATGACCTGGTTGAAAAAGATAAATGTGGAAGAGAGGCATTTGTTATGCAAACGAGGCGCCTTGCCCATGATGCGTCATGACTAGTCCTCCTAAGGCACATTTCTTGCTTTTATTTCCCCAGTGAAAAAGTGAAAACGCCTTTCCATTTGAGAGTTCGGAGCCTTGGGCAAAACACAGGTTGGGGCCTGGTTGTAGATGCCAATTAGGAACGTGGTGCCAACTTCGTAGCTCCAGGCAGCACCGTTAAAGTAGCTGCTTTTAGGAGAGCTGATATTTAAAAGAAAGATGATCAGGTGCTTAAAAAAAAAATATGCAATGCCTTTTCTGCTTCCTCTTTGACACACACACACACACTTTGCATAGCACTCTCATGCACCCTTGAGAATGAAGTTTGGTGGGTTGTATTTATAGAGTGTTGGAGTGGACATAGATTGGGTGCCTTTGACTCAGTCACACCCTTTCCCTCTGTTAACAGTCTAGCCTAGGGGTCAGCAACATACGGCCCGTGGGCCACGACGGTGTATAAATTTAAGAAATAACAATGACAATTTTATTTTATTATTATTATTTTATTTTAAAAAGAACGCTGAAGCTTACAGTACAAAAGCAACAACAACACAACGAACAAAATTTTGATCCTTAGGCGGTATATAAATTTAAGAAATAACGATGATGACCATTTCCTTTTATTATTATTAATTTATTTTTAAAAATAAAGCTGAAGGTTTATTCTGCATCTCCTGTCCCTGCCCAATATTCCCTTGCAGGGTGTTCATGCTTGCGCAAACTTTCTAAGCCAGGAAGACACCTGTTTCAGCGATGATATTTAAAATAATAATAATAACTCAAGAATAGGCTCGATGAAATCATTGCGTTTATTAATGAAGATTTGTACACAGCCCTTCATCCGAAGATGCCAGGGCGGTTTGCAGAGTAGGAACACGAAGCCAGAACGCAAAACGTGCAATGAAAAACAAGAACCCCCTGCGACCGCTCTTCCCCTTTGGTTCATTTCATCCATTCATTTCCCATGCGCCTGAGAATCCAGCTGTGGGAGGCGGAGATGACTGGCAGAATCCGAGACCAGGGAGAAGAGTCGGTGGAAGAAGATTGGAAGAAATTTAAAGACTACTTACAGAGATATTGCAAAGTTAATGAATGTTAGAATGATGTTGGATTGAACTTAATTGGTTTTAGTTGAAATGTTATTAAGAATTAGGTAAGAATAGATTGACTATAGGTAAAGGTGCAAAATTTAAAGTTAGCACAATTTTGCACCTTTACCTATAGTCAATCTATTCTTACCTAATTCTTAATAACATTTCAACTAAAACCAATTAAGTTCAATGAATGAAGATGAATTATGGAATTAATTTCGAGAAAAGAGGGAAAGGACTTGCTGAAATAACACATTGAACTAGAATACAAAAAGGGAGGTGTGAGGAAGTCAAGGAAATAAGCAAATGAAAGATAAGGATATGAAAATAGGGGCTTTTTCTTTTTAAATGTTTTTGTTTGTAAAATGTTTTTCTTTTTTATCTTTTTTCTGTATTGTAATCCTTTTATTGTTTGTATTTCTTTTTTCTGTATTTGTTAAATTCGAATAAATATCATTTTTTTGAAAAAAAGAGAGAATCCAGCTGTGTGAGAGGACCAAGAGCTCTCCAGAGCACGTGCAGAGTGCTCGCTCCCTTCCCCTTCCCCAAACCCTAGAGGCGGCAGAGCCACCAGGCTCTTTCACATCTCGTGGGTCCGAGGAGCCCCACGTTGCCCCGTGCCCAATTCCTCGCCTTGCAAGGGTCGGGGGTCAGACTAGATGACCCCCAGGGGTCCCTTTTTCGCGAGTCCCAACGGCTTTCTTCCCTCAGCCCCGCCTTTTTAAAAAAAGCCCCGCCCCCTTTCCTCATTCCCCCCCCTTTATTTTTTACCCAGCCTGCCCCAACAAGGCCCCGCCTCCCCTCTGAGGGAGGCCGCCCTCCGATTGGGCGAAGGGCGCGCGCGCGCGCGCCAACCAAGCCAGCTGGCCAATGAGCGAGGAGGGCGGCGTCGGAGCGGCAGGCGGCGAGAACCACTCGGCTCCTTCGCTTTTTTTTTTTTTTCCTCCCCAACAAGGCCCCGCCTCCCCCTGAGGGAGGCCGCCCTCCCATTGGGCGGGAGGGGCGCGCGCGCGCGCGCCAGCCACGCCAGCCGGCCAATGAGCGAGGAGGACGGCGTCGGAGCGGCAGGCGGCGAGAACCAACCGGCTCCTTCGCTTTTTTTTTTTTCCTCCTCAAC